AAGATTGAGACCCACACAGTCTGGCACCATTACAAGGTCGATGGATGCCCAAGAAAGGTCATCAATGCAGAAGGGTTCACAATCGATATTACCGACACTGCTGTTACTGATGAAGTTGAAGCTCAAACAGGCAACAGACCTTTGAGGTGCATACTCTCAAAGAACACGATTGATTCTGATCCAGAAACCACATGGATAATCTCTTTGCCCAGTGCAGTAAAGAAACCATTCACGCTTTTTGCCCACTCAATGACCTCAAGGCATATTCAATACACCCCCAAGGTTCATCAGTGTGCAAGCTGCTTCAGATACCATGGTAGAAATTACCGATGCAAAAAGCAAGTATGTGCACACTGCGCCAACACAGTACACCAGGGAGAGTGCAAAAAACCAATCCCAAAATGTGTCAATTGCAAAGGACCTCATCCTGCCGACTTCAATAAATGCCCTGCTCGCCCCAAGGTTGTGAAAGGTACCATCCATAAGCACACATGGGAGCAAATCCAAGAAATAAGGCTAGCCGGAGAAAGAGCCAGATCCAAGGCCCTCAATAAAGCCGTCAGAAACTAAGCTGGGCCAACAACCAGTAATAATAACAAAGACATCACAATACAAATCGACACAACAGATACAACTCATCCCAGAGATGCTGATACCATTATTGTCAGTCAATGTTAGGTACACCAAACGAAACACATCGACACGGGCATCTAGTCATCCATTTTGTGATCACAGCAGGAGGACAAAAGAGTGCAGGCCCTACAGAGTTAGCCATCAACCTGGCTGACTACAAAGGAGAACAAGCAGACATCATTCTGATGCAAGAGCCTTGGGTCGGCATTCCACCAAGCAAAAGAATGGGAGTAAAGAGACACCCCAATTACGATATATACTCCCCAGTGGATTCCTGGGACAGCGACAGTACACGGCCCAGATCTCTTATCTATGTGAGAAAACACCTTTAAGCGGATCAACTTCGGCCCTATGCTACACGAGACATCACCTGGGTCAAGGTACAAGGCATTATATTTGCCAGTGTCTACCGGCCTTGTGACAACCCATAAGAAGTGGATGATATTCTGGAAGTATGGACTCCACCTTTTGGCTGCGTTATAGCTGGAGATTTCAATACTGGCGACATATCCTGGGACTCAAGCAATCCAGGATATCATGGTGGTGTCATACTTGCACAGACTATGACAGATCATGGACTGGATCTGACTTCTGAACCAGATGTCCCGACACATGATGACAGAAATGTACTAGATCTGGTTTTCTCAGATGTCCTTATAACCAAAGCCTCAGTAAATAATGCACTCCAGTGCACCTCAGATCACGAGATATTACGAATAGTTGTTCCAATTCAGGGAGACCTGGACTGGGTCCCAAAACTGATCAATGGATAGTCCCAGATAATAAATTACAAGAGCTGGTGGACAATGTCCAAAGCAGTATTCATGAGCTTCCCCGGCTGGGTGCATTCCCTGGCCAGGTGGATGCCTTTACATAGAACTTGATCAACATAATCCAAGGCTGTGTCAAAACAGTGGGCAAGAAACCCCAAAAATCTAGGCCCACTGCTTGGTGGAAGGATGAATACAAAGCAGCTATTCAGACATACAGGGCCTTGTCCAAACAGACTGTAAGCCAAGAAGGGCGGAATTCAGCCCGACGGGAATTTTGCCGCGTGGTTTGGAAAGCTAGGAGAGAGTACTGGCAGACTCTAATTGATTCAGCAACTGAGCCAAAGGACCTATACAGAATCGTCTCTTGGCACAAGCTATCAGCAGGATTGCGTTCCCCTCTAATCATCATAGGAGACCAAATATTCGAGTCACAAGAGAGCAAGGCAAATACATTACGCTCAGCCACGCTTGAATGAAGTACCTCAGACAACGATATCATCAACCCCTGGTCTGCTCAGATCACACAACCCAAGCCATACATCCCCCTTGAATACCATGTCGGACAAGAAGAGGCTGAAGGGTGCACTTTAGAGACCAAGAGCAACTCCCCGGGAATAGATACCCTCACAGTACGGATTCTGAAAGCTTGCTGGCCATTCATTGGGGAACATATCAGAGCCCTTTTCCAGACCTGTCTATAGATTGGACACCACCCTAAACCATTCAAAGTAGCTGAGGTAGTGATGATCCCAAAACCAGGAAAGAAAGACTACTCTAATCCCAGGGCCTACAGACCAATATCGCTACTGTCATGTCTTGGCAAAGGCCTAGAACGACTTATTACGAAAAGAATTACCTGGTTTGTTGTCAAACTTGGAATTCTAGCTCCACAATATTTTGGAGCTCTACCAAGGCGCTCTGCCTCTGACCTGGTAGCTGCACTCATACACGATATTGAGCAGGCCCTTGACCAAGGCCTCGTTGCAATGGTAGTCACGTCAGATATGAAAGGGGCCTTTGATGTTGCCCTAATGAGACGGCTTGTGGTTCGCATGAGAGAACAGGGCTGGCCGGGCTTTCTCATAAGACGGGTCCAGTCATTCATGACCGAGCGGTCCGCAAGAGTTCAGTTTAAAGGTATTGTGACCAATATAAAAACTCTCACTTATGGGCTACCATAAGGCTCACCAGTCTCTTTAATCCTTTATATGCTGTATACAGAGCCAATCTGTGGCCAACTTAGTATGAAAAGAAGACGTTTTGGATACGCAGACGACTTAGCGACTCTCTGCATTAGAAAGAGCCTTAAAGAAATAGCCATAGAGACTTCTAAAAATCTTTATCTATTTAATTAATAGGGACATAACAATGCTATTGAATTTGACCCTGACAAAACCGAGATCATACACTTCTCGCAGAAAAAGAACATAGACAATCCTCCGGTCCACCACGGGATAATGAACAAAATAGCAAAGGACTCTATACGATGGCTAGGTGTCTTCTTAAATAAAAAACTAAACTTCAAAGATCAAGTTTTCTACTGGGCTAAGAAAGTTAATAAGGTAACAAATCACCTTCAGGGACTTTATAACACAATCAAAGGACTTCCTAGAAAGTCAACCAAAAGGGCTGTGAAAGCTTGTATTATTCCTATTCTTACACACGGCCTGGAGGCCTGGTACCCGGGAATCAAAAAAGTTGGGAGCTTAGGTGGGACATCAGCATGTCGCATTAAGGGGCTTCTTGGAACAATAGGTGCTGTACTACGAACAGCGATCAGGGCTATCTTGCCAGTCTGGAAAACACACCCTGGACATATCCTACACTTTAAATCACAGATTTCCCCAGCAGGAGTTCTTATAGAGTCAATAAGACAACGTCACGGTCTCTGACTAGGACGAATAGACCAAAGATACCCTCTTGATGGCAGGCTCCAAATACAAGCTCGCAAGGATCCAACAAGGCTACAAAGGAGCTTCCAACTAGTCCCTGACTTCCAGAGACCACACTCACCAAGCCATCATGGAAGAGGCCCCCAATCCGTAAGGACAAAGACAAAAAAATAGAGCTCTTTAAGCAATGACTACGGGAGAGAAATGTGAACACTGACCTTGTCATCTACTCGGATGGATCACAATTGGACGACCAAGGCACAACCCGCACTGGATAGGGTTATACCATCAGAAAAGGCGGCATTACACAAAAAGTATATCGGGAAAAAGGCAGACTTCTTTAAGCAGAAATAATAGATACTAAAGCTCATGGCGCTCTCCAAGGTCTCGCAGCAGTCAGGGCGATTGGACGTAGAAGACGGCTGTATGTCTGCCTGGACAACACGTCAGTGGTAGATGGGCTCAATGGGACTCCACCTGAGACATCACAGAATATTATTCTATAATTCCAAGAACTCGCCACAGCACACACTCCTGGAGTGACCATTAAGTGGATTCCTGGACACAGAGATATTGATAGCAACAAAGCTGCTAACACACTAGCAAAAGAGGGTACCATGCTAAAAATAGACACAACGAACCTTCCTACAATCTCTTGGGTAAAAAGAGATCTCAAAAAAAAGAACAAGAGAGAATTCGATCAATGGTGGAAAGACCAATCAGAACCGAGGTATCAAGAAGTATACTCACATACAGTAACTAAAAGGGACCTTATATCTTTTGAAAGGAGCACTCTACACAGACTTCTAGCGGCCAAATCTGGACATGGCGACTTTTTTTTTTTTTTTTTTTTGCTAGATATTACGAACATTTTGGGCATACAGACTCGGATGACCACTGCAACTGTGGTGAGAAGAAAACACCATAATATATTTTCTTTTGTAAAAGGCTGGGGAAAAACCGACTGCTGCCTAGGTACTCGCCTAGGACAGCTTGTTTACAATACTTAGGGGAGAGGAGCACAGAATGGGCAAAATTCATGGAGAAGAGCAAATTCTTTTCAACAATCTGCCCCTGATAGATAGCTTTTCTTGAAGGACCAGATGGATGACCCCAAGGTCATACCGCCGCAATAACGGGGATGGGCCCGTGAGCGGGACTGACTGTACTTGTTATCTTGAGACCTCCACAACCCTGCAATACAGAGGCTCTAGGAGGCGTGGTTTGCACTACTGAGGAGCTACCCCCCACGTTAAATACAATCAATCAATCAATCAAGCAGAGCTATGAGTTCTTCCAACCTTGGCCGGTTCAGAGGGTCGACAGCTAGGCACCGTTGAATAAGTACACGCAGCTCTGGATCGAGGGTCGGATGGATGTTAGGGTGCTGGATCCATCCGCGCGCCGCTGCTGCAAAGGAAAAGTATTCGCCTTTCAGTAGGCGAGCCATAATCTGCGAGTCTATCATCCTGCGTGCGAAGTTGGCAGATGGTATGGGTTTAGAGCTGGTCGCTTACGGTCCCTATGTCTATCAAGTTCGTATCGATCCCTTGATTCCGCCTGCCGATTACTGGACGACTACACAATTCTGGTGTCAGCGAAGTGTTTATGATATGATCACTTAGCTATGGAGAGGTGTTTACTCTAGTTGAAGGAGCAACGGTATATCATATCCGTTAATTGAGACACTATCTACACCGACAGCGCTGTCGCCGGGCGGCCGTTCCTTGGCCTCTCCAAAGTCAATCAGCTTCATCACTGGCACGCGAGCGTGCTATGCCTCGACCTTAAGTCAGTATATGACACAGTTGAAGACCTTTCGGCGGGTCCTAGGAGTTGCACCAACAGGGACACAAAATAATTGTACCAAACTTGCTTCGGTAAACATGTTCTCGGGACTGGCATGAAAGGGGTTTGAGATTTTCTAGACTAACCTCATCGAACTGGGGCTCGAGCGGTCCAAACATCACTACCGAAGCATCAGCAGGAGGTTCCAAGGTGCGAGGGATGTCGTTCGACCAATTCGAGGCTTACAATTATCGTGATGCATGTCACTATGCGCAAGTCTCAGGGGCTCCTCCTCACGGGGAAACTCTAGCTGCAACACGGGCCCGAGAGGAGGCCAAGCCATTCCGACGCATGCTCTTATCACTAAAATTGTGTTAGCAGGGCCTCAATGGAACCAAGTCCAGCTGCTTACAGCACAGAAATATGGACCACAGAAGTCTGTTGGGCATTACGGGTGTCTCCCTCGTCCCGTCCGGCAGCGTGCGCCCGGAAATCGTGAATCGTTGTTGAAACTGTTTCAAAGTGCCATTTTCCAAGAACTCCATGTAAAAGTAAGGCTGCATCCACCGGGGGCCTATCACGGGGTTCATGGGATCGTTGGTGGTGTTCAGGGGGTTGACAATGTGCTTCACGCATTGAAGTTGCTACCTGACGTTAGTGAGTCGGCCATTGACAATCTTTGGGCCTTTGAGACATACCATGACCCAACGCTGCTCTTTCTGTACTGCAGCTGCAACTTCGGGGTACGCGGCTTTGACCATTATCCGCCGGCTGCCCACCTCGTCATCCTTCTGCATGACTTGCATCAAAATTCCAGCCTGGGTTTTACACTTCTCTACTCGGAAACGGAGCGGCTTGTCCATCAACCGTACTGCATCCGCAATCAGTTGGTCTCTGCTGCTCGGCCGCCGGACGAAACCCCCGAAAACATCGTCGGCGGCAGCGGGAGCAGGACCACCAAAAGGGTCGCCAAAAGGGTCGGACATTGCCGAAAGAAGGTCAGGCTGCTAAATGATTAGATAACCTTCCATCCCTAGGGAGATCGTCAGTGTTGCAAGGGATCAATGTTTTCCAATTGCAAATAGAACGCTTTCCACCAACAAGAAGGCGATCGAATGCGGAAGACCTTGTCTACGCGAGACGAAATGCATGTTCAGACGCGACACAAAGAAATACGGCCACCATTTTCGTCCGGTTCCCTCGGGCCAGCACCACTGATTTAGACTGACAAGGAAACATGTAGGTCTAGGAACAAAGAGATTTTTACAGCACAAGCCGCGTAACAGTAACACTATGGGTGCACCCTCAGTCTTGTTGTTGATTACGCGCTTTGCTGCCTTCCCATCTTAGCATCTGACTGCTGAGAATTGCGTTCAAAGTCTCACCTCACATAAACGTGTTGCTACACAGTCAAGGGCAACGTGTGGCAAGCTTACGATATTAACCCAGTCTTGCCAATCAATACCTGTATGCCACGCATATATAAACACCATTCATTATTTAGGTTTGATAGTCCTGACAGCCTTGAATGGACGGAAACTAGATCCATTGGCAAGTGCTCGTCATGGTGAGATTAGCATAGACTGGCGATCTTGGCTGCCCAGTTGCGTAGCCTCGAACCGCAGTCGACTCTCGAGCTATCGGTGCCGGTCGTACCTAACACACTGGCGGCATGCCCATTCAGAGACAATGTCGTATAAAACCCCACGATTGTTGATCCGTAGAGCTCGGCATGAGATGTCAACTCCGCCGGACCGCGCCGCAGAGCGACATCCAGGCCTACACCGCAGGCCAATCAAGACTGGATTCAAGCGAACCCACTAAAGGCCGCCTAGATAAGTATGTACCGTATGTGCTTCAACAAGCCTTACAGCCTCCACGCCCTTCGCGGTGTCCCACCGCTAGTGCCTATGCCTGCGATCCACTACCAGCCCCCCCTTTTTTGATAGAGTCACAGCGTCTTCACCCCCACAAAATATTGCTCAGGCTGCAACATTATCGTGTCTTATGTGTCCTGTTTCGCACTCATCTGTTCAATTTACCCCATTTCACACGGCTACTCATCTTGCAGCGAGGAAAGCATCATGGCGACCCCCCGAGTTGACCGCAAGGTGGAGACAGCCTTGGTGTCCGATATCCCAGATCTGGTCGAACTATTCTGGAACGCATTCAACAGCGAGAGGATGAGACGGTTCTGTCCGAAGTCCGAAGGGGGTCGCACCTGGCTGGAGGTGGGTAACTCGGTTTTCATATGTCCCTACCCCCCATCCATCGTGACGATGCGTGTTCAGCTTCGGCGATACAAGCTGCGGTCTGATCCTGGAGGAGCATCCCTCCCTTCGACCATTTCCCCTGTGTGCGTTGCGGAAGCCTGTATGTATTAACCAAGTGAAACAGCGGTCTTTCAAGAAACATCTCGAAACTCGAGGTCCCGTTGAGGTAGACACCAGACTGATGATCACACGAGATCCTAAAGGCATGCAAACCGCATATACGAGTATCTCCCACTGGAATCTGCTAACCAGACTCCAGGTCTGCCTGCATCCTTTGTGGTCGTACACATATTTCATATGAAGGGTGACCCATCGAAGCGCACCTGGACGACCATGTGGCCCACTGCAGACGACATCCCAGACATGTCAACCCAGGTTCTGGCCGACTTCTGGGGAACACCGGAGAAGGCCCACGCTTTCGTCACTGGAGAACGACCGCACGTGTGTAAGTGGACCGTCGACTCCGTCGGGAGGGGGGCGTTTTAACAGACTGATATACGACAGACTTCGAAATTCTCGGAACGCTGGATTCGCATCGCAGGCAGGGCTATGGGAGCGCGTTGGTGAAATGGTCGTGCGGCTTGGCCGACGAGCTTGGGCTCGAAAGCTTCCTCCAAGCTAGCGAAGATGGAAAACCCCTCTACGAGGCGTATGGGTATGCAGCGCAGGATATGTCCCAGATGGATGAAAAGCTGCATTCATGCCCCATGCTTCGACTGCCGAAGTCACGACTGGGATAAATGGAAGCGTATGGACTGAAAAGGGCTTGCTCCTTACGCAGGTACCCATGGATCCATTCATGACAAGGGTCACCATGGTCGTCACTGTCAGAGTCACTGACAGCGTCACCGTCAGCGTCACCGACAACTGTTCAAGGATGTGAGACCGATAATATGAACGTCGAGTTACTGCTGATCCATCATTGCTTATCCCACTTGTTCTTGACCACCTCCTCTGCTCTACTTATAGCCGCGTTAGCAGCTTAGAGAACTTGAAACGGTTTAATCTGCTTCCTCGCTCTTCACCGTCGGGCCGCGGGAGGAAGTGTCCTGCCTGATAGCCCTGATTCGCACTGCCGGTTCCGAGCTGCTTCGTTTCCCGCTCGTTTTGGAAATCGACGATCGTCGTCCAATACAGATGTCTAGAGAGCTGCGCCTCGGATCTATGCAACAGAGATCGCATCTGTTACAGCCCAGTCGTACCGGGTGGCGACGTTGTCGGACTGAGATGGTCGCCACGTGCAAACCATGAGCCGGCGACAATGCCGGTGGTGTGCACACTGCGGCCCAGCCAGATGAGTGGAGTCGTGTCGCTATGCCCTCACGTGATTAGCTCCATTATTTCACTTCAAGCTTAGACCACCTGCCAGGTGACAGCACCTGCGAAGGGCAAGCGCTAGGTTACCTACTTAATATGTTGGCGACGGTGTCCGCGATTGTCAATCTCCAATTGTCCGTAACGTTGTCCGTGACTTGGTTGCTTCTCAAACGCCCGACACTCAACAAGCACCCACCAAATACCCCTGGCCCAAACCATCTGTCGAGCCTTTCGTTACTCCACCAGTCTGGGCTGAGAATGCATTTCCCAAAGAAGCCAGCGCCTCTCACGTTCGACCGGGTGCTGGAAGGTAGACCTATCGCCGCATCGTCTTCGAGACTGTTTGCCATTCCTGTGGAGGTTCTCGCAGCCATAATGGGTTATGTTGCCCTGGACAAACAATCGCTGAAGTCACTGGCTCTTGTCAACTCAGATTGTCGCCAACTAGCTCGATCCTGCCAGTTCGACGCGCTCGCCCTCGATTTCAGCCCACGTGCAGTACAGGTCCTAGGCAAGCTTCAAAAGGAATCTGTCCAAAAACTGCTGTCACCACGGGGGATTACGCTCTCACCTTCATTAGGTGTTTGCATACGTCACCTACGGGCTAACACAAGTGCATATTGGACGAACCTTCGCTATATAGAGCCGTTGGATTTCAATGCCGCCCCTGAGACTCAGCTTGAGTCATGGCGCACTGCAGGGAGGATCCAGTCCAACCAGTTGAACGACCTCTATTTGCCTGCTGTATTGCTGGTAATTTCTTGCCTCCCTCGTCTCGAGTCACTCGACATGAGTTCGTGCAGTCTGGATGACCATCTTCTGGAGTGCCTGATGCAGACGCCCATCAAGCACCTCCGACTTGATGGATCGCTTGAAGGGGTTTCAAGCTTCACTGCTGGAAGGGATACCTGGTTGCTCGAGACACTTGACATAAAAGTCTGTTGGGCCTACGAAGCCCCTGACAACTACACCGCCAAATTTGACTCATCTTCTTTCTGGCAAGCATTCCTAGGGACCTGCTGCTCAACCGTCAGCTTCCTCAGCCTGGAGCAAAGAGAAGTTCAATTTCATCAACGCGAGAGAATTCCGATCTCTTTCGATCTTGAATTTTCCAGTCTACGAACCCTTTACCTCAGGTCCGGAACCTTGCTAAGTGCAAATGCATTCTCCAGCCTTGTACAGGGGAACTTGCACACGCTAAGCGTCGACTACACTGATGCTCGAGTCCAGCAATCTTTGATGGAGCGCGGACAAATTCATACACTCGATACCCTTATCTTGGGTGGGTTCCGCATACCGGTTTCGGCGCCCGTCGGTGTCGTAGAGCACAATGTGCAGATACGTTCATTAGCCCTTTCATTCAACCAGGCTGATGGTTTCATTACACGTATCATACAGTCGCTCACCCATCATTACGATCTCAGATTACTTTCGTTAAGTTGGTCAGAGGATGAGGTCCCTAATGGTTCCCTTCGGGAACTTGCCTGTCTTCGTCAAGTGGAGGTGCTTCACCTCAGCGCCGGCGACTTCGCCGGATTCCCCCACAGCTGGTTCGTTGACCATGTCAAACTCAGCGCAAGCCTCTCACAGCTGGTCAATATCAGGCGTCTGATCATCACGCGTGATACTTATGGGAATCCGCCTACTCAAGACGAACTCTCCGTTGACAGCGTGCTTCCCTTCAGGAAGTATTACGATGACCTCTACAACATCCACTTGGAGGACGTGCTATGGCCTTTCCATGAGAGGCGCATGCTCGAATACGCCTCAATCTATGTCCATATCTTTCCCAGACTAGAATTTATCCACCTTGGCAAGATCTCTTTCGCGGTGGACAGAGTTGGCGGTATCCGCAAGGCGACAGTCATAAGCAAATTCTGGGGTGCTGATGTACCAGAATACGGCGTCATGGAAGTGGAGTTTGGAGTTGATCATGCAGCCGGAGTTTGGAGTTGATGATGATTACTAGAGGATCTAGCGAGTTTGGCTATCTACTTGGTGCTGGTCAACCAGTCGACACCTCCGCCCAATCCAGAGGATGTACAGTGAGGATGGCGACCCCAGAGCGACAGTTGGAATAGGCCGGCAACATGAAATCTTCACGGGACCAAATTTGTATCAATGGAATAAGCACACTGGCATAAGCAGATTTGATCCAATCAGCCATATTTGATGCTTATTCCAGACTGCTTATTCCGGTTTTTATGAGGCGTGGTGAATGAGGGGTCTACGGAGACTTCTGGCGGTCCAGTGTATTTCGGACGACTGACCAGTGAATGGAGGTTTCGACTTCAATCTTTCCCGGGCAGACCGCCTCAATAAAGTATGTTATGATTTAGTTTATTACTGTAAGATGCTTTTTAATAAGCTGATTTTTAAACTATTACGGTTAAATCGACTTCACTTTAAAAGTAACTAATAGCCGAAGCTTTTTTTTAATAACGCTAATTAATTTTATTATAATAATCTACGTGCAATTGTCGTGAAACTTAACGTTAGCCCTTTTTAAGTAAAAATTGCTTATTATAAGGCTATTAAACTTATAATATCCCGGTTAGCCGTTTAAAAACCATTTAGATTAAATAATTTACATATAAACGACCTTATATATGTGACAAGCCGTCTAACCTATAAGGCTAAAGGGTTCTATAGGGTTTATATTCTAAAGTAAGTCAACACAAAAGACGATAGAGGCTTCTGTCAACTAGAAGACACTCTGATGCTGGGGCTTAGTCTGAACTGGGTTTACTGCGTAGTCGAGTCGTCGGGACATTTATCCCACCTTAGGGTTGGCTAAGATGCTTAGATTGATCACTGAGATAGAGACTGTCTATCTATCTAGCTGGGAAATATCTGTCCTTATATATTTAATATCTCCCTCACTGATGGAATAAGATTACCTTGTCCCAGAGTGATCCTCGCAGGCTCACTTTGTGATCCAGTGATCCGTCACGTGACCGCTTGTTATGTAATCCGTAATACCATTGTTTCGTTCCTGGCTTCTGATTCTATTAGTTCTTGGTGTACTCCCCTTGGCCCTCTAACAGGCCGTGGTATTTGTTGGTTCGTAAAGATTTTTAACCCTTTTTAATAAAATAAAAAAACCCTTTTTAAGCCCTTTACAAAAAAATAAAATTTTTATTAATAAAGGGGGTAATAATACGGATAAAAGTTTAACAAGCTTATTAAAGTGTAATCTTTACGCCGCGTAACCCGCCAGCCTGCGCGCTATTATTAAAACATCTAATATTGCTAAAAACTCTAAGAAAAGGCAATTTAAACGCATTATATAGATTATCCAGAGCTTTAATTCTGATTGAGTTATCGGTAGGTAAAATTCTAGCCTTTTAGTGTGAAAGCTGTCCTACATATGGGGGTGTCCCATTTATATGACCCCGCCGTTAAGTTACTTATTGTTGGATTAAAGGTACGCCTAAAAGGCACCTTAACAGGTAGACAACGGAACCTAGTTGTTCCGTCCCGATCCAGCCCCCTCTGGCACAAAACGGCCACGGTCGCACAAGGACACTCTAGACAGACAGAAGAGACTCGGGCTTTGCGCGTGAACACCGCCATGCAAATGCCCCGACTGATTTCTCCAAGCGTCCTTGAGCCCATCAGGTAATAACTTATGGGTGGCCATCGAAACCAGCCCTGCGATCAACTCGTGGTTTTTGTCGCGGCATATAAGGATGTCTTGGCCTGATATTCGATCGCACACCTCAGCTGCAGCTTGATCTTGAAAAGGATTGCAATTCTCTCGATCTTTTCTGTATCCTACTCAGACTTGGTTTAGGTACTCTTGTCAGCGAGAGGAGACAGGGACTGTGCCGTTAAGTTCGCCACCGATATGTGCCATTGGGGAGTCATCTTCTCGATTGCTGAACCATAAGCTGTGGGCTGCTACGCCCAAGTTGTGCCATTGCTTCCTTGGGCGACCCGGTATATAACCTAATCCTGCCTATCCTGGCCATAATCTGCTGAACCATCTCTAGGAGTGGCTCCTGGTCATGGAATGCTTATGTGCGTCTGTCTCTCAGTGACTGGGTTAGTCTGGAATTCTCGTATTGGTTCGTTCCAGATGTTCTGATGTCAATGTGGTTGAAGGTCTGATGAAAGATTTTCTGTTCAGATGCACATGTCAGTGCATATCCATGCACCACTAGGAATACCGCGAGTGCGCGTGTAGATTGAACCTAGGAGCCCGGGGGCTGTCATTGTTAAGCAAATGGGTGTATCAGGCTCCCACCCTACTGCTTGATTTTCAATTATCGTAGCTGTTCAGAACCCCAAGGGCTTGGACAGGCCCCTTGCTTTTAGCTGGTGCATCAGATAGAGTTAAGTGAGGAGGAGGTTGCTTGGGCAACACCGCTCATTGTGATAAATGAATGTAGTGCGATTTCACTTGCTATCCAGTGAATAATATAACCACACGCATGGGAGCTCGCCAAAATATATCATGTGGGCTAACAGTCTGCTATAGTGCGATAGGAACCAAGCTGAACCCGCCGGGGGGTGACTGTGGGAAGGCGCTTTTCGACAGCAAGAGAAGAGCTAGAAAAGAGGAAGAATGTTTGCCGCCAGGCAGACGTGACGTTTTCATCGCCTACACCGGCTAGCGAAAATAGCAATCAACAAACTGTACACATCTGATAGTCAAGCATCAACATACAATAGACATACCGACCCTGACTCACTACTTGATGCTGCCATGAGGCCGGAATTGTGCTTGGTTCGCGGCCCTGCGCATGCTACTCGAAGTTTCATGGTAGGATGTCAGCGGTGACATGGCCATCGGCAATAGCCTCATTTGCCCACCTTGCTTTTGCTTGGCTGCGTCCAAAGAACAGCTGAGAATCTGACGGCACAGTACTTACGTATACGACCGCGTTCACCTTGCACATAACTTCCACGGTGTGGATTTCAATGGATGGGTTGGCAATGTTGGACGTCGCGCCGCACCAATGAGCGCGTCAAGCCCCCTAAATGCCCTGATCTGTCTTTAAGCATTTTCTAAAGTACAGATACTGACCTCCTAATAACCAAAGTTCTCTCGTCATCTTGACTTCTTAAGCTCATTTCGGTTCCTGCTTACATCAAGCACCACCAAAGACCAAAAGACTCTGAACATCGACTCCGCCAAAGCCCCGCTGTCAAACAGCGTGTATGTTTGTTTGTTTGTTTGTTTTGTATTTAACGTGGGGGTAGCTCCTCAGTAGTGCAAACCACGCCTCCCAGAGCCTCTGCATCGCAGGGTTGTGGAGGTCTCAAGATAATAAGTACAGTCAGTCCCGCTCACGGGCCCATCCCCGTTGTTGCGGCGGTATGACCTTGGGGTCATCCATCTGGTCCTTCAAGGAAGGCTATCTATCGGGGGCAGATTGTTGAAAAGAACTTGCTCTTCTCCACGAATTTTGCCCATTCTGTGCTCCTCTCCCCTAAGTATTGTAAACAAGCTGTCCTAGGCGAATGCCTAGACAGTAGCCGATTTTTCCCCAGCCTCTTACAAAAGAAAATATGTTGTGGTGTTTTCTTCTCACCACAGCTACAGTGATCATTTGAGTCTGTGTGCCCAAAGCGTTCATGGTATCTGGCAAAGTCGCCATGTCTAGATCTGGCCGCTAGAAGTCTGTGTAAAGTACTCCTCTTAAAAGATATAAGGTCTCTTTCAGTTACTGCATGTGAGTATACTTCTTGATACCTAGATTCTGATTGGTCTTTCCACCATTGGTTGAACTCTTTCTTGCCCTGTCTTTTGAGATCTCTCTTGACCCAAGAGATTATAGGAAGATTTATTATGTCTGTTTCTAGCATGGCATCCTCTTTTATTAGTGTGTCGGCAGCTTTATTGCCATCAATATCTCTGTGTCCAGGAATCCATTTAACGGTCACTCCAGGAGTGTGTGCTGTGGCAAGTTCTTGAAATCGTAGAAAAATGTTTTGTGATGTCTCGGGTGGAGTCCCATTGAGCCCATCTACCATTGACGTGTTGTCCAGGCAGACATATAGCTGTTTTCTGTGTCCAATTGCCCTGGCTGCTGCAAGACCTTGGAGAGCACCATGGACTTCAGCATCTACTACTTCTGTTTGTAGAAGTCTGCCCCTTCCCCGGTATACTTCTTGTGTAGTGCCGCCTTTCCTGATGGTATAACCCCATCCAGTGCGGATTGTGCCTTGGTCATCCAACTGTGATCCATCTGAGTAGATGACAAGGTCAGTGTTCATGTTTCTCTCTTGTAACCATTGCTTGAAGAGCTCTATTTCTTTGTCTTTGTCTTTGCGGATTGGGCGCTTCTTCCATGATGGCCTGGTAAGTATTGGTCTCTGGAAGTCAGGGACTAGCTGGAAGCTCCTTTGTAGCCTTGTTGGATCCTTGCGAGCTTGTATTTGGAGCCTGCCAACCAGAGGGTGTCTCTGATCTATTCGTCCTAGTCGGAGGCCGTGACGTCGTCTTATTGACTCTGCAAGAACTCCTGCTGGGGGAATCTGCGATTCAAAGTGTAAGATATGTCCAGGGTGTGTTTTCCAGACTGGCAAGATAGCCCTGATCGCCGTTCGTAGTACGGCATCTATTGTTCCAAGAAGCCCCTTAATGCGACATGCTGATGTCTCACCTAAGCTCCCAGCTTTCTCGATTCCTGGGTACCAGGCCTCCAGGCCAGTCAAACAGCGTGTATTGTGGTTGATCTGGTTGATAACATGTATTCTGGTGATTCTGATTAGGGTGTTGTTTTTTGTGAAAATCCTTCTGTGGGCTAGGTGGCCTAAAAATGCCCTATTGGCCTTGTTGGTGCACTGCCACCTCCCTGAACGCCACGGTGGCTTGTGCGCCATTCAACAGGATGTGCGGATAGAATTGTAAGGTCAGTGTACCGCAATCAGCGAGTCATGCGTTTTTGAAACCATCCAACACCCCGCCGGTGCAGCAGTTCCCAGCCGCGATAAGCCGGGAACTCAACCACAGCCAGGACGCTGACATCGCCAGCTCTAACGCCGGCCTTGCCCAGCAGCTGCAGAACCGCGCATAGCGTCTCCCCCGTCGCAAGCACATCGTCTACAATGACGACTGTCGCGCCCTTAGGGACCACGTCCCGGGCCATCTCAATGCTCTCTTCACATGAATCGTGGGCGCCGCACGCCGTAGACGGCGACAAGATGTGCGACAGGGACCTGGTAACGGAGATCATGGGCGGAGGCAGCTTGCCGCGTTTGCGAATCAGCGCTAGGGGTATGTCGACTCGTGCCGCGAGCGCTGCCGCGTAGATGAAGCCGCCAGCCTCGCAGCAGGCCACCGCGTCGACTTTGGCCCAGTCACTGACGAAGTGCGTCTGCAGCAGTGACGTGCACAGGGCCAGTCCGCCCGGGTGCTAGGCGACGTCAAGAATGTGGCGGAACTCGATGCCTAGCCGTGGAAAGTCGGGGACCGGGCGCACCATGGCGGCTAGTCGCTGCAAGTCCTCGTGGAGGAATGGCAGCAGGTACTGCTCGGCAAACGTTGTCGCCGCCTCGTGTCCCGGAGTGTAGTTGGCGAAGGTAAAATTGGGACGGTAGTCCAGCCCCGTCGAGTTCCTGCTTTCCTCGCTATTTTTCTCAGTGTCCTCACCCTCGCCATGAGACCCTCGACGCAATCGGCGCGTCTCTCTGTTGGCTTCAATGCGAACCTCAAGCAGTCTGCTGCCAGGCACAAGGTGCGACAAGGCGTAACTAGCGCCTCGTCTCTCATGCCAGTAATCAGCAGCGCATCCACGCCTATGGCGCCGCGGACCACAGTCAGAAAATGCTCCTATGGCAGGCGAGGTCGTTGCCGCACCTGGTTGTAGAAGGATGTGGTCAGCGCGGACCGGTGTTGCTCCTTATAGGCACGATCCGAAAGCAAACGCTTCACATCGGCACCAGTAGCCGCTGCATATTTGTGTTTAACAGCTTTACTAATGCTGACTGCGCGTGTCCTGAAGCCTTCATCGGTGCCTGATGTGAACACTGAGACCCAGATGTCGGCGCAGTAGTCCTTGCCTGCGCCGCTTTCGCCAGTGACAAGAATGATGAGTTTCAGTCCCACGAGGATGTCGAAGCCATCACTGTACTGGGCATCGGATTGCGGCTGCGGCTGCGACTAGGTACCGCGTTGCCGTGGCCTTCTACGTGAATGCTGACTTGAGGGAGTCGAGAGGCCATCGGTTGTGTCGACCACTAGTCTACAGCGGTACTAGCTGTGTCCCGTAGTCGCACTAGTGACGATAGTAGCCCGGATTATCGGGTAAAGACCACCTGAATCCAGCTGTGCGAGTCATGCCAGCTGACCGCCGGTCCGATGATAGCCAGCGATAGGTATCTGCCCTAACATCACCATCACCATTACTGTGGCTCCTCAACCCATTTTCCAGCCACAATGACGGATGGGTCACAGACCAGGATACAAGGTACCTTGGAGCCCAACGGGTACCCGTTTGTACCTGATTTGTACCCAACTGGGATGATAGCTACTTCTGGGATGGGGACACCACCCATCCCTTCTTTCAATCAAGCAACTTCCAGAATACAGACCAATAGCCACCTATCGTGACCCTGGTCCTTATTCTGGATACCGCTACCACAAGGCACATTACCGTGTAATGAAATTCCAGCCAGAGTCATCTATAACGATTGACCCCATACAATATGGACGAAGTCGTCCCTGCCGATACGCTGCTGAAGACGCCAATGGGTCGCTTGGTGTCACAGTATTGGCCGTCAGACTATTGACGGTCCGGGTGCCAGGTGGAGGCAGCGAGTTCTCTTCTACCTTACCCATTACCCCACACAGCGCTTCATGTTGCGGAGAGCCAAGTGTGAACCGGCGGTGTCATCGTCGCCTTCCGCGCTGCTCAGCGTCTGCGCCGCCCTCATCAAATACGGCGGGGATCGTCCATTGTGACACACCGATTCATAACCGGGGTCCTCGGCAATGCACATGATCACACCAGAGCGTAGTGCTTGCCGCTTCAGCATCACTGTCGCGGGAAAGGCCACCGGTATATAGGCAGCCGGAAGGTGCTGCACGGTCGACCATGGAGACGTCACCACCTTCTCCCGGACCAGAACCCTACGAACCCATCACAGCGGAGAAAAAACCCGGCGAGAAGTGCTACACGATGATATTCTTTCCTACCGCGCTCCTGGTCCTCGCCGCTGGTGTGCTCATCAGAGCCTACAGTGATCCCGCTACACACGCCTCGCAGCGCTTGCCGCGAGCTGAGATACCGGCGCAGGCTCAGTTCATCGATCAGAAGGGCTTCAATGTGCTGCCAACCGTCCCGCCTCCGAGTGTGTCCAATGCAACCACAGTGAGCTGGGTCATATGGTTTACCCGCTTGTCCCTGGAGCTGACAATGAGACAGTTCTTTGTGCCTCCGGGTTACGATGCCGAAGCGCTGAAGGAGAAGCCGTTTCACGTATACGATGAGGAGTTTTGCGACGTGATTGGCTCTAATCCCACTTTGACTCTTATTGCCAATGCCGGACCCCACCCCCTATTCCACGAAGCCACTACATGGTAAGCCCCCCTCATAGTATATTTGATATGTCTTCTAACGTAATCCGCTCAGGTATCCTCCTACGGATGAGATGTTCTTCGTGCAGAATGCAGGAGCGCCAGCAGCGGGAACAGGTCAGTCGAGAGATGATGCTTCTGGTGGTCCACCATAGATGACTCACGACCCTGACACATGTTTAGGATTGAATAAGTCCAGCATCGTACTAAAGATCGCATTATCCGAAGCAGCTGCTGTCTCGAGCCGGCGCAATGCAACTGGATCTGTCAATGTCCAGACCGTTGATTCGAGCCCAATGGTCATCAACCCCAATGGTAAATCTCTCATTCCCTAACATCGACCAAGAACTAATGTTTGCTTCAGGCGGCACGAATTACAAAGGTCAGATCCTGTTCGCAGGCGAGGGACAGGGTGCAGACGTCCCACCTGAGCTCATTGTTATGAACCCCGTGGAGCCATACAACACTACAGGTATAGAAGCCGTTCAGCACCCCTAATGACTTGATACGACTAACGCTGCGTAGTTCTCCTGAACAACTGCTTCGGCCGCCAATTCAACTCCCTCAATGACGTGTCGATCAACCCACGTAACAAGGACATCTACTTCACCGACACGCTCTACGGCTACCTCCAAGACTTCCGACCTGCGCCCGGGCTCCAAAATCAAGTCTACCGCTTGAATGATGTTACCGGCGCGGTTACAGTAGTGGCTGACGGATTCAGCCTTCCCAACGGTATTACTCTACACCAACGATATTCAAATCTCGCAGCTAATGGGGTATGGCAGGCGTCACCTTCTCACCAAATGGCTCCCACGCGTATGTTGCGGATACCGGTGCCAACCGTGGTTTCTGGGGCTGGAACCAGTCTTACCCGGCAACGCTGTTAGTCATAATTGAAGACACGGTTGCCTCGCAGTCTCGCTAACAGCGCATACCTTAGCTACCGATATGGCGTGCAAGAGGACGGCACCTTCGAGAACCGCAAAGTTTTCGCGTTCATCGACTCCGGTGTCCCAGACGGTATTTATGACACGCAACTTGAAGTTTCCTTCCCCGAGCTGACCAATCGTTCTAGGTGTCCACTGCGACAGCAAAGGCAACGTGTACGCAGGGTGCGGCGACGGGGTTCAGGTGTGGAACCCGTCTGGGAAACTTATCGGCAAGATCTACCTTGGAGAAGTGTCGGCGAACTTCAACTTCGCTGGGAAGGGGCGCATGGTCATTTGTGCGGAGGAGAACCTCTACTATGTGACCCTGGCAGCTTCGGGAGGCGGATACATCGAGGCATGACCATGACGTCCGGGTCACTCGTCCGCACTTTTAACACCGAATAAACCTAAGAGAGATTGTCACGACTGTACATGGTGTACATATGGTATTGACCGTAGAATTACATGATGCTCTACTTCTTCAGCGAGTCAATGTACTCCTTCACAAGGTCCTCACCTCGCTCATCCTTGACCAATCCCAACTTCAGCGGCGTAGTCGTATCAAAGTCCTGCGACCAGCTCCGCAATATCCTCTCCAGCTCCGGATTAGTCTCCTCCCTCAGGTACTTCAGCTTGTCCTCGCCGCCATACTTGGCCAGCCCGTCCATCAGCTCCTGCGTCGAGACCGACACGCCGGGGATATTGATGTGGCGGATGTGCCTCGGCAGCTTGTCGGAGTCCATGTGCAGCACGCGCACCAGGTTCTCCTGCAGGCTGCTCGGCGAGCAGATGAAGGAACGGAACGAGCGGTCCCGCAGCGGGATCACGCACTCCTCGCCCTTCATGGGCTCTCGGATCATGCCGGACAGGAACGACGAGGCGGCGTTGGAGGGGAGCCCCGGGCGCACGACCACGGTCGGGAAGCGCAGGATGAAGGCGTCGACGTACCCCTTGCGGTGCATGTCATTGATGAAGATCTCCGTGAGCAGCTTGTGCGCGCCGTATGTCCCCTCCGGCGTCGGCGTCACGGAATCCGTCACTACCGCCGGCAGCGGCTGTCCGTACACGGCCTGCGAGCTGCTGTAGACGACGCGCACGCCGGGGCTCGTGTCGCGCAGCGCTAACAGCAAACCACGCACGCTGTCGACGTTCACGCGCAGCGACAGGTCGAAGTTGGCCTCGGACCCGGCCGACATGATGCCGTGGAAGATGAAGATGGCCGACAGCGGCTGCGCGGCCGCGAGTAGGGACTGCACGAAGGACGCGGAGGTGATGTCGCCCTTGAGGCACGTCGCGTTCTCCGGGTGCGCGACGCCGGATGGGACGACTGGGTCCACTAGGTCGGTGAGGACTACGCGGTACGAGGGGTCGTTGAGGAGGCGCGTGGCGAGCAGGGGGCCGACGAGGCCGCCGGCGCCCGTGATGATGACGTTCTTGGGGATCGGGGGCATGATGGCGGAGTTGGGGTTGTGTTTGTATGGTGTTGTTCTTGGTGTTGGGTTGGGTTGGGTTGGGATACTACCGCCTATCACCATCAAGAGAGAGACGGGCGCTGGTCTCCCCTAATAACCTTATGAATGACAAGCAACACCATCGGGGATCGCGCCGTCGACTCGGGAGTCGGGGAAGAATGCCGCGGGGTATGCGGAACATGCGTGATTGCGGGGTTGGCGGCTTGGTGAGCCGCGAGTCGCGGTCATGATGCGGGGAGGTGCGCGATTACGACTGGGTAGGCGTGTCGCGTGTCGCGACATCATTGTGGACGATTTGTCACGAATCATCTCGTGAGGACACGGACCAAGACAATATTGCAGGATGAAAGTGAGATAGGAAAAAGCGTTGGAGGCTGCGAGACGAAGGAGGTTGTGGTTGGCTTGCCCGGCGAGATGGATCGTCGGCTGGAGTCATTCATGCGGGTAACTAGAGTCCACTCTGCTCGATCCGTCCCTCGATGGACGGGCGGCATGATGGCATTCTACAAGGCATGTCGCCATGATCTCGGTATTTCAAGACACCATCTCATTGAAACGGTCAAGAAATCTGCCAAGGGACGGCCTCTGTACACGATCGTCAAGGAGCCATCACAGATGAAAGTCAACACCGACATTCCATGCAGACGCTCGTCCACCCCGAAGGCCTCGGTCTATCAGTTCAATCTTCTGGCTGCGCCATTCTCAAAGGGCCATCGTATCGCACACCTCCTTCAACGACTCCTCCAGGGGCCTAAATCCTGGTCTCCCAAGCCACTTCAACAGCTCCTCCGCCCTGGGCCGCGCCGTCACATTCGCCATATCTTTCCCCTCGTTCTCCGGCGGATCTAAAGCACAGCCAAAAAGGTCAGCATCCATCTCATACCCAACACCAACCAACACACTCTCAAGTCCCCAGGAGCTTCTTACCAGGAAACTGATGCCCCGGATACATCCCCCTCAACCGCCCAATCCAATCCGTCCACGTCTTATTATCCGCATACCCGAACACCCTTTCCCCCTTCGCCGTCGGGTTCGCCAGCGCCGCGACGTGCAAGGCCCCGGCATCCCCGGCGTCGACCGAGAACTGCGGGTACAGCACCTTGAAGCTCGTATCCCCGTTCCACAGCCCCGCGAGGAAAGACACGGATGAGGTATACCCTTGCACCTCAAGATTCATCGGTAAACCGAGCACGTAGTCAGGCAAGACGCTGTTCGCCACGAAGTCTGGGTTCTGCTCGTCCATGAATTTCCACATGGCTTGCTCGGCTTGGACTTTGGAGGCCGAATAGACGGCGACGCCGCCGCTGGGTTCGTAGGGCGGGGGCGCCCAAGCCTTTTCCACCGCAGCAGTGTTCCAGCTTTGGGGGGTGAGGTCATAGGGGGTGTTGAAGAGACCTTGGGTTGCAGCGGAGGAGGAGGAAGTCAGGACGAAACGCTTGACGGCTGGGGAGCTGGCGGCGGACTTTAGCGCGCTGAGGGTGAAGGCGATGGATTCGGGGATTGTTGCGTTCGGGTCGGGGCCGAAAGAGACGATGGAGGCGACGTGGATTACTCCGGCGCAGCCTGGGATGGGGATATGTTAATTGAGGTTGTGTTGCGAATGGATGGCATGGCATGGATGAAAGGGTGACCTTTGACTGCTTCACCCAACGACCCCTCTTCATCCAGTCTCTTGACCTGGATTAATTCAAATTTGCCCGGTCCGTATTTCTTGTCGTAGAACTCTTGCAGCCAAGCGCATTTGTGCGGGTCTCGTACTGTTCCGCGCACACCTGTACTTCCTTAGCCATCACCACTCTCTGTCCAGGGTTGTGAGAGTTCCGTACGGTAGCCATATGAGAGAGCCTCGTTGACCACATGAGTGGCCACCAGACCGTTTGCGCCGGTCACCAGCACCAAAGACCCAGCGGGCAGAGCTGCGTCGGATGGGAGCGGCATAGCGGCTTTTTGCTGCAGAATATTGAAGAAAGATGGTGTAGTCTTAGATAGACGAAGGCGACAGGAATATGAATGTTTCCTTTTCCTTTTCTTTGACGTTGCGAATGCCCACGGCGATGATTTTCCTTTTATGTGTTCTTACCGGCTTGGACGTATCGTGTCCGGTGGAGCCAGACGTCTGACGAGAGCAAGAGCCGAATTTGGTTTGTAATGAATTGGATTTGTAATAAGGAAAGGTACCCTCTTCCTAATGCGGCAATACTCCTAAGCCAGGAGCACCGACATGCAGGCTCCTCACGGACATGGCCGACCAAACAAGCTCGGGTACTAAAGATAGCCTCTCGATGCCGCAGACATGAAAGATTACTCTGAGAGTTTCCGGTCCAGTACTCTCCACCAAGCCTGGCTGCTGGCACCAAGGGCCTATAATGGCGAATAAGTTGCCATGGGGACGCATTAGCCCGAAAGTGCTTCTTCGGTAGTCTCAACTGGTTTGATGACCTCAAAGATACTCCTGTTTTTTGCAGTCTCGCTAGAGGGATACCCAACAACCGTACTTCCGCAAGACTGCTAATTGAGATTCGATTCGATTCCCTTCGCCTCGGATAGGTGGTTCTGGCTTAACTAGGTCGTCACAAGTTGGTGTACTTTAGCTGAGCAGTTACTCCATAAATGTATGAACTGAAGTATGGAGACAATGAGAGCGATGCCGAATCATGAAATAGAGGGAAGGGTGGTGTCTCTTAGGCGCACAAGGTGGTAAACAGCCTACCAGCATCGGTAAATGAATCTATGACCCAACATGATGCCCATGACTTCGGAATATCATGCTGACGATTTGTGGACTATTATGAGACAGTATTCTGCCACTCCTCCACTCCCCTTAAAAGTTCGTGGCGGCTGCTTACTTGAAAGACGTGGCCTTGGAACTTTATTCCCTGTAAGTCCCTTCACGCCCCCACAGGCCCCGTTCTTAATGGAGTAATATTCTCAAGCCGGGAGCACCGATATGCCGGAACTTTACGGACGTGGTCGACCTAACAGGCTCGGTCGGCAACGACAGTCTCTCGGTGACGCAGACTGAGTAGTCACAACTGGCTTGATGACATCAGAGAGGCGAATAGACTGAAAGCGTTCAAAGAAAACATACAACACTCGCGATGAACAATCTGGAACATATAAGGTAAGCTGATGCCACAGTCCAATGTTTATTCGGCCATCAAACCACATCAGGACAACACTCCAAGACACCACTTCGACCAACGACTCGTTCCCAACTCCGGTTCTTCTTCATCGCCGTACACCGTTAAGCCTGGCCAACCTCCGGAAGCTCTCGGATACTATCTAATATGCACTTCGCATCTCTTCTCGTCGCCATTGGCCTTGCTAGCACCGGCAGAGCCCTCTCAGTAGGGATGCCGGGCATCGGCTCTCGCGACGCTCACCACGCCAGATCACCTGCACGCGAGGTGAATCTACCGCAGATTGGACACGGCTTCACACGGGGCACTACCAAATACCAAAAACTGTTGGCCGCCTCCGACGCCTCGATCTGGCTCTTGAACAGTGTAGTGGTTGGCTTCGATAACCATGAGAAGATCTTCCTCAAGTACTGGGACAAGGATTGGAAAGACAACGGAAGGAAGATCTGGGAACGCCTGGCCGGCAATGATAAAGCCGGTGCGCCCCAATTTAAGGAAATTAAGCTCATCTACGATGGCGCTCATGAGGCGGTTGAGTTTGACGGCTATGAAGTGGAACTAGGCAGGTCAGCAATGAAGTTGCCTAGTGTCCACAACGTGATGGGAGCCAGGCAAGCCAACGGACAAAACATTTGCCATGACCTTCGCGAAAATGGTATAGGTTTTGCTTTGCATGAACTTCTCGAGGGAATAATCATAGAGGGTTATCTCCAATTGCCTGAGCTGCTGGATGATATTACCCCCCAAAAGATGACCGGCCACGAAAACTTCCGGAGCCCATATCAAGCTCAGCAGCTCGACAAGAAAGAGGCCAGATACACCGCGGAAAGCTACGTCTGGTATGCCGTTGAGGTATTCTGGGCCGACTTCTGCAACAAGAACGACGGCTTCGAAGCTTCTTTAGAGGACACCACATAGGAGAAGTGCCGAGCCCTGTTGGGAGCTTGAGTCACTCACTAGCTTTATATATGTCAAAGGGAATTGTGAATCACGGGTATAGACGGAGTTGCTTCATTTACTCATCAAGTTCAACTAGATCCAAAATGATTGATTGATTGATTGATTGTATTTAACGTGGGGGATCGCTCCTCAGTAGTGCAAACCACGCCTCCCAGAGCCTCTGTATCGCAGGGTTATGGAGGTATCAAGATAATAAGTACAGTCAGTCCCGCTCACGAGCCCATCCCTATTGTTATGACTGTATGACTTTGTGGTCATCTATCTGGTCCTTCAAGAACAGCTATCTATTGGGGGCAGATTGATGAAAAGAACTTGCTCTTCTCAACAAATCTTGTCCATTCCGCGCTCCGCTCCCTCAAGTATTATAAACAGGCTGCCCTAGGCGAGTATCTGGGCAGCAGTCAGTTTTTCTTAAGCCTCTTACAAAAAAAATGTGTTGTGGTGTTTTCTTCTCACCGCAGTTGCAGTGGTCATCCGAGTCTGTATGCCCAAAATGTTCGTAATATCTAGCAAAAAAAAAAAAAAAAAAAAGTCGCCATGTCCAGATTTGGCCGCTAGAAGTCTGTGTAGAGTGCTCCTTTCAAAAGATATAAGGTCCCTTTTAGTTACTGTATGTGAGTATACTTCTTGATACCTCGGTTCTGATTGGTCTTTCCACCATTGATCGAATTCTCTCTTGTTCTTTTTTTTGAGATCTCTTTTTACCCAAGAGATTATAGGAAGGTTCGTTGTGTCTATTTTTAGCATGGTACCCTCTTTTGCTAGTGTGTTAGCAGCTTTGTTGCTATCAATATCTCTGTGTCCAGGAATCCACTTAATGGTCACTCCAGGAGTGTGTGCTGTGGCGAGTTCTTGGAATTATAGAATAATATTCTGTGATGTCTCAGGTGGAGTCCCATTGAGCCCATCTACCACTGACGTGTTGTCCAGGCAGACATACAGCCGTCTTCTGCGTCCAATCGCCCTGACTGCTGCGAGACCTTGGAGAGCGCCATGAGCTTTAGTATCTATTATTTCTGCTTAAAGAAGTCTGCCTTTTTCCCGATATACTTTTTGTGTAGTGCCGCCTTTTCTGATGGTATAACCCTATCCAGTGCGGGTTGTGCCTTGGTCGTCCAATTGTGATCCATCCGAGTAGATGACAAGGTCAGTGTTCACATTTCTCTCCCGTAGTCATTGCTTAAAGAGCTCTATTTTTTTGTCTTTGTCCTTACGGATTGGGGGCCTCTTCCATGATGGCTTGGTGAGTGTGGTCTCTGGAAGTCAGGGACTAGTTGGAAGCTCCTTTGTAGCCTTGTTGGTTCCTTGCGAGCTTGTATTTGGAGCCTGCCATCAAGAGGGTATCTTTGGTCTATTCGTCCTAGTCAGAGACCGTGACGTTGTCTTATTGACTCTATAAGAACTCCTGCTGGGGAAATCTGTGATTTAAAGTGTAGGATATGTCCAGGGTGTGTTTTCCAGACTGGCAAGATAGCCCTGATCGCTGTTCGTAGTACAGCACCTATTGTTCCAAGAAGCCCCTTAATGCGACATGCTGATGTCCCACCTAAGCTCCCAACTTTTTTGATTCCCGGGTACCAGGCCTCCAGGCCGTGTGTAAGAATAGGAATAATACAAGCTTTCACAGCCCTTTTGGTTGACTTTTTAGGAAGTCCTTTGATTGTGTTATAAAGTCCCTGAAGGTGATTTGTTACCTTATTAACTTTCTTAGCCCAGTAGAAAACTTGATCTTTGAAGTTTAGTTTTTTATCTAAGAAGACACCTAGCCATCGTATAGAGTCCTTTGCTATTTTGTTCATTATCCCGTGGTGGACCGGAGGATTGTCTATGTTCTTTTTCTGCGAGAAGTGTATGATCTCGGTTTTGTCAGGGTCAAATTCAATAGCATTGTTATGTCCCTATTAATTAAATAGATAAAGATTTTTAGAAGTCTCTATGGCTATTTCTTTAAGGCTCTTTCTAATGCAGAGAGTCGCTAAGTCATCTGCGTATCCAAAACGTCTTCTTTTCATACTAAGTTGGCCACAGATTGGCTCTGTATACAGCATATAAAGGATTAAAGAGACTGGTGAGCCTTATGGTAGCCCATAAGTGAGAGTTTTTATATTGGTCACAATACCTTCAAACTGAACTCTTGCGGACCGCTCGGTCATGAATGACTGGACCCGTCTTATAAGAAAGCCCGGCCAGCCCTGTTCTCTCATGCGAACCACAAGCCGTCTCATTAGGGCAACATCAAAGGCCCCTTTCATATCTGACGTGATTACCATTGCAACGAGGCCTTGGTCAAGGGCCTGCTCAATATCGTGTATGAGTGCAGCTACCAGGTCAGTGGCAGAGCGCTTTGGTAGAGCTCCAAAATATTGTGGGGCTAGAATTCCAAGTTTGACAACAAACCAGGTAATTCTTTTCGCAATAAGTCGTTCTAGGCCCTTGCCAAGACATGACAGTAGCGATATTGGTCTGTAGGCCCTGGGATTGGAGTAGTCTTTCTTTCCTGGTTTTGGGATCATCACTACCTCAGCTACTTTGAATGGTTTAGGGTGGTGTCCAATCTATAGACAGGTCTGGAAAAGGGCTCTGATATGTTCCCCAATGAATGGCCAGCAAGCTTTCAGAATCCGTACTGTGAGGGTATCTATTCCCGGGGAGTTGCTCTTGGTCTCTAAAGTGCACCCTTCAGCCTCTTCTAGTCCGACATGGTATTCAAGGGGGATGTATGGCTTGGGTTGTGTGATCTGAGCAGACCAGGGGTTGATGATATCGTTGTCTGAGGTACTTCATTCAAGCGTGGCTGAGCGTAATGTATTTGCCTTGCTCTCTTGTGACTCGAATATTTGGTCTCCTATGATGATTGGAGGGGAACGCAATCCTGCTGATAGCTTGTGCCAAGAGACGATTCTGTATAGGTCCTTTGGCTCAGTTGCTGAATCAATTAGAGTCTGCCAGTACTCTCTCCTAGCTTTCCAAACCACGCGGCAAAATTCCCGTCGGGCTGAATTCCGCCCTTCTTGGCTTACAGTCTGTTTGGACAAGGCCCTGTATGTCTGAATAGCTGCTTTGTATTCATCATTCCACCAAGCAGTGGGCCTAGATTTTTGGGGCTTCTTGCCCACTGTTTTGACACAGCCTTGGATTATGTTGATCAAGTTCTATGTAAAGGCATCTACCTGGCCAGGGAATGCACCCAGCCGGGGAAGCTCATGAATACTGCTTTGGACATTGTCCACCAGCTCTTGTAATTTATTATCTGGGATTATCCATTGATCAGTTTTGGGACCCAGTCCAGGTCTCCCTGAATTGGGACAACTATTCGTAATGTCTCGTGATCTGAGGTGCACTGGAGTGCATTATTCACTGAGGCTTTGGCTATAAGGACATCTGAGAAAACCAGATCTAGTACATTTCTGTTATTATGTGTCGGGACATCTGGTTCAGAAGTCAGATCCAGTCCATGATCTGCCATAGTCTGTGCAAGTATGACACCACCATGATATCCTGGATTGCTTGAGTCCCAGGATATGTCGCCAGTATTGAAATCTCCAGCTATAACACAGCCAAAAGGTGGAGTCCATACTTCCAGAATGTCATCCACTTCTTATGGGTTGTCACAAGGCCGGTAGACACTGGCAAATATAATGCCTTGTACCTTGACCTAAGTGATATCTTGTGTAGCGTAAGGCCGAAATTGATCCGCTTAAAGATGTTTTCTCACATAAATGAGAGATCTGGGTTGTGTACTGTCGCTGTCCCAGGAATCAACCGGGGAATATATATCATAATTTGGGTGTGTCTTTATTCCCATTTTTCTGCCTAGTGGTGTGCTGACCCAGGGTTCTTGTATCGGAATAATGTCTGCTTGCTCTCCTTTCTAGTCAGCCAGGTTAATAGCTAACTCTGTAGGGCCTGCACTCTTTTGTCCTTCTGCCGCATTCATAGAATGGATGACCAGGTGCCCGTGTCAATATATTTTGTTTGATGTACCTAGTATTGATGGACAACAATGGTGTCGGCATCTCTGGGATGAACTGTATTTATTGTGTCAATTTGCATTATAGTGTCTTTATTATTGTTGTTAGGCGTTGACCTGGCTTGGTTTCTGTCTGTTTCATTGAAGGCCCTGGATCTGGCTCTTTCTCCGGCCAGCCTTATTTCTTGGATTTGTTCCCATATGTGCTTGTGGATGATACCTTTCACGACCTTGGGGCGTGCAGGGCATTTGTCAAAGTCGGCAGCATGAGGCCCCTTGTAGGTGACACACTTTGGGATTAGTTTTTCGCACTCCACCTGGTGTACTGTGCTGGCGCAACGTGCACATATTTGCTTTTCACATTGGTAGTTTCTACCATAGTATCTGAAGCAGCTCGCACACTGGTGTGCCTTTTAGTAGCTTTCCCAGATGCTGATAAATCACAAGTCTTGTTGTAATCTATCAGTGGTCTGGGTGGTGCTTGATTAAAAGGTCGGATGGAAAGGATTCCACCCAAGATGTATCTAAATACCTAAATTACAGTGGTGAGGTACCTGGGGCAACAAAGGGTTGCCAGGCAGCCTTCATCAGGTAACCTCCAACATATCTGGTGGGGTTCCAGAATACTCCATATGGGTCCATGCACTGGATCCACACTGGTGAACCTTGGGGGAGTATTGAATGTGCCTCGAGATCATTAAGTGAGCAAAAAGCATGAATGGTTTCTTTGCTGTACGGGACAGAGAGATCACCCATGTGGTCTCTGGATCTGAATCAACCGTGTTCCTTGAAAATATGCACCTTCAAGGTCTGTCACCTGTTTGGGCTTCAACCTCGACAGTGACAGCAGTATTGGTAATGTCAATTATAAACCTTTCTGCACTGATGACCTTCCTTGGGCATCCATCAACCTTGTAGTGATGCCAGACCGTGTGGATTTCGATCTTTTATGCCTTAAGAATGTCAGTGATCTCTTCTTGGAAGGCCAAGAGCTTAGTCTGAGTTGGCTTGTCCCTTGGGTGTAAGGTGAACCCGGAGGGGCACCGCGTCACCTCTCTAAGCTCCTGGGGATGGAGCTTAAGTCTTCTGTTCAATATAGACTTTATCCCATAAGGCTCTAAGTGACTATTGTCTATGCGGACAAAGACCCAGAGATCATTCTGCTTCTTCTTTAGTTGGTTGGTAGCAGTAAGGGCGCCAGGCTGTGTTTTCTTATGGTGGTGTTGACTGTCAGTGGATGTTGTCGGTGGTTAGAAGAGACAACTTGGGCGAAAGTCATGGTGTGCTTCCCCATCACCATCCCCCCGGAAGTGGCCTTCTTTATGGTTGAATCTCAGGTTTCTAGCCACTCGCTCAGGCATTTAGAGAAGAAGGCGCTGAAATCCTTGGCATGTGGATATAATTCGGTTCCGGCTTTCTCAAATATCTTGTCAACTGCTGCAGCACACTCCTGAAATATTGTTATCTTGGCTTTATAAAGGTGCTTATCTTTATTTAGTATCTTTACAACTTGGTCCTGGCATTCTAAAGAGGAGGCTTTATTCCCTGTATCGCGTTTAATGGCTTGGTCTGTGGAGATTTCGTTCAATTGAGGTCGTTTCATTCCAGTGGTACTGCCGTTATTGACATTTCAGGATTTTCCTTTCAGAGGGGAAACAATGATGAAGTCAGCCTCAGAGACCTGTTACGGGCTGCTGCTGATGTCGTCAAGCAGCGCCTGACGGAGCCTGCTCGGAGTTGCCGGGCCGTATGCCTTTTTAGGGGCCGGGGATTTGAGTACGCCGCTGGTGGTCATCTTTGGGACGGCCACGGGCGTGTTTGGGGGCCGGTCGTGGAAGGGTGCCATCCAGCTTGTGAGAAAAATCTTTTTGTGCCTTGGTAAAGATAGTCAATTACTGAAAGAAGTGCTTACTTTAGCGCAGATATTGAGGTTGCGCCCTAATAGCGGGGTGCCAAGAAAAATAATTGTTATTGTTTGGTAAGTGAGTAACTAGATCCGAAAAGGAATTTATTGGTGTCATACAAAACGTCTCCATGGTCTACCTGCCTGCTCAGATATCAGGGGCACTGCTTACTATCTTTGATTTAAATTCTTAGTATAAACGCCGTCTCTCGGAGAGGCGCAAAGCTCAACTCGCTGTGATACTCTTTGGACAAAACTGAACCGTTGTAAGATTCTCATGATGGTCAACGACGAGAAGGAGGTACGATTGGTGTTGACTAACTCCATTTTCAAGCCATCCTTCGGCATCGCTTGATCAATCCGTCTGGCTCTAGAGCTTCTAACCATTCCCATGCTGTTTCGGACCACGATATCTACTCTAAAGAGACTAGTTTACCATGCTCCGCTACGTTCTAAACAATCATGCCAACGTGGTGCATTCCACAACTCATGCGTCAGTCTAGGATTAGTAAACCCAAACGCGTTGTCTGTTAGGACGTGACGGTTTAGTAGATGAATGCTTGGGCTTTCATACCTAAGCGTTTGTCATTGTCGGGTCACCTGGCGGTTTCGTGGACCGTGGCTGGCGTAGTAGTTTCGAGGAATGACTTTTCAAAGGTTACCATGCCTTGAGTGGGTGGAACAAATGATCGCCGCATGATTGGATCGCGACAATTGAGCACAAACGGGCTGACTATACAGTATATGTTATATATATTTCCAAGCTGAGGAAGTTCACCATGATGGGCAGCGCTGGTGAGGGGGGCATAGTGTCACGAATACGAGCACGGGATTAATGGTGAATGAATCCACGCTATTGCAACCTCTAGAAAGATGTATATTCAAGGTACATTCCACTGTGATTTGCCTGTGCTAACACCTGCATTTGAGGGTGATCGGGGGGCGTGGAGGGCGCTACTAATTACCATCCCGGATATCTGCAGTGTAGATTGCATATTTTTAGAGATGATCTGAGCAATCGGTTAACTATGAGCAGTCAAATCCGCATCGACGTGAGCTATCTGGGTGCTGCCGGTCAGATCATGGAAGGATTCGTTCGTGATGATTCTTCGATGCATGTGTCCCTGGCATGCGTGGTGGCTGGCTAGAGCGGAATAAGCCCGTTTTATCGTGACATCAGCACTCAGGCCGCGACATAGGTGTTCAAAGTGGACCCCTATTCCAATTTCCGTCTTGGGTAGGTGCTTTCCGCCGTGGGAATCCACTACTCGTGCCCCGCACCACTTTCCACCTCGCTAGGGCTCACCACGTAAAGTGGTGCTCACCACAGTAGCACACCAACCACAATAACACACCAATATGAGGTTATTTAGCATTAAAATTTACGTAGCGACCGCATCTTCTTGCCAGATTCGTAGATATCAGCAGCAGGTAGTCTCTTAGTAATCCTCCAATGCCTGGCCAACTTTGCTGCCTCCTTAGCGAGGGTTTTTCGTGGTTGGAGCTCCTTCTTTGCCAGGGCATCCGCCTTCTTTTGGAGGCCTGTCGCGGTCTCCTGCTCCTTTTTCCTCGCCATTTGACGCCCAATTTCAACTGTGAGGACTCCTCCTGATTGGAGAGGAGTGTTCTTTGCAGACTTGCGCTGTTTGTTAACTCGAGAGGCTAATTCGGTCCTTCCAAGGTCCCTTTTGGTCTGGACTAGCTGGGAGGCGTAGAAGCGCGCCCCCTTGGATAGGAGCCTGATCCTCTCAATATCTTCAGGAGTAAGATCCTCGCCATCGTCCAGGTTGTTCAAGGCCTCGTCTACTTGATATGCGACCTTGTGAATCTGCCGCATTGTAGCTGGGGTGGTAACTGGAGAGGAACCAGGCTGGTTAGGGGGGGGTGACGGTCCTTGCGCGAGCTTCGCGTTCCTTCAACTGATTAATCACAACGGATGGTTTGAAAGGATGGATGCCCGTTTTCTTAAAAGCAGAGAGGATAGTGGTCTTCTTAAAAGCTTGCTGGCGAACCCCTTTAATACACGATAGGAACTCGATCTTCCCGATGTGCGTGAGACCATCACGCACCATAATATCCAGGGCTTTAACATGGTAGTGCTTCAAAGGCTGGAAAACCACCACATCGAGCGGCTGCAGTAAATGCGTCATCTTTGGAGGGAGACCAAAAGGGATAATGCCGTTGTCGTCACAATATCTAATGAATTGTATCGTGTGGTGGCTACCGTAACCGTCGATGATTAGGAGCCTCTTTATACCAACTTGAGAGGTCTTAGAGTGCTTATTGAAGTGCTTAATCCACTCTAAGCTGATCTCGTCGTTCGAATAACTACTCTCCGCGGTTGCAATCGCCATCCTGGGGTCTAATTCGGGTACCTTGTACCATGGAGACATGTGGAGGGTGCCAGAGAGGATAAGGAAGCCTGGGATAACCTCGCCGGCGGCAGAGATAGCTTCTATGCCAGTAGCAGACTCCCTATTTTCTGGTATTCCGAAATAATGGGCTCTTTTTCGCTTGGTAACGACCATCTGGTTCTTTCCAACCCCTAATCGAAAGCCAGTCCTCGTCCATGTTCCACAGGTCGTCAGGGAGGATGCCCTCCTCCCTGATGACCCTCCCCAGCTTCTGGAAGTACTCTTCAGTGCGTTTCGAGTCTTTAGCAGCTTGCCGATCTTGTGAAAGGACCTTCTGAGGCTGCTTGAAGTATCCGTGGCGCTTGATGAAGCGGGAGGCCCAATTCTTGCCAACTGTAGGTAGTTCCGTGACCGCGGTACTCGCCGACTCTTGGAGCAGCAAGTTGGCAGCCTCTGTGATGAATTCTGGCCTTACGGAGAGATTAATGGCATCTAGGCGGTCGATATAAGCACAGACGGCTTTTTCTTGTATCGCATTCAGCTTGGTGGGTGGTTCTCGTGGTCCTTTTTTGGAAGGGATGCCCTGCAGGCGGTTGCAGAAGCGCTCTCTTGGAACCCTAAATTGGCGGCAGATACCGCGTTTGGAGGCATCCGGATGCTTGTCGGCATATTCTACGGCTTCGTAAATACGGGATTCCATCGCGAAAGAGTCGTCTGTCCAAAGAGATAATGACTTTGGTGTGGTTTTGGCTGGAGGGTGGTTATTTTGGAAGACTGGTGTGTTATTGTGGTTGGTGTGCTACTGTGGTGAGCACCACTTTACGTGGTGAGCCCTAGCGAGGTGGAAAGTGGTGCGGGGCACGGGTACATCCTCTTCTCGGGGCCGAGGACCTCAGCTGGGGCTGGGTTGACGATCGTGAAACACCCTGACACCTCCCGGGCCGACGCCTCGTCGCAGCTTAGCGGCATCGGGATAATGACTGCGTCCAGCCTGGTACATAGGTACCCTGTTAAGCCCGTTGGGATGCATGTCGGCGATCGGTTTTACAAAGCACCGCCGTGCCATCGTCTGCTTGGCGGCATATGATTATTATCAGCTGATTATCATGATTGCGTCCAGATGCCAGCCTGGTGGTCCGTGGAGATGCATACCGGCAATCGGTTCTACAGAGCACCGGCGTGCCGTCGTCACGAGTTCTGTAAGTCTGTCGACGGTCAACAGAGGTAATTTTAGAAAAGGGGGCTTCAACGTCTTCTCGTCGTATGTGAACTGTCAAGTATATAGTCTGGTCGACCTCGCCGGCTTGGACATATCGCATCAAGAACTTCATCAGCTCATTCACCAGTCTCTCGTTCAGCATTCTTAAGTCTGTCGTTCAGCATTCTCAACTCTCTCGCTCAGCACCAACCCTCCAAAAGCCCTTGACACAGCCAGTCCTGCTTCACGATGGTGTTCATTCCACCGCCTGTTCTCAAGGCCACCGTCATAGCCTTCATCGGCGATCTGTCCGACCGCAAGTGGGACAGCCTCCCAGGTTACTTCACGTCCGACGCAAACTGGTGGACCAGCGGCAACCCGGACCTCGTTACGGGTGCGGGCACCACCACCGTCACCGAACACCTGCCGCTACTATCTGGGCTGGCCGACCAATTCACCGATTACTCCTTCGACATCGTCAACATCGTCGGCGACACGGGCAGGGTCATGCTGGAGGCCCAGGCCAAGGGTCTTGGCCCGCAGGATCTGGTGTACATCAACAACATCACCATGTCGCTCAAGATGACCGACGCCGGGAAGATCGCCGACATGAGGGAATACCCCGATCATGTGGAGATCAACTGGCTCATCCAGTGGTTCCAGGACCACCAGAGCAACTCGACTTCGGCGAAGAGGCATTAGTGGTGAGGTGGCTTTGTGTGGCATGTGATTCTGCTTGGTGAGGGGGAGACCGGATTCGTCGTGGCCCTGTGGCTAATTCATGTATTCATTCTATTGCGAACCTGTGTTTCTTGTTTTGAGTCTATCACTTGACACTTCGGTCTGCCAAAGAAGTACCATGTGCACACAATTCATTACCTATAGCTTTGGAAATCTGCAGAGTATAGAAGCCCGCAAGTAGTAGTCATCGGTCTCATTGGTTCGTTCCCTTAACGCCGCGTACGAGCTTCTGTATCCAGCGGCCCTCCTCGAAAACAGAGTCGAAGGACTGCAAATGGCAAAGCTTCAGCTTACCCGGCAGCGAAGAGCAAGCCGCAAGCAAGCGACTATGAACGCCAGGTTATTATTTACTGTGCCAGAAGAGTTCGCGCTCCACCGATAGGAACCATTGGACTGGCATGATACGACAGAGAAACTCGGAGGGGAGTACTCGTCTTGTCCACCACGACCATCTAACTAGTAGCGTCTCTCGTTCATAGTAATATCATTCGACTCCGAGACTTCGATCCAGCCAGAGTCTAGGAAATCGTGCACGGCTACTGTGGGCGCGCTGCCGAGCAACATAGTCAACCTATTAATGGACTCCTTGTTTTTCCCATCGACAAGGCCTATCGCATAGTCCTTGCTTTCCTGGTTCAAGTTCTTGTACTCTCCTCCCTTCGTGAGGCTATCCGGTTTCACGATGTTGATGTACCCTTTCGCGTTCGTCAGCCCTGAGGCGTTGTACAGTCCAACCAACTCGTCCCAAGCAGTATCGAGCATGGGGGACTTGTGTGCGACCAGGGCTTGATGCTTCATACTATCGCGCTGATGTCCGACGATGGCCATACCGACGCAGGTTGCCAGGTACTTGGTCCCGATGCTTTGCCCGCTTTTCGCTCCCTTGGCCATGTCCATGCGGACTCGTATATCAACGTCACGGCGGTGGATTCCATCAGAGACGCGGCGTTTGAAGACGTGGTCATTAAGGTCAGAGTCTGGTTTCTCCACGTCGCTGTCCACGTCGCTCTTCACGACGCTCGGGTCGATCCCGGCAGCTTCCAAGATGGCCCGAGAACACGAGGAAATACCCGTCTTGCCACGCTTGGCTCCTCAGCTGGCCGTCTCGTTGAATAGGTCGGCATCTTGACTGATATGCTCGATACTACGAACAGCGTTCGCTTCGGGACCGTCGCTGCGATGCAGTGGTCAGTATTAGGCATGTTCCTCTTCACGTGGGTACGATACAACTTACGAATGGGGCCCTACCAGCTTGCCAACAGCGAGGCTGGCCAGTATGGTGACAGCGATGGCAGACTTGAGAACGTACATGATGGCGACAACGCCTAGAAAGTTGATGAGGAAGTGGTGGTTCGAGGCCTGGTGTTCGAGGCTTTGGTGTCCGAGGCTTTGGTGTCCGAGGCTTTGAATATACCGCGCAGCCAGGAGCACATGGCATCGAGCGTCAGCAGTCCTTATGTATATTCGGTCCGTCGAACCTTGAGCCCACGTTTATTTTTAACAGCCATAGTAGTACGGACTTAGAAAATCTCCATCATGTGGAACCGCTGACCATCACCATCCTAGACACTTGTATTTTAAGCGTCGATGAGCTCACTGTCATGTTAAAGGACTGTACGGGCAATCCCGGGGACCTGAACAGAGCGCATTATGTTTGTTGTTTGTTTGTTTGTTTGTTTTGTATTTAACGTGGGGGGTAGCTCCTCAGTAGTGCAGACCACGCCTCTCAGAGCCTCTGCATCGCAGGGTTGTGGAGGTCTCAAGAAAATAAGTACAGTCAGTCCCGCTCACGGGCCCATCCCCGTTGTTGCGGCGGTATGACCTTGGGGTCATCCATCTGGAGAGCGCATTATGACTCAAAGACTACATACACGCGATCACCAGGAGCTGTTTGGTCGGCGATATATCCTCAATACAGGCTACTCCTATGGCATAATGTAAATTTAGTAAATGACGCATGAAAGGAGATCTTGTGTATACTTGAGGGCGCTGGAACCTTGGAATCGGCTTTCCTGCGGATCAAGATAATAAAAATAACCATAAGCTCAATACCGTGTGGAGAGATTGGGGACACGGTACTCTCCATCGCTGCCAAGCCACACATGCTGGAAGGTATTTTTGCATGTCCGCCCGGCTTCAATAGCAGCAAGGCGTAGGCTCTTGCCCGAAGGATCTTCCAAGTTCTCCCATCAGGAAGTGGTAGGGGGGTAGTGTGTAGGGTTGTTACGTTATTACGTCCTTGAGGATTCGTTGCCTGCAATCCCGTAGGACTAGGGCCAATATTGTCAAGATCAGCCGATCTGGCACTAAAGCTAAATTTATAGAGATAGATTATTTATACATACAGTAGGCACTGATCCATGGTTCCTCCCGGCGATGTACCTACTATTTTGGAGTTCGATTCGTCACAGCCAAGCAACAAGAACATCCTCCACCTGTCATCACCACTGAACCGCATGCATGCTCTTATCCGCAACATATTATAGATTTCTCTTGTCAGCGACACCCAAATGTAGGGCAAGAGAGAGTTTGGAGCCGTAGTTACCTTCAGGTTATCAGCCGGGTAAGTCTTGAGATGTTGCAAAGGCGTTGCCCAAATCCCGTATGTACATGCTGCTATCAGCAGCACCGCGACTATTCTCAGCCAGCTTATACGACTTCAGAAGCCAGCGATGACTGAACTCACCCAAGAGATGATGATGGCCCAGTCATCCCATCCTAGACCCGACCGAGACCTCAGTGTAGATAAGATCCGTATGCCGATAATTGATAGCCATCAAGGCAAAGAACACGATGAAGTGCACCTGTATCTGGACAACGTTGGCTCTCGCCTGGAATGTCGCCGTGTACCATCTTCGCTCTCGATAACTAGGTAGGTGCGTGGGTAGTCCTTGTGTGATCTCCAAGGCAAAGCCAGTTATATGTCCGAGATCACGAGGGATCCCGTCCACATGCATGTCAATTACCGACATGATCTGGAACAACGTTCGTGATTACTGTCCAAATACTATATCTGAATCCCAAAGAAGTGTACTCTTCTAGAAGGTAAAAAGCAAGAAGAGAATGTCCGACCATGCATGCCAAAGCACGCCACCTCCCAATGCCTTCCATCCCGATCACGGCCCCAAGGGCGTCTCAAAGCCATACTCAGTCGCGCCTGCCCACTGCAGGAAAGCATTGCCCGTAGCCTGGTACTGCCCAATAGGCAAGAAGCTCTCTAAGTGCGTCGTCACGCACCCCGTCTGCGCCACGGCCTTGCCCTCAAACCTGTCCCTGATCCACTGCATCCAGACTGGCCGCGTCGCATCCAGCGTCGGCACGTGGCCCGTCCCTCCACGACGACGAACTCCAGATCGCTACTCACTACCTCCGCGCACCTATCCTTCACCGTCTGCGCCGTAATATTGTGGCTCACATACCCGTCGGCCGTGCCCTGCAGTACGAGCATCGGGCTGCGGAACGGCTTGCGCCCGGCGTTCGCCAGCCGCGCGTACGCGTCCACGTACCACGTCTCGTTGTACGAGGCCTTGACCACCTCCTCGCCCGTGAGGAACAGCTGCTGCGATGCGCTGATGCCGCCCTCGATCTCCCGCAGCAGCTCGACGCGCGCGATGCCCAGCGGCGTCAGCCACTTGGCGATGTCGAAGTCGGGGAAGATGCCCTGCAGTATCATGCCGACCCACGGCACAATGAATTGGGCCATACCGCTAAGTACGTCGGTCGTGGGACTACCGGCGATGATGCCGGGGTAGCCCGGCGTGAGGTCGGCGAACGTATCTGCTTCGGCCTCGAGGACCTCGGCGACGCCCCAGGCGACGCCGCCGCCTTGGCTGTGGCCCATGACCACGTAGTCGTCGCTCAGCAGGTCCTGGAACGCCTTGCGGGCTGCGCGCAGGGCGGACAGCGCGTCGTGCGCGCTCGTCGGCGAGGCGAGGTACTGGTGCGGGATGGGGCTGCCGTCCCAGGATGTCGAGATGCCGAGGCCGGCGTAGTCGGGGGCTACCACGGCGTAGCCGTCCAGGGTGAGCGCGAAGGGCGCGGCGTCGCCGTACCAGAGCGCGCGGTGCGCGGACGGCGCGTTGGAGGCGAAAAAAGCCGGATGTGCCGTGCGTCCAGAGGACGACGGGCGCTGAGGACGCCTCGCTGGTGCTGTTGCTGCCCTTGGAGAACTGACGCGGTTGGAAGGGCCAGAAAATGAATGCCGAGGCGGGCAATACGGTGCCGTTGAGGTTCGTCGACGTGTATATGATGCGCGAGAGTGCCGTGTTGGGAGGTAGCGTATAGTTGGTTGTGTCGGTGAAAGACTGCACCTTCAAGAGCGTCCCGGCCTTAAGGGGCTGCGTGGTGTTCTCTAGGAGAGGGAGGGTGTAGAAGTCGTCCTCTGCAGGGCCGCCGTTGGCGAGTTGCGACTGGTCATAGCGGACCACATTGTTCAGACTGGCGACCGTGCTGTCGGAGAGGCTTGCTGCTTCGATCTGGGCGGATAACAAGGCGAAGGAGGAGTTGAAGCCTGCAGTTTGCAGCTCGGCTGGGGCGACTTGGGCTGACGCGAGTGTTGCTGTCAGCGCCAACGCAATGGTCTTGAGAGAAGGGATCATCTTGCATGGTAAGCTTCACGAAGCGATGGTGTTCTTGCTGTATCGCAACTGCTATGAGAGGCCATGATTGACTCTTCTTATATGAGTGTTCAAAGGGCTTGATTGATCATAAGGCCTTGCTACGTAATCTCACGTAACTACTTAGTTAATTCCATGATGCAGGCATAGTCCGATACTCGACACCAGTCGATTTCACACGAAATCCCGTGGGTGCTTACATCACCACTCAGAAGCTGCTCCCACGGCATTCCGTGGAGGCTCACATCACATCACCGCTCAAAAGTTTCTCCCACGGCATTCCGTGGAGTTGTGGTGGTGCGTAGCGCAATCTTAGTCCGTTACCTACCTAAGTCAGCATCCTGCTTATCCACCCCTAAGATATAAGGTGAATACAACCTCTGGTAGATTTGTAATCTCCCGGACCTCACGTAACTTGCAAGGTACGGTAGTAGCATGGCAGTCTTTCGTGGTTTTAGCGGCCGGCGTCATGGAGCCAGAGCATTACGGATTCGCCCGTTTTGGCTTGTGTAGGATGCAGATATTGAAAATCAAGTGTAATAACAGATCCTATTTGCTTCAGTCAGCTTTCCCATTCGATTTCCAAGATTCAGCGAGTAGCAAGGATAACATGAGGATCCTACATGTACACAAGCAACCGGACAAGTGAGAAGAGCGGTGTCTTATTACAGGTCAACGACTACCTACCTACCTTAGGTACCCTAGTTGGTCTGCCCAACGACATCGAAAAGTGCACATGACGAAACCAGTCCCAGGACCATTGCCCTTCCCCAACCCGCTCGCCCTGAACACCCACGCTCATGCTCATGCTATCCCAGCCTTTACCATACACATCCTCTCACCACACCATCATCTCGCCATCCCATCTCCGTCCCACACCCTCACCCCTCACTCCGCCCTCACGTGAAAAACATCCCTCCCCCTCAACCCCTCCAGCGCCTGTATCTTCGGAATGAGCCTCCCAGAGTCCTCCGTGGCCCTGAACGCGCCATGCGCCTCGACGCTCTCCCAGCCGCACAGTATGACGAACAAGCGGCGCGTCTCGCCCTCGTGCACCACGTCCTCGCGCACCCAGCCGGCAGACAGGTGGCCCGTGAACCCTTTCGCCCCGCACGCGCGGAACTCCGCGACGAACCCCTGCGCGACGTCCGTCTCGGGCGTGCCGGAGGCGAAGTACAGCGAGAGCATCTCGAGGAGGCCGCCTTTGCCAGTGGAGGCGGAGGAGGAGTCGCCGTAGAGCACGGCGGCCGGGTACGGGTCTAGCTTTGCGTGCACGGCGCTGCTTGGGGGGCCAGCTAGCTGCGGGAGGAGCTGCTCTGTCATGACTTTGGCGAAGTCGGGGGTCTTGGTGAAGGCTTCGTGGTCGGCTACTGAGTCCCAGTCCACCTTTGGGGGCGTTGGTGTTAGCACGTAGGGCACGACGAAGTTGTTCTTCGCGGACAACATAGAAAGGAGGGTGGGAAGTCGGATGTGCATTTCTTGGGAGCAAGCATCCCCGTGAGACAGCTCAGACGGGATATCTATATATCTGCTCCCACAGCAACGACGGATCAGGAGCTGGGATTTACGCGGATGATACTTACGAACAAGCGAGCCTGGTTCGGGTCCTCGTGCAAGAGCGAGACGCGCAGGCGGCGACAGCCGGGTTGTGCCAGCATGGTGGTGCGTGCGGTTGCAAAGACGGAGAGCTCGACGTCCGGCACGAGTGTGAGGGCGACGATTTCCGTGACGGGGTCCGACATGGTGGGTGAGTTGTCAAAGGGAGACTAGATTTGAGGAGTAAACTTGAAGTATATGCAAGATCGATGAAGTACAGAAAGCTGTCTGGGTCTAGGAAGATGTGTGGTAGTCTCTGTTGTGAGATAGCAGATGGTGGATGGGTAGATGGATGGCAGCAAGTCGGTTTATATACTCAACAATAAGCTCCAACTTCACAGGGCTGACAGAATTCTCCTGCGAGCTGAACCGGACTGTGGGTACGCGACCATGTTAGTGTGAAGCGCGGGGAGCTCGATACTCCGTCCGGGTATTACGCACGCCGTCCATTCTCTTGTATTAACAAACCCGGCGACGCTTATTCCGGTCGTCGATTCTTCAGTGTTGGCGAGCCCGTGATGATGGCCTGGACAAACGGCCTGTCGATGCCACGGACATAACGCAGTGTGCATACTGGCCTCCGGAGGCTCACGTAAGAACATGTGAGGGTAGCTCGGCGACCGAGGCGGAGGATGCTCCTGTCACGTAAGCCGAAACCCTCTCATGCGGCACTGGACGGACGTCGTATAACGAGCCAATCGGGCGAAGATGGTAAATGCTGGAATTAAGCACAAGCGCAGGTATTAGGGGTACTCGTGAAATCGGGAATATCACGCTCGTGCATAATTGTTCTTTCAAGTGGTTTGGTATATTAGGTCGATCGGCTGAGGCGACAAAGAAAAGGGGGTATTGTGCAAGTCGCCTCAAACAAGTCGACAGACTATTTTTCAGTCTGCATTAAGTTTCGACGCCTACATATTTGGCTCCAAGCCAAGACTGGGCTCTCATGCTCAAGCCATATTAAATCGACACACATGCATGGCATCAGGCCAGTAAGCGCGGAGCTATTTCCTAAGCCCTTTCTCCTCCGTCCGCCCTCGCTTTGCACCAAACCTCAAATCAAGCACTTAGGGCGAGGCAGGCATCGACCGCAAGACCAACCCTGGATGCCGAACGTCAGTGTGCCCAACGACCTGAGTGGACACATTGGGGATGAATTTACCTTCCTTCCTTCTGGTAGACAACATCACTAATGATATCCCGATCCAGGTCTGGGAACATTCCTGCTAGGGTTTCCACAATATTGTCGTGTTCTGCTCGCTGCAGCCGATGAGCTTCAGCAGTTTCCGCACTCGCCTGTCTGGCCGCGGCTTCTTGGGCTGATAGCTGCTGGCGACCTGCTGGCGGCTGTGGTGATACATCCGTGCTCTGTCGCGGGTTCAGGCGGGAAGGTATTGAGTCAGGTTGAGGAGCCCGAGAGGGCGTGCTAGGCCCAGCACCGCTTGGGTCATCCGAGAACATGCGGCCAATCGATGATAGTGGTTTCTGAATAGAACGCAGAAGTCCTGAGATGGCAGGACCGTCTTCGCCAGAATCATTACCTTCGTTCGATGACGTGGATCTTCGCGGAGTCTTCGTCCCATCCCCGTCAAGCGATGGACGAGTCGAGGAAGACTCTGGTGGATGGAGATCACCTTTCTCTGATTGCTGTGCTTGGGGAAGAGCTGGTGATTCTTGTTGTCGGTGCTTTTCGGCAATAGCAGATACGGCCGCCTCCACGTTCTTTTCAAACTCCTCATCAGTGATTGTCAAGGTGGTACGATCCATGTTCTCGATGAACTGCACAGCACCCATCTGAAACCATAACACATTAGTCGCTTGCGAAGCTTGCATGGGCAGAGCCGCATGCTTACCAGAGACGAGAGATAATAACCAGCTTCACCGCCGAGCTTTTCTTGGTTGCGAAATCTCAGGATGTACTGGACATTAGACACTAGATGATCCGGATTGGATCGTAGAACAACATATATCAGAAGTGGCATAAAGCTGTCAGCTGACGAGTCTGACTTGTTGTGCTTGAGGAGACCTGATATAACGATGAGCTCACACACCACACCGTGACAAGTGTGGACTGCTTACCAAATATGACCTTGCAGCAGTTGAGAACGCAGATGATCTTGTCTCGTGGTGCTCGGTATGACCTGATCTTCAGTAGTTCTGCTCCAGTCAGCTCAGGATCCCAGTATTGACTCGATCACGCTCACCTTGCTGGGCCAAGATGAGAAACCTCTTCCCGCTCTCGCTCGTGGGCGGGATGTCCAAGTGCGCTTCGCGAACCCAGCTGTAGATATTAATCTTTTGCGCCAGGATATCGTCTCTCTCGACATCTTCCTGGTGCTGTCCACGGCGACCTGGACCCATGGGCCGATCTCCACCCCGTCGTTTTGACTTTGCCCCCGGAATAGGCTGAGGGGGAGCTATTGCGGGAGAGAAAGTCTGTGTATACAGCCGATTCATAACGAGCTTCTCCATTCCCTCGCGAGCATTGTCGAATTCTACATCCGAGACCTCGCTCCATACTTCGCACTGGGCCATCTTGTTCGCAATGAATGCCAGGAAGTCGCTTATAATCTTGACTTGCTCGTGCACCATCCATTGCCGCTTTGCAAACTCGGCGAGGAAGGACTTGAGGTATCTCGCAACCGGGTCGGCCTTCTTGTGCTTGAGCTGTTCTAGGAATCGGTGGAAGTCGAAGGGCAAGGAAGGCTCGGGCTCGGGTTCGGGCGGCGGTGGCCGGTGTAGGGGTGCCGTAGATGAGACAGGCGATTCAATATCGGGCAGTTTATCGTCTGAAGGCCCGTCCTTAGGGGGAACTGGCGGTCCATGGTCTTCAGGCTCTCCCAATCTTTCCTTCGAGCGAGTACTTGTTGGGGACCCGCTTGCAAGTGTCAGACCTTGCATTTCTTGAAGCTGCTGGGCGATGCTCGGGGCAAGAGGTTCTAAACTGGATTTCCTAGGAGGATGCTGCTGCATTGGGGGGCTGCTCAGGAGCGGCGAAGTGATCCCCAACCTGGGGCTCATGACCTCGGCCTCTCCAGGACCACCCCCATCCTCGGGAAACTGCCGCATGATTCTCTGGATCTCAGAGCGAGATGTCCCCTCTCGCTCATCCTCACTTGGATACTGCGCCTCATCATAGCCCGCGTCGGAGTGTGTGGGTGACGGTCCTGGTCCTGGACCTTGATGCTTGGATCGGTGGGTAGAGCTCGTGCGCGACGGCGGCAGAGAGCCCTGTGGAGTTGGAGGAGTTGGGTCAAGATAGCCACCAGTATCAATGGTAAGATACTTTGTGGGTTTCGTAGGCTTCAGGGTAGCGACAGAAGACTCCATAGGATCTGTATGTGCGGGAGGTTCTGTCGGTTCGGTCGGTTGAGCAGCGCCCACATCTTCAACCTCGGGTGGTTTCGAGTCGGCTCCAGCTTGGTCTGTAAATACACTGCTTGAGCCTAGGTCAAGTGAATCGGCCTGCCGTTGGGCTCCCTCGTCCTTTGCCTCACCGCCAGCGACACCCCAGCCCGATGAGTCTGTATTCTCTCTGACATTCTTGCTGCGGACCTTGGTTTCCGGCAAATCTGTTCCAGATGCGACGTCTATCGCATTGACCGGTGCTATCTCTGATTGACGCAGGTCCATGGGCTTTGGGTCGCTCATGGCGGGGTCATGGTCGGACGTGACGAGGCGGCGCGAGGGCTCTGGCAAGGGCTGTTCGGGAGGAGGCATGCAAGAGAAGCTGGAGCTTTGCCAGGCTTGTATTGTAGGCTGGAGGGCAGGGTATCGTGCTTTTAGGGAGAGCGAGGGTACGGCGTCGTTGCTCGCTCTTGTGAAAGTATAGTGGCGTGCGAGGCGTGGTGGTGGATGTCCAGGCAGGTTCTCATAATATGGTTACTTATCGTTATCGGGGCAAGTCAGTCGGCCTCGAAATCGGAAATAGCTGCCAGATACCGAATGGAACCTGACAGGCCTGACAGGTGACATAGATGCAGCCTCTCAGCCTGACAAGTCCAAGCCACATACACCCCACGATCAAGAGGCGTCTGCTGTGGCGGTGTGCTGCATAGTGCATACATCAATCGTCTTAATATTAATTAATGCATGTGTCTGCTTAGAACACGACTGTCACATAACAAGGACCCTGCTAAACCTACATCAGGTACCATAACAGTATTTACAGCGTTTAAAGAACCTCTCTTAAACTAACTGAATATAATAATAAATATTCATAATATTTATAAAGCTTAATAAACTAGCAGCATTTTTCAATATAATTTAAGTTAGTTTTTCGTTAAAAAAGATTTTAAGATTTTTTAAAATATTTATTTTTTTCGTTAAATTTTACAAAACGGTACTATCTTTTATTTAATCCCTTTTAATAACGACGACACTTTAAAGTTTAAACTATCTCGTATTAAACATTTTAAATTTATTAAAAGCTAGACTTTTATATATATTAAACTTTCGTAATAATCTTTTAAATAAACCTTATTTATTTTTTAAGTAATTCTTATTTTTATTGGAGCAGGCTTGAGCGATCAATCATAATACTCGAGTAATGGGTCAAGGTCATGATGTTGCTCATGGTTGGATTGTGAGGTCTAGCTGGACTCGAAGGTCTGGCTAAGTGACCTAACAATCCGGTATCTAATCTCATATCTAACTATACATGTGGGTTCGGTATAGATGGTTTGAATGTGAAATTGCATAGATTCAATATGTACCTTGTTTTTAAAATGTTATTAAGTAAATTTAATTTTAAGGTTTATAACTTTATTGTAAACTTTAGAAAGGTATTTAAAATATGAAGCCGTATAATTATATATCAAATTAAAATTAAAATTAGTTAGACACTAGTAGCTTTTCAAAGTAATTAGTAAAATTACGATTACTTATTAAAACAAAAGTTTAGATTTTTATTTTTTGAAATAAGGTATCAGAGTTATCTTCGTATATCTTATAAAAGTTTTAATATTTTATAGGCCGTTGTAAGTAGGCTATTGATTATAATTACTTTAAGTAAAGGTAATAAAAGATACTGTTTTGGGGCAGGGATGATATCATGTACAGCCAAGTATGTGACATATAAAGACCACCGTTCATTTTTCGTTACTTCTTTTTGACTTCCTGCACAGCCACTCCTCTTTTATAACATATATAATTGAGCGATCAGTTCAGACACACATTATATTATCTCTATGTGACACACGCTTCAAATTCAATGTGTGGCTTTGCTAATGGCTCTCCCTCCTCCTTCTAATATCCATTGTACAAGCAGCCCCTTTATAAGTGTTGTTGCTGTCCCCGACTCAATACATTAAGGCCTTTTTTACTTTTCGTTTCAAAATAACTGTATAATATAAAACGAGCTGGCAAATATGATTATAAACGTTTTTAAGATTATAATTAAAATAAAATCGATACATTTATTTTTTAAACGCTTTCTTATGGTCTGGTATAGGTAGCCCATATGGTGAGTCCTAGAGCCCGGACATGAGTACATGTACCACCATTGAATGTCAAGCTGCCAAGCTTGATATTCGACATCCTTTTGGGAGGAACAGCCGTGGCATGGTGGTTATAGTGAGCGTTAGTCAGACGCTTATTTAAAAAAACTCTTCCTATTAGTAAAATATTTTTAGCTTTCGTCTTAATAAAGCGTTTAGTTTTAATTTCAGTAATAAACTTAGGGATAAGGTTAGTTTTGGCTGTATTAATAACTCGTCTCATAAAAGAATCGCGCTTTTTTCGGTTAAAGTCTTAAAAAGTCTTTTTTATTAAAGCGCGCTTGCTGTTTTACAACCTTTATTTTCATGTTACGTTTTTAAAAAAAACTCGCCTTATCATAGTAAGTTAGTTCGTTTTTTCCAAAGTAATGGCTGTATATGAGTTGGAATATAAAATTCGAAACTAGGTCTTTTATATCGGTTCGTTATTTCGTAAGAAGATAAGGTTTTTTTGAACTATATTAATTAACCAAAGTATTATTATAAAGCAACTTAGAAACCAAAACATAAATGCCTATCAATATTTTTTAGTTATTTAAGAATATTACAATAAAGAAAAGAAAGCGATCTATAATACCAGCTAAATTTAATAAGGTAAGAGGTCTTAAATTTTAACATATAATCATTTATTCTTTTATATAAAAAGGAAATTTATCTACACCATCAAACCAAATAATAGGTGTTAAATCTATTATAATTATTTAAACTTACAAACATTGTATAATTATATATTTTAACACTTAAAAATTTAAAGGTTTTTTAAAATAATATAAAAATATTATTGAAAAATATTAAAAAATATTCAAAGAAATCGTTATTAATCAAGTGTTATAAAACAAAAGTTTTATAAATTAAGCTATAACGTAGGTCACAAGCGAGCGGGACACACAAACGAGCGGGACACTTTTACCAACCTCCCAACTGCCATGTCAAATAACTTAATTACAACGCATTCAATTTAATTCAATCAATTGGATTCCTCTTCCTCAAAGGTTTCTATCTCTATTGTACAAGTTTGCGCATGATAGCCAGTATTGCCACAAACGCCACACTATCGCTTATGCGCTGTTGTCTTTCTTGGACAATGATTATCTTTACTCGTTTTTTAGCTTGTCAGTTTAGTATTCTTCTTTATAACCTGAAAACCTATTGTATCTTTAACAGAGGGTATTCCTTATTTTATTAGACATTTGTTTTTTATTCTTTGGCATTCATTTAATAAATGATTGGCCTCTTTTAGCTCGCGGACTCTGGAATCAACCAAAGCGACCTTATGCATAAGATTGTATATAGCCTTCAAAAACAAGCTCAATGCATCAATTATTGATATAAGTGAGCTTCCCTGGTGGTTTCTGACTCGATTTTGGATATAAACTGATTGATTTATTGCTTCATTAATGGTGGTAGGCGTCTTTGAAGTCTAAGTAATGGGTGGCAGATTGGCGTCTGGCAACAGTGTTCGTATCTTGGATACTATCTTTCGTGACTACCGCTTCAACTTGGCAAAACCACGCGCGATACACGTCTGGATCTTTGTTCAAGACCCTCTGGTAGTCTATCCTCCAATGAAAACGCGTCCGGAGGCCTAGTATGCGTTTGATGAAGTTCGCCGTCCAGTTCTTCCCAATGCATCCAGTCTTACGTGCCGCCAACAATTGATTCGCCATATCTACAACATAAGCGTACTAAGGCAGAAATGCTCATGCATCCAGGTCAAGTATAAAGAAGCAAATGGAATTTTCTTCAGAAATCGTAAGTTTCAAAGAATTGGGCATGCTATCGTGTCGTGATGGTCAGCCAGCGTTTCTTTGAGCCAATATAAAGATTGGTAGGTGAAAAGTTTTAGCAAGCTTTTGAACAGAAATATAAGGGTCTTACTTCTTAGCTTGCACATCTAGCTGCATGTCTGATTCATTACAACATAGTGCCATTGCCGTGGGTGGAGGAATACTGGCTGGAAGTTAGAAGTTTGAGAGGTTCATGAAAGTGTCCCACTCGCTTGTATGTCCCGCTTGCTTATGACCTACGTTGATTATAATAATAAACTAGTTTAAAAAATTTATTTATTATTAATATAATTACCGTTAAAGATCTTTAATATAATAAACAACGTCTTATTAATCAACTAAATATTTTAACCTATTATAACGTTAATATAAATAAGGTTAAAGTTTCGTAGCGATATTTAAAATAAATACTAAATGAGTATTAAATTAAAAAAGATCTTAAATGAAGTTAAATAAAACGTAGTTTTAAAACCAAACTAAGTAACATTATTATTTTAATTTCAAAAAGAATTGTTTTAAAACATTATAACCGGAATCTTAAACCCTTTATTTGTCTTCAAATTATGCTTTTTCAATATGTTAAATTTTATATATAACCCGAATTATATTAAATATAAGAATTTAACTTTATATTGTACACATTTATATATAATTAATAGTAAATAAAAGTTTAATAAGTATATAAAAAGATGTTTAAAATTTTCCATATTTGAAATTAAGTTCTATAAAAAATACTGTAATCTTTTACGTATTATAAGATCACCATGCCTTTTTTATACTATAATTATTAATTTTAATTTTACATTGTTAAAATTAAAAAATAATTTTAATATAATAATTCCCTTTACTGTTGGATCCATGTGATTCCACAATAAAACCATCCATACAGAACGCACATGTATGATTAGATAAGAGATTAGATACCAGTCTTTGAGGTTACTTAGCCAGACCTGCAGGTCCAGTTAGACTTCACAATCCAACCATCAGCAACATCATGACCTTGACCCCATACTCGAGTATTATGATTGATCGTTCAAGCCTGTTCCCACACTTACATATAAATGTAATCTTTGAAAAGATTACTTAGATAACACCGTAATAAAAACAAGCCTTATTTCGTAAACTTCCGTTTTATAATCAAAAGGTTTTAAATGATATTATTCTAAATCGAGATTTAAAGGTTTTTGCTGTTATATAAAAGTTAATACAAATATATTTCGTATTATATTGTTATATCTTCTAACTTCAATGTTTTTTAAAAATGATTAAAGTAAAATTAAAAATTAAAAATTCAATTGTAAATTTTGTACTTAGATATTATATTAACCTGTTAAATTTTTTTGTGAAATTATGAACACCATTGGCTGCATTTATATCTTAAGTTTAATAATAAAAAATCCTTAATAATAAAGTAGACTCCTAATGAGATTGTTATAAGACTTATACCTAAAGATATTTTAAATATGTTTATGTTTAAATTAGTAAATAAGATTGTATATTATTTATAATACGAGGAAAAACTCACTACGTTATTTATTTAATAGCTATAAATATAAAATATCGTTATAATCAAAAGCATTTATTTAAATTTTGTGACCTTTCAAATGAAGTCTTATCAAAACTATATAAAGAATAAGTTATTTACAAAGTCGTATTTATTAAATGAAAACTTACCTAATAATATATAAAACCCTCCAAAATTTTAGAATAAATATCTATCAATTATTTAAAACTTATTGCTTTTGATATATTCAAGAGATATTTATTATATGTAAGCTTTTCTTATTTTCTAAACGTATTATTTAAATTATAAATGTTTTAAATCAAAATAAGGTAAATCTATAAGTATTTAATATTATATAAAAAACTAAGACGGGTATGTATTAAATAGTCAATAATTAATTAGTTAGGGAAAATCATAGATATATTGGTTAATATTCTTAAAAATAACAACTTAGATTAACCTAACTTACTTGAAACTACTATTATGTTTACTTTAAGTAATTAAGTTAACTAGGGCAATTAGTAATAAAATTTATCTGTATACTTTTATTAGTTCAATTCTTTTTAATTGTTAATATTCTTTTTTATATTTACAGTTAGATCTCTGTGATTCCAGCCTGCAAACCATCTATACTAGGATCCACATATATGATTAAATAAGAGATTAGATACCTGATTGCGAGGCCACTTAGCCAGACCTGCGAGTCCAGCTAGGCCTTTTAATCCAACCATTAACAACATCATAACCGTGACCCAATACTCGAGTGTTATGATTGATCGTTAAAGCCTGTTCTAATATTTACTTTTATGTATATAAAGTAAAACGTATTATGTTTTCCAAAAAACTCGTGTTAGCTTATTTAAATTTTGGGTTTTCAAACCTTTTTCAAGCTTACAAATAATTATAGCAGAAAAAAGCCTATTTATTATTGATGTTTTATTAACGTAAATGCTAAGTAATACAAAGCGTTTTAATAACGCGTAGTTAAAGTCGTTTAATAATATAAATTATAAATAATTTAACGATAACTTTATTATAAGATAGTATTGAAATATGTGAAAAAATAAGGCAAGCAAGTAATAAATAAAAGATTTAATTAAAGTTTATATTAAGATTAATTTAGTATCGTTAATAGTTACATTAAGAAGAATAGTTAAAAACAGTCTGTATAAGATTAATAATTTCAAAAAGCCGGGGGTAGTTAATTAATTTATAAGACAAAAAATAAATAAATAAAAAGCTGTAGTTAATCTTTTTACCCGTGTATGATTTCATAGTAACGTAGTTACTTAATTATTTGTTTGTATAATGAATCTATGTTCACTTGATAAAAACCGAATTATATAAATATGTTTGTTTTATAATAAAACATATTTAAAGTTTGTGTCGCGATGCCTGCGGCGTTGTGCTGGAAAACTTGTGGTATTCCGAAAATAACAAGGTGAGGAAGGAAAGAAATCCAGGTGTGTGTGCATCCAAATAGCTGCAGCCATATGGTGGTGTCCTTCCTTATCTAGTCTACACGTGACTTGATGACTCAGCATCCAACCAGGTAAATAGAGGTGCTGGACTGTCACAATTCGTTGGTTTAAATAACCAAAATCAGTTAATATTAATTAAGCTTAAAACTATATATCTTACTTAAATAAAGATAAACTCAAAGTAATTAAAGTTTATGGCGATATTTAAGCCGGATTTAATAATATGTTAAAATTATAAACGACTTTTTAGAATAAATTAGACTTATATAATTAACGTAACTAGGTAATAATAGCGTTATAATTATTATATTATATTAGTAAAATATATTAAAGTTAGTCATTTATCACTTAACTTAATTTTCGCGCTTATATACGTAGATTTAGTGTGAAAAGACTACCTAGTGTTATTAAATCGGTAATAAGCGTAAATGTTATTTTTAATGTTATTTTAAATGTTATTTTTATTTTCAATCTGTTGGAACAGGCTTGAACGATCAATCATAATACTCGAGTATGGGGTCAAGGTCATGATGTTGCTGATGGTTGGATTGAGAGGAATCTAGCTGGACTCGAAGGTCTGGCCAAGTGCCCTCTTAATCCACTATCTTATCTTATCTAATCATACATGTGGGTCCTAGTATAGATGGTTTGCAGTCTGGAATCGCATGGATCCAACAAAATCTTCTAATAAATAAAGAGAGAACTCTAAATGCAATAAGAAATCGATTGACTTTAAATATAAAGGAGAAAAAAGCGTCTGTTGAAAACTCTTAAGTTATAAATTTTTACATTCATAGATTTAAAAAGTGTTATATATAAACTAACCTCGTTAAAAAATCTCGATCATAGCATTTTATTATAAAAAATAAATAGGCTTTAAAAAGAGGTCGATAATTTTTATACGTTATAATAATAAATATAATAATAAACTTATAAATTAATCAAAAATATAGAACAGTAGATTAATAAATCGGTTAAAAGCGTATAATAATAAATTAGTAAATCGGTCAAATTTTTTAATTATTTTTACGTAGTTGAATAATAAATTATTAGCGATATTTATTAAAACGTTTTATAGAACATAAATCACACTATATAACTTATACTAATAATTATAAGCGACTTTATAAAAAGAATTAAGTTTATATAAAAATATATTAATTACGTATTAAACATAACGACCGCTTTTTGAATAGCTTTAATTTGGATATTAATAAAGACAAAATAGTTATTCAATTATTCATAGCTATAGTAAGAATAGCTTTAATATAAACTAAATAATTTTGTTTACGTTACTTTAAAAAATAGTAGAATGACGGCGACAAAGGTTTTTCTATAAGCGCTTGTAAATAAAAGGCTTTAATAATATAAGAATTACTACCGATATCTAAAAAAACGATAAAGATAAACATATGCATTAAATTTCCGCCTTCGGTTTTTTTCTCCGCTTATTTCTAATTTTATTAAGAATTTAACAAATCGATAATTTAATCAATACTTCGCTAAATTTTAAAAGTAATCCTATATTTACATTAACCAACGGTTACAAAATTTTCTCTTTTTTAAAAAAAATAAACAATTTTTTTACATTTATAAAAAGAAATTACGAGCTAGCGACGGTGAGAATATTATTAAAACTTATTAGAGGTAAATTATTACATGATAAAAACCACGTTAAACTTGCATTACGTTTTATAGCAGTAGTTACAGCGTTAAAGGAACCTACTTTAAACTAGCTAGATATAATAACAAATACATACAATACACACAAAGCTTGATAACAACCTAGTCCTGCATGTCTTCATTCTGTCGACACTCCAGATCATAATATCACACAAAAGGGTCGTAGGATCCCTTCTGTGCTCCGGGACAAAGAGAATCAGGCATAATGGATTATTTGATTGCTCTGGTCTCTTCCACCACCCCTTGCCAATGTTCTCTGACTCTGGAAGACAGCACAGGTGAACAAAATGACTGCTGGACTGTCTCCGAAACTTCAACGCATACCACCGACATTTTACAGTCATTCGGCATTATGGCTATAGGCGCAACGCTCATGTTCATGTCTTGTGACACCCTATCATCACAACCAGATAGTGGAATGCTAGAAGGAAATATCCCAATCACGGCGGAGTGCTAGGCCATGCAACTTGGGGCTGCCGACATAACATCTTTTTCAAATAGGGAGTTGCTTATTACCTACATGTACCTACCATACCTCATGAGAGAACATGTGAAGCCTTCCATCGGGAATTTGTCAACTTCCCTTCTAGTGATTTGAGATTCCACACCCAGCTTCAGGGCCCCCTTTCCAAGGTCTCACTCTTGCTTCGTTGAACCTCTGCAGTAGCCGCCTACGTTAATGAAGACGAACCCCAGCAAAGGCGCATACTGACATAATGCCTACGTCCTGTCGCATGCATGATGGCTCCCACTTATAGAAGTACCAGGTTCGTGAAGGACCAAGGTCAGATTCAGCCATCCTGGTTATTAGCCTTGTAGGTACAGTAGTGCAGTCACAGTGATGCGATCGAAATTACAGGTTTGGATTTTAGCGGCATTCCATGCTGCAAGTCATCGGCTTTCCCGTTAACCCGGGTACTGACTCAGTGAATCGAATCCTGGCGTCTGCCCAGCTGATCCATTCCACCACGTCAGCCACTGAGACCACTGCAACTAGCGTCTGCGCTCCAATGGGATGGCCGGGATGGCCGGGAAGAGCGGGAGAGCAGCATGGCTTGAACTTCCTATGCCGCCAATGCAACCTTGAACTTAACCTTCCAAGGTCTCTTTCTGTACACCACCAAACAACACCCATACCCATTCCCGACCCGATCGACCCGCTCCTCAACACCGAGTAAAACGGCAGTTGGTCTCTCGCCGAAGGGATCCCGGGGACTCGCTGGACATCGGCATCACGATCGCTGGCTGCTATCGTATTGCAGCATCCTCACTCGTTCCGAATATCCGAAGACGTTCGTTTAGTTGCCCGTTCTGCAAATCTAAGTACGAACCAACAAACCTACCAGCAAGCATCGCGCCTGTCCACGACGAGTACAGCGTCTGAGAACGCGCTCTTTCTCACGCTGACATTGGTCTTGCCCCGAGATCTACAATGTTAATGCAAACCGTGTTTTGCAATGGGACAACACTCGTTCGGTAAATTACAGAATGCCTGGAAAAGGTGATCGATCTGAGTACGATGTAGGGGACAAGGAGAAAGAAGCGGGCTTGCCGATTGGGAAGCGTGTGGGAGAGAAAGTCGACAACCTCCGGGTAACATCATACGAGCGTGCCTTGCGGTGGTATCGGCTGTATTTCCTCGAGGCAGTATTGCGACGAAAGCCTCTGAAGCCGTCGCAAGACGGTCGCCACATTCCCCTACGCGTTGGACGTGAGCCACCCCTACTCGATGAACGACGAGGGCAACCATACATATCGAACACGATCCGAACCTCCCGATACACCATCTACAACTTCATACCCAAGCAGCTGCTCTTCCAATTCACCCGGCTGGCCAACTTTTACTTCCTGTGCGTTGGTATCCCCCAGACCATACCGGGTCTGAGCACAACTGGAAGCTATACCACCATCCTTCCGCTGCTCTTCTTCGTCCTCTTGACTATAGTGAAGGAAGGGTATGATGATTATAAGAGACATCGACTAGACACGCTGGAGAATGCCACAGCTGCGACCGTGCTGGGAGTGGGCGCGTCGCAGCCTACAGCTGCCTTCCAATCGCGTAGGTGGTTCTCGTCTAAATTCAAGATTCTCGAGACTCATTTCGACGCCGAGCACGACGAAGAGACCAATGGACGGTATGGCTGGAGGAGAGTGAAGTGGCAGGATATCAAAGTTGGCGACATTGTGAAGCTCGGTCGTGACGAGGCCGTCCCAGCCGACCTCGTTCTGTTACACGCCACCGGAGAAGATGGCTTCGCTTACGTCGACACCATGGACCTGGATGGCGAAACGAACCTCAAGACCAAAGAGTCGCTATCTGATTTCAAGGACTGTGGTAGTATATGTGGTCTTCAATCATGCGAAGCCGAGTTTGTCGTCGAAGATCCTAACCCCGACCTTTACCGCTTCGATGGTCGTGTCACGGTAAGGGGCCGGACCATGCCGCTCACATCTGCCGAGGTTGTCTACCGTGGAAGCACTGTCAGGAATACTGGCTGTGCCATTGGCATAGTCATCAACACTGGGGAGGAGTGCAAGATCCGACTGAACGCAAACCAGCACCCTGAGGCAAAGAAACCAGCCCTGGAAGCCATCGCCAACAAGATTGTTATCTGCCTGGCACTATACGTCATCGTTGTCTCCGTTGGTTGCTCCATGGGATATATCATCTGGCGTCGGTCCACGGAGCGATCGTCGTGGTACATTGCCGATGCGACAGTCCAGTTCCAGCAAATCATCATTGGCTATGCCATCATGTACAACAATGTCATCCCTTTGGCATTATACATCACATTGGAATTGACGAGAATCGGCCAGATGCTCAGTTTGAATGGCGATCTGGGCATGTATGACGAGGCCACCGATACTCCGGCTCGCTGCAACACCAACACCATCCTGGAAAACCTTGGCCAAGTGAGCTACATCTTTTCTGACAAAACCGGCACATTGACAGACAACGTCATGAAATTCAGGAAGATGAGCATCGGAGGTACTGCGTGGCTACATGAGATGGATCTTGTGTCTGAAGCTGCAGAGACAGAAATGAATCCTGCCGGCGAATCAACCATGGAGTTGGCATCCCCCGGAAAATCAAAAGGAGCCAGCAGCGTCATTCACGAAGACATTGAACTTTTTCGTCTCCCTACGGCAGCTTCTGCTTTGCGGCCGGAGTCGTGTCGAAGGTCTTCTTCACAATGGAGATCCACTGGTCGTCCAGATCGTCCCCAGCCGGATGTCACTACGTCGGACTTGTTGGAGTACATACGGCTCAGACCTACATCATCCTTTGCAAGGCGGGCGAAAGATTATATTCTGTGCATGGCCCTTTGCCACACCTGTCTCCCTGAGACAAAAAACGGGCAGGTTGACTTCCAAGCCTCGTCGCCGGACGAGTTGGCACTTGTCCGCGCAGCTCACGAGCTCGGGTATTTGGTGGCCCATCGGTCTTCACACTCTGTGACGCTGCGGATAGCTACCGAGGACGGTGACGAGAAGACCGAGGTCTATCAGATTCTTGATGTCATTGAGTTCAGCAGTAAGCGAAAACGCATGTCGATCGTGGTGCGCTACCCTGATGGAAGGATATGCATCATCTGCAAAGGAGCAGACTCCATGGTTATGCCTCGGCTCAAGCTGGCTCAACTGGCATTTCAAAAGGCTGAGGAAGTTCGGAAGAGTGTGGACCTCGAACACGAGATGCTACGGCGGAGCGAACAGCTCGAGGTTAGGAATAGCTTTGGTGGTCGCCCAAGTCTGACGTTGCGACGGAGTTTCGTCTCGAACCGTACTGTTGCAGGACCATTCCTGTCCCCCAGCCCTAGTCCGAGCAAACGTCCGGCGATCTGGAGGAGCAGGTCTGTTGAGCCCCCACGATCGCGAACGTCTGGCGAGAAACCGCGCCCGTCATTGGGTATTCGGACCGTTTCCATTGATGTGACGAAACTGTTGCCCAACCCGGGCCCTCGATCTCCGTTACCCCCAGCCCACAATAAGTTCAGCTTCCTCGACGATCCGTCCATCATCGATGAGTCAACCATCTTCAGTCGTTGCTTCAAGCACCTCGACGAATTCGCTTCCGAAGGTCTTCGCACGCTCCTGTTTGCTAGAAAGTTCATACCCGAAGCTGAGTACATGGCTTGGAAGGACATCTACAACAATGCCACAACGAGCCTGGTGAATCGCCAGGACTTGATAGAAGAGGCTGGTGAAATGATTGAGCAGTCACTTGATCTTGTTGGGGCGACAGCGATTGAGGATAAACTTCAGGTTGGGGTGCCTGAAACCATCGATAAGCTCCGACGTGCGAATATCAAGATCTGGATGTTGACGGGAGACAAGCGCGAGACGGCCATCAACATCGCACACTCTGCGCGTATCTGCCGGCCCGGCTCCGACATATTCATTCTTGACTCGTCGAAAGGTTCGTTGAAAGTGCAGATCCGGGATGTCATGGAAGACATCCAGACTGGCTGCATCCACAGCGTTGTCGTTATTGATGGGCAAACGTTAGCAGCTGTTGAACAATCGCCAGGTCTTACTAACCTCTTCTATACCCTCATCCCCACGATTGACTCGGTGATCTGCTGTCGTGCATCTCCGGCTCAGAAATCCTTGATCGTCAAGGCCATTAGGCAGCGCTTACCAAACGCTCTTACGCTGGCAATCGGTGATGGTGCCAATGACCTGGCCATGATCTCGGCCGCGCACGTGGGTGTCGGTATATCCGGCAAGGAAGGATTACAGGCTGCGCGCGTCGCTGATTACGCCATCGCCCAATTTCGTTTCCTCCAGCGGTTGCTGCTCGTGCACGGCCGATGGAACTATGTACGAACAGCCAAATTCATCCTGACGACCTTCTGGAAGGAGATGTTCTTCTACCTCCCACAAGCTATGTATCAACGGTATAACGGGTACACCGGTACCAGTCTATATGAGAGTTGGAGTCTGACGGTATTCAACACGCTGTTCACGAGCTTGTGCGTCATCTACATGGGGGTCTGGGAGCAAGACTTGAGCGCAGAGACCCTGCTTGCAGTTCCGGAGCTGTACGTGCACGGACAGAGGAACTCCGAGCTCAACATACCGCGATTCATTTATTGGACGGCCGCTGCCGCCACAGAAGGCGTGTTGGTATGGCTTGGCGTGTGGGCATCATACAATGTGTTTGGGCAACCTCGTGATGATGGGCTTTTCGCTCTGGGGGACCTAGTTTTCTCAATCGGGGTCGTATGGATCAACTGGAAGATCTTGTGAGTTAAGCCGGCTCTTTGTTCCGTTTGAACCTCGACTAACACGATATTAGCATCGTCGAAACGCACCACAAGACGGCCATCATGTTAGGTGCGTTCAGCATCACGTTTGCCGGATGGTGGGCTTGGAACGGATTCCTCGAAGGGGCCTACTCCCCACAACCAAGTCCCTACGATGCACGAGGCGGCTTCGCGAATACCTTTGGCAAGGACCCCGTCTGGTGGCTAACGCTCATCATCATTGTCCTGGTGCTCATCTCTATCGAGTTTGCCTGCAAGGCGGCCAAGCGGCAGTTGATTCTTGCCGGGCTTTGGAGATGGCCTCCATGGAAAAGGGAGGACTTGGACGAAAACCTCGAGAACTGGAGTCGCGAATTATGGCAGGAGCTGGAGAAAGATCCTGTCGTGCGGGAACGGCTTCGTCAAGCTCTCAACGAAGGGGAAGAGGGCGATAATGACGAACGCGAGGCTGGCGAGAACGTGGACTTGGAGAGAGCTTCATGATCGGAACAGCATTGTAGGCGTTTCGGCCGGTGTATATAATGAGAGTTTCGTTTGATTTTGGGTGAGGTCCACAAAAACATTGGCATGGGTTTCTTATGTTGGTCGGTTGAACGAAGGTAGATACCCACACCACGCCGGCATGATATATTTGCACATAGGCTTGTTTCTTATGAACATAATACAACTTAAATCATCAACCTCGGACTTGTCTATTGGTGAAACCACTTTACCGTGCGTTGGCAGAACCTTCGGTCCATCGGAGGATTTTGGAAGCATTAGTGGTTCCAAGCAACTGGATCCTAGACACGACGACGGTTCGAGTCGACCCCAACGTTGAACCCTCCGCCGTATGCGACTATAAGGCCTCCTCCTCCTTATTCGATACCACCAGGGTCTAGCTCTGACATGAGCGGGCATGTCAATTCAGACGGCTGCGATCCGACGGAGGAAGTTGGTTGATTGGAAGACTTGCAAGGGAAGTTGGAGCGATAAGACAGCGCGACGGCCACAAAATATCGCTTTTAGACATCACGCAACCGAGATATTTTCTCGAGGATGAATTGAAGGAGTAGACACGGAGACATAGCATTGCCGGCTCTTGAGGCATGATATTGGTATACCCCTCCTCCGTCGAGGGTAGCTTGCCACTGATCGGCTGTTTGTTGTTTAAGCGGCTGACAGGCCAGACTACTTGACTGTCCATTAACAGGGGTACATATGATGGCGAGGAGTATAGGGGAGTATAGGGGTAGATAGGGGGGTGGTGGAGGTGTTGGATAGGGGCCAGTGTATTGCTTTCGCAACGATAGTCGCACAGCATACCCCTTTATCAATTGAGCTTTGAGGGATCTACTGCAATCTCACAATAAAGCGGCACGAACAAAGCCACCTTCCTCGGGCAAGCGAGTTGAAATGACACGCGCCATCGCAACATGTGTCTGAATAGACGCGAGCGGGGACAGTCTGGTCTCCTCGTATCCTAAATATGTCTAATAAGCAAGCGGCGAAAAAGACGGATCAACTGAAGGAGTATTTTGAGAAGGACTCCCGAAACTTCAAGTTGGAGAAGCCGAGACCCAACAGGGATTTCCTCGGGAGGGGCGGATTTGGTATCACGTACCTCTTCCGAGAGGAACAGGAGGATGGGACTCTGAAGAGGAAATTCGTCGTCAAGTTCGCCACGCGTTCTACGGAAGGGACTTCGAACGAGATGCAGACTGAGATTCGGATTGCCAAGGTATATATCCACCTATCTACATACATATGCTGCCCAGTTTGTCCGTACGTATATCGAAGCCCATTATCTGACCAGCGCATACATAGAAACTCTACGGAGCCCTGCACATCGCCCAGCCCATCGTAGACGAGGGCGAGATGCGCAAGCTGGACAACCTCCCCGAAAACGCGGATAAACTGTTCAGTCTTTTGTTGTGTACCGAATTCCTGCCGAACGGGACACTATTTACCTTCCGGATGAAAGCGATGAATGCGGAGCAACCGATCCCGAACCGTATCCTGTGGATGATCTTTCTCTGTTGTAGGTTGGCCCCTGTCAGGTGTCTAAGAGACACTGAAAAATAGGTCTGCACTAACACATGGGATTTGAAGTGGTAAGGATGGTCATTGCCATGGCCAACCCGCCTGATAGGGGATACCGCGCGGAAACGGCAGCCCCCCAGTTGGAGGAGTTGGCGGAGCCTGGGTATTACCAGATCGAGCATGGGGATCTTAACAATCCGAGCAACCGTGGGTCCTCCCTTTCTATCGTGGCAAGAGTGATACTCCCGCTGATTAGTCCTACAGTGGTATTTGGCGACTTTGACATCATCGAGCACAACCTAGTCCCAATAGTCAAGTGCCTCGATTTTGGCATGGTCAAAGATAGCTGGCCAACGCCGTATTCGGCTACTCTAAGCTCGTTCATTGCGACACCTCAGCAGCCCGCCGCTCGCAAATTTAGTCTATACTGACACCAGGGTACCAGTTTATGAGCCAGTTATTCGCTTACAAAGGGATGCCCAACCCCAAAGAGACGCCCGACCCCAAAGTCCTCTTTCCCAACCTCGACATGGAGCTCTACGATCTCGCAGGGCGATGCGCTGTGGACATTACGAAAGACTCGAATTACTTCTCCAATCCCGATCGGCCCTCGCTGACCGAGCTGTTCACCGCGGTCCGGAACGCGGTCACCACGAAGACAGGGCCTGACCACTTCCTTGGCCTCCCTTTTACACATCCCGAGACCGACGAGGAAATACAAAAATACGTGCAGAAGATGATACTGTCCGCGTAAAGCTAGGAGGGTGGGGGACGTTTCTAGGTTTAACGCAAGTCTACCACCAGAGGAACCGAGAAACACGGCCACGGCCACGGCAACGGCAACCAAGGTGGGGAGGACGAGAGTTGGGAAGCGTTACCTTGGGAGGGGGGCCATAAGCTATTACGGATCTATTCGGAGGGGAAGAAAAGACTTGGGCCTCTGAAGAGCGTCTTGTGGTTGGTTTCGTGTCGAATGGCCATGCTTCATGTGGCCCATAGTCAGACTGCAACTACGACATGTTTGGTAATCATGATATCCTATGAACTTTTCCCCTGGCAGACAACTATAGAAAGGCCTAATATAAACACCAGCTCGTCGTAAAGACCCTGCAACTGCCGCTGTAGGTAGGTGGTTTACCTCTCTGCTCTAATTGCACACGGGACTTCTGAGTTGAGGTCAGAACAGTCTGTAACATCTTCAGGCCCTCATAGCCATTCACCACCAACCCGGACTACATTTTTTCTGTCAACACTTATTGCACTTTTCAGGGAGCCGCTCCAGTGGTCATTACCCCATCGCACACACCAGCAGGCCTGCGAGAAATCATACAGAAAGGTCACCGTAAGGTAAGTAATGGAAACAATGTATATCAGTGTGAATCAATCCTGCATGTACAATCTACAATCTTCGAGCCCCTATGTACAGCCCTTTCGTCCCAACGTCTATGCAACAAGTAATTGACACCCAAAAATCCCAACACTCTCAGCGCTCAGTCCCGCCGGGCGCCTTGATCCTCATCCTCACAAATACGCTCCCCTGAGCCTTCACTCTGCAGCACCCTAGTTGTACACGACATCGCCGCCCAGGAGCAACATGGCAAGCGCCGTACTCGGCTTCTCCGTCCATCTCCATGGCGTTGCGCGCGCTGTCGACCACGCGCGAGAGCTGCTCCGGCGTCTCGGCCGGGATGCACTTGCACTTCTTCTCGTTGTGGCTGATGGCCTGCGGCATGATGCCCGCGCCGAGAGTCACGCGGCACCCGGTGTCCGGGCGGCGGATGACGGGGCTGGCGGAGCGGATGATGGGAGCCATTGTGCGGTGGGGTTGATGGAGTGGGAAGTGGGTGTTTTGGAAGGTTTGGAATATGAGGGAGAGGATGAAGATAAGAATCAAGAATATATTGTTGAGAAAGTAAGTTTTGACTGTGTGAATGTTGAAGATGATCGTTTGGCAATATCCATGGAAGGCGCGGTATGGGATACGTTTTATCCAACTCTCCGATGTCAAACCAGGCGGTCCAGAGCTGTAACGTTATAGACCTGAGTTGTATTGTCGCAGTGACAATCGTATCCCACAAAGATGCCCAGCATGTTTCTTTCTTCGTAATCACCTTCGAAGGCGCCATGCTGAAAATCTTATAGGTTCCTGGTAAGATAACGCATTGTTGCCGTACCTTTCATCAGCGCCCCCCGGGCCATCAAGCCATCTCCTTTGTAGTAGCTCTAGAGCTATTTGAAGACCTGACAATGCTCCCTTTATTCTCTCAGGCCCGCTAGCCTATCAGGCGTTGGGTATGATAGAAGGATCGGCTCTTGTCTTGATGCTCAGCACCGTCCCCTCTGGTATTGAGGTCGCCTAGGCTGGCCCTATCACGTCAACTCTTCTTTGTTGTGATACAACAACGTCCAAGAATCACTGTCTACTCTGATCCCTCGTCAACGTAAGTTCAAACTTATACAAGTACGCTTGGTGGAGTGCATGTTCAATCATGGGTTTGGCAGTGCCCTGCGAATCGATACTTGACGTATCTGTGGTTGGGTGGTATTGGCTAACAATATTTCCACCTATCATGCCACGCTCAACGGATCTATACGCGCCCCGCAAGAGGTTTACCCCTCGCGTTCACCTCCTGACTTTCGAAGCATATTCTTCTCCATATGTTAACCATAGGGTCCTTGCTGAGGGGTAACCTTGAACCTATCCCCAGATTCGCTTCGTAGACAAGAAGTTGCCATGGAAAACATCTTAAGAACGGCCCGCTCCTACATTTCATAGGGACCTATACCACCGAAGGGATATCAATACTCGTGTTACCAGGAGCTGCTCGACTGTCAGTGAAGCAGCCTCAATCGAGCGGCAGCAGGTCGCAATGGCTTGGAGGATGAGACCTTTGGGGTCTCTTTGCTTGGGCCTCTTGTCCATTGCCTCAGCTTTAAAGAACCCCATCCTGAGAGGGTAAATCGAGTCTCTAATTGCTTCTGCTTGCAGCGTTCCAATCACTGACTAGGTCTAAGATGGAACCCAGACCCTTCTGTTCTTCGGGTAGACGATACGTATTACATCGCCGTATCGTCCTTCCTAACACATCCTTCGGTCCCCATTTATCAGTCCAAAGATCTGGAGAATTGGGATCTCATCTCGCATGCATTAGACACGCCGGGCAAGATGCCACTTCATGGCATTGCCACATCTTTCGGTATGAGATCCCGAAATCACTCGTCCACTGATGTCTGACCAAACACGCCAAACTGATAGGTGTTTGGGCCCCATCGATATTATATATAGATGGCCTCTTCTACGTGACTTCGATGACAATGTGGGGATCGGATGCCAACGCTCGAAGTTATCCTCGCATGTTCTGGGTCTCATCGCCAGATCTGCAAACATGGTCAGATGTGGTTTGGGGTGAGCCGTACGGCATCGACCCTCATCTGTTCCGCGACCCGATATCTAACAAGACATACCTCACGCTGATGTCATTGAATAACGGGTACGATAGACTCTGGGGGATTGGACAATGTGAAGTGGGTTTGAGCAGTGGCAAGTGCACTGGGCCCTTCCGGAGTCTGTGGAATGGTACCATGCCGGTGACCAACAGTACGCGACCGGAAGGGCCCAAGCTGTTCTACAAGGATGACTTCTACTATCTTCTGATCGCAGAAGGCGGGACTGGAATCACTCACAGAGCTTCGATAGCCCGGTCTCAATCGCCCGAGGGCCCGTGGGAGGCATCTCCCACGAACCCCCTTATCTTCAATGGCGCGGATACGAACTTGACAATAAGCTCGACTGGGCATGCTACCATTGCAGATACCCCGGATGGGCGATGGTTCGCAACGCTGCTGGGACGTCGCAACATCAAGACTTGGTCTCCTCTTGGCAGAGAGACATTCTTCGCTCCCGTGACTTGGGAAGATGGTTGGCCGACTATGAACTACGGGGAATTTCTACTCCCGAGTCAGGAGTACGACTTCGCTCCTGACCAACAGCCACTTACTGCTTTCGAGGACAACTTCGAAGGATCGGAACTGGGTCTGAGCTGGTACCAGCTTAGATCTCCCTACACTGTCAACTACAAGCTGGGGTCCACACTCGCCCGAAACCAAGAGGGTGCCGGAGCTGGGAGCGGAGGTGTGACACTGGTCCCGAATGTCTTCACCTTGAGTGACCACGACACCCCGGCAGCCATTCTTCGGAAGCAGATATCGACGAACATGACATTCTCGGCCGCCCTGCTACCCACATCAAACGGCCTGGGCCCATACCAATCGGTTGGTATATCTGCATACGTCAGCGCGGAAAACCATCAAGATATTGGCCTTCGAGGCTGCGCGAGCGTCCCTGGCATGTGCGCGTTCGTCGACATGACGTCCGACGCTGCTGGCCCGGACACTCGGCCGGAGGTAAGTTGAAGCGCTCATGTGGGTAGCTAAAGATCTGTCTACTAACCAAACACGCGTCAAGACACACGAAGTCCCCCTGAACATCACCAAGGTCCCCTCCAACTTCTCACTTCATATCAGCGCCCAGCCCCTGACGTACAAACTGGGGTATGCGACGCTTGGCAGTGACATTACCTGGCTTACCGAGTTTTCAGCCGCCCTGATGAATCCTGGCTTTGACGGCTCTATGTTTGCTCTGTTCGCTAGTGGCAACGGGTTTGCATGGCCCTTCGATGCACCGGAAGTTGGATTTAGTCACGTGAGAGAGAAATACTATAAGGAGAGCTTCGGTGACTACATTGAGACCTAGGTAGTTCAATACGATCTGCCTGCGGCATAAGCTGCGGTAGGGCGGATGGGGACAGTGTTCAACCTCGGTGGCGATGGAAAGCAGTCTTAGAAGAAGTTGTCCGTGTCTCTCCATCTCGGGATCATTACACAATCGTCCAGGATGCATTCCGTGCCGACTGTGCCATCTGTCGTCGAAGACGGGGTCCCGAACTATTTTTGGTTCAGCGGCAGGACCGACAGTAAGCCAAAATAGGGAGGATGGAGACGGCACAGATAGACCAGTCAACCGAGCAGCGGCGTATACACTGGGGTTGATCCGCATGACGTAGGGTTTGAACGAATGCAAGGTACAGGCGTGGGTACCCGTGAGCGGTGCCGCATGCTTTGCCTCACCGCGCCGTAGAGATACAAAGGGTCTGTCCTAGAAGTGGCTTCACGATACCTAGTTGTATGAGTGATGATGACAGAACTTGCTGCTTCGCCGCTCGACACGCCTGTCGCATGTTGGCGCTCGCATGTATGCCTGAACACAACACCTGTCCGTAAGGCGATTGGTTTCGTCCTTGCTGCTCAGCACTGGATAGTCGTGCAAGCCATCGCCATGGCTATATAAATTTGGCCTGGGAAATCAGCGACTGAGATCCCAATTGGTATAACCAGCTAACTAGCATATTCTGTCTATCATCAGACACAACCGAAAACCTTCTCCAGCACTTTACCGCCCCCCGAATTAGGATCTTGTCCAGCAGAGTCTCTCTTTCCCTCTCTCCACCTACCTGGCCGAAATGCATCTTTCCAAAGCTTTGATGGGCCTGGTCTCATTCTTGTCGCTCGCGTCTGGCGCCGTAATGGGTCCTACGGTTCTCCCTCGTGGAAGCCTTAAAGTCGAAGACTGGAGCAAGGAAATGAATACAGCAAAAGCGTACACAACCTTGTGGCTCGCCAAGGAGTTCGATGAGCAGATCAAGAATGAGGTGTACCCAAATAAATCGGACGGAACTTACGACAGGAAGAGATACGATAAGGTCAGACAGGAACTCATCAGAAAAATTGAGGATTACCACCGAAAGAGCAACTTGCCGTACGCGAAGGAGTGGAAGTCCTACGCCAGCTTCCGGCATCATAAAAGCAAAAGTTCTTCTCGATACCCACCCGGGGTTAATCAGGTAAAGGCCGGCTTTCAGCAAATGCCAAAAGTGGCACGATGACGGTGGCATTCCGGCAGTTTCTGAGGACGCGGGGCAGTATGCCTCCGAGGAATACACGCAGGATAATGACGAGGCCGACGAGGCCGACGACGAGCGATATTTTGATTACGAAAATTATTATGGGAATACAGGATAGAGAACGGGCAACGGGCAACGGACAACAGCTGGATCCTGCTGGAGCAAGCCATCGCTGTTGTGGCGAGGGATACAGATGGGAGGCTAGGCTACAAGGGAATTCGAAGGATCGACTGGTTGACAGAGCCAGATGTGGTGGTTAGGATTGATTGATTGATTGTATTTATCGTGGGTGCAGTTCCTCAACAGGGCAAACCACGCCACCCAGAGCCATTGCATCGCAAGGTTATAGAGGTGTCAGTCTAGATACATTCAGATCCGCGCATGAGCCTATCCTCGCTGTAGCGGTACCGATCTGGAGTGTCCAGATGGTTTTAGTCAATACCCAAACACAATTCTGTCAGAAAAACCTCCTATCTAGTGACAAAGCGACCCAGTGAACCTCGGTCCTCTGGTGTACACATCGTTCCAGTAGCCGTTCGATATATGTCGCATTGGTGGGTGAAGTAGTGTTTGTTATCTGCTGGCGAGGGAAACCATAAGGGGAAAACCCTCGCAGGAGTGGGTGTTATGGAGACAAGCTGCTTGGCTATCAGGCTCTGCGATAATGGGGCCTCTCCACTGTCGTGTGCTGGTTGTCGACTCGCACAAGCCGGGTCAGAAGGAGGCCATAACAGGATTCGAACCCACTTGTTCTCGTCGCCATAACCAGATCGTAAACAACTATTTTTCTTGGCGCCCCGCTGTTAGGGCGCAACCTCTATATCTGCACTAAAACAGGCATTTATTTCAGTACCTGACTATCCTTGCCAAGGCGCAGAAAATTTTTCTCACAAGCTGGATGGCACCCCTTCACGATAGGCCCCCAAATACGCCAGTGGCCGTCCCAAAGACGACTACTGGCGGCGTGCTCAAATCCCCGGTCCCTAAAAGAACATATGGCCCGGCAACCCCAAGCAAGCTCCGCCAGGCACTGCTCGACGACATCAACAGCAGCCCGTCACAGGTCTCTGAGGCTGACTTCACCATTGTTTCCCCTCTGAAAGGAAAATCCCGAAATATTAATACTAGCAGCATCATTGATATGGAAGTACCTCAATCAAACGAAATCTCTACAGACCAAGCCATTGGAGGCGATACAGGGAACAAGGTCTCTTCCTCAAAGTGCCAGGACCAAGTAGCCAAAATACTGGCTAAAGACAAGCATCTCTATGAAGCCAGGATAACAATGTTTCAAGAGTGTGCTGCAGCAGTCGATAAGACACTGGAAAAAACTGGAACCGAACTATACTCTCATGCCAAGGAGTTCAGCGCTTTCTTCTCCAAATGCCTGAACGAGTGGCTGGAAACCCGAGATCTGCCCAAAAGAAAGACCACTCCTGGCGGGATAGGGATAGGGAAGCCCACCATGACCTTCGCCCAAGCTGTCTCCTCTGGCCAACGACAGCATCCATGGACAGTCAACACTACCATGAAGAAAACACAGCCTGGCGCCCTTATCACTGCCAACCAACTGAAGAAGAAGCAGGATGATCTCCGGGTCTTTGTCCGCATGGATAATAGCCACTTAGAGCCTTATGGAATCAAGTCTACACTGAACAGAAGACTTAAGCTCCACCCTCAGGAGCTTAGAGAAGTGACACGGTGTCCTTCTGGTTTTACCTTACACCCAAGGGACAAGCCAACTCAGGCTAAGCTTCTGGCTTTCCAAGAAAAAATTGTCGACATTCTTAAGGCACAAAAGATTGAGACCCACACAGTCTGGCATCATTACAAGGTCAATGGATGCCTAAGAAAGGTCATCAATGCAGAAGGGTTCACAATCGATATTACCGACATTGTTGTTGCCGATGAAATTGAAGCCCAAACAGGCGACAGACCTCTGAGGTGCATACTCTCAAAGAACACGATTGATTCTGATCCAGAAACTACATGGATAATCTCTCTGCCCAGTGCAGCAAGGAAACCATTCACGCTTTTTGCCCACTTAATGACCTCAAGGCATATTCAACACACCCCCAAGGTTCACCAGTATGCAAGCTGCTTCAGATACCATGGTAGGAATTACCGATGCAAAAAGCAAGTATGTGCACACTGCGCCAACACAGTACACCAGGGAGAGTGCGAAAAACCAATCCCAAAGTGTGTCAACTGCAAAGGACCTCATGCTGCCAACTTCGACAAATGCCCTGCCCGCCCCAAGGTTGTGAAAGATACCATCCATAAGCACACATGGGAGCAAATCCAGGAAATAAGGCTAGCCAGAGAAAGAGCCAGATCCAAGGCCTTCAACGAAGCAGGCAGAAACCAAGCTGGGTCAACACCTAGCAACAATAACAAAGACACCACAATGCAAATCGACACAACAGATACAACTCATCCCAGAGATGCCGATACCATTGTTGTCAGTCAATGTTAGGTACATCAAACGAAACATATCGACACAGGCATCTAGTCATCCATTCTGTGAATACAGTAGGGGGACAAAAGAGTGCAGGCCCTACAGAGTTAGCCATCAACCTGGCTGACTATAAAGGAGAACAAGCAGACATCATTCTGATGCAAGAGCCCTGGGTTGGCATACCACCAGGCAGGAGAATGGGAGTAAAGACACACCCCAATTACGATATATTCTCCCCAGTGGATTCCTGGGACAGCGACAGTACACGGCCCAGATCTCTCATCTATGTGAGAAAATACCTTCAAGCGGATCAACTTCGGCCCTATGCTACACGAGACATCACCTGGGTCAAGGTTCAAGGCATTACATTTGCCAGTGTCTACCGGCCATGTGACAACCCACAGGAAGTGGATGACATTCTGGAAGTATGGACTCCACCTTTTGGCTGCGTTATAGCTGGAGATTTCAATGCTGGCGACACATCCTGGGACTCAAGCAATCCAGGATATCATGGTGGTGCTATACTTGCACAAACTATGGCAGACCACGGACTGGATCTGATTTCTGAACCAGATGTCCCGACACATGATGACGGAAATGTACTAGATCTGGTGTTCTCTGATGTCCCTATGGCTGAAGCCTCAGTCAATGATGCACTTCAGTGCACCTCAGATCATGAGACATTACGAATAGTCATTCCAATCCAGGGAGATCTGGACCGAGTACCCAAGGCCAATCATTGGATAGTACCGGACGATAAACTACAGGAGCTGGCAGATAATGTCCAAACCAGGATTCATGAACTCCCCCGGCTGGGTGTATCCCCTGGCCAGGTGGACACCTTTACACAAAGCCTGATCAACATGATCCAAGGCTGTATCAGGACAGTGGGCAAGAGGCCCTGTCAATCTAGGCCCACTGCTTGGTGGAATGATGACTGCAAAGCAGCTGTTCAGACATACAGGGCCCTTTCCAAACAGACTACAAGTCAAGAAGGGCGGAATTCAGCCCGACAAGAATTTCGTCGCGTGGTTCGCAAAGTTAAGAAAGAGTACTGGCAGACTCTAATCAATTCAGCAACTGAGCCAAAGGACCTATACAGAATCGTCTCTTGGCACAAGTTATCAGCAGGATTGCGTTCCCCTCCAATCATTATAGGAGACCAAATATTCGAGTCACAAGAGAGCAAGGCGAATACATTACGCTCAGCCACGCTTGAACGAAGTACCTCAGATAACGATATCATCGACCCCTGGTCCGCTCAGATCATACAACCCAAGCCACACATCCCCCTTGAATACCACGTCGGACTGGAAGAGGCTGAAGGGTGCACTTTAGGAACCAAGAGCAACTCCCCGGGAGTAGATACCCTCACAGTACGGATTCTGAAAGCTTGCTGGCCAGTCATTGGTGAACATATCAGAGCCCTTTTCCAGACCTGCCTACTGATTAGACACCACCCTAAACCATTCAAAGTAGCTGAGGTGGTGATGATCCCAAAACCAGGAAAGAAAGACTACTCCAATCCCAGGGCCTACAGACCAATATCGCTACTGTCATGTCTTGGCAAGGGCCTAGAACGACTTATTGCGAAAAGAATTACCTGGTTTGTTGTCAAACTTGGAATTCTAGCCCCACAACATTTTGGAGCTCTACCAAAGCGCTCTGCCACTGACCTGGTAGCTGCACTCATACACGATATTGAGCAGGCCCTTGACCAAGGCCTCGTTGCAACGGTAGTCACATCAGATGTGAAAGGGGCCTTTGATGCTGCCCTAATGGGACGGCTGGTGGTTCGCATGAGAGAACAGGGCTGGCCAGGCTTTCTCATAAGATGGGTCCAGTCGTTCATGTCCGAGCGGTCCGCAAGAGTTCGATTTGAAGGTACTGTGACCGACATAAAAGCTCTCACTTGTGGGCTCCCACAAGGCTCACCAGTCTCTCCAATCCTCTACATGCTATATACAGAGCCAATCTGTGCCCGACTTGGCATGAAAAGAAGACGCTTTGGATATGCAGATGACCTAGCAACACTCTGCATTGGAAAGAACCTTAAAGAAACAGCTACAGAGGCTTCTGAAAATCTTTATTTATTTAACCAATGAGGACATAATAATGCTATTGAATTTGATCCCGACAAAACCGAGATCATGCACTTCTCACGGAAAAAGAACTCAGACAATCCCCCAGTTTGCCACGGAACAATGAACAAAACAGCTAAGCATTCCATGCGATGGCTAGGTGTCCTTTAGATAGGAAACTAAACTTCAAAGACCATGTTTCTCACTGGGCCAAGAAAGCTAGTAGGGTAGCAAATCACCTTTAAGGACTATGCAACACAGTCAAAGGACTTCCAGTAAAGTCAACCAAGAGGGCTGTGAAAGCTTGTGTTATTCCTATTCTCACACATGGCCTGGAGGCCTGGTACCCAGGAATCGAGAAAGCTGGGAGCTTAGGTGAGACATCAGCATGTTGCATTAAGGGGCTTCTTGGAACAATAGATGCTGTACTACGAACGGCAATCAGAGCTATCCTGCCGGTCTGGAAAACACACCCTGGACATATCCTACACTTTGAATCGCAGATTCCCCCAGCAGGAGTTCTTGCAGAGTCAATAAGACGACGTCACGGCCTCCGACTAGGACGAATAGATCAGAGACACCCTCTTGTTGGCAGGCTCCAAATACAAGCTCGCAAAGAACCAACAAGGCTACAAAGGAGCTTCCAACTAGTCCCTGACTTCCAGAGACCAATACTCACCAAGCCATCATGGAAGAAGCGCCCAATCCGTAAAGACAAAGACAAAGAAATAGAGCTCTTTAAGCAATGACTACGGGAGAGAAATGTGAACACTGACCTTGTCATCTACTCAGATGGATCATAGTTGGATGACCAAGGCACAATCCGCACTGGATGGGGTTATACCATCAGGAAAGGCGGCACTACACAAGAAGTATACCGGGGAAGGGGCAGACTTCTACAAGCAGAAGTAATAGATGCTGAAGTCCATGGTGCTCTCCAAGGTCTTGCAGCAGCCAGGGCAATTGGACATGGAAAACAGCTATATGTCTGCCTGGACAACACGTCAGTGGTAGATGGGCTCAATGGGACTCCACCCGAGACATCACAAAACATTTTTCTACGATTTCAAGAACTTGCCACAGCACACACTCCTGGAGTGACCGTCAAATGGATTCCTGGACACAGAGATATTGATGGCAACGAAGCTGCCGACACACTAACAAAAGAGGGTGCCATGCTGGAAACAGACATAATAAATCTTCCTATAATCTCTTGGGTCAAGAGAGATCTCAAAAGACAGGGCAAGAAAGAGTTCAACCAATGGTGGAAAGACCAATCAGAATCTAGGTATCAAGAAGTATACTCACATGCAGTAACTAAAAGAGACCTTATATCTTTTAAGAGGAGTACTTTATACAGACTTCTAGCGGCCAGATCTGGACATGGCGACTTTGCCAGATACCATGAACGCTTTGGGCACACAGACTCAAATGATCACTGCAGCTGTGGTGAGAAGAAAACACTACAACACATTTTCTTTTGTAAGAGGCTGGGGAAAAATCGGCTACTGCCTAGGCATTCGCTTAGGGCAGCTTGTTTACAATACTTACGGGAGAGGAGCACAGAATGGGCAAAATTCGTGGAGAAGAGCAAGTTCTTTTCAACAATCTGCCCCTGATAGATAGCCTTCCTTGAAGGACCAGATGGATGACCCCAAGGTCATACCGCCGCAACAACGGGGATGGGCCCGTGAGCGGGACTGACTGTACTTATTATCTTGAGACCTCCACAACCCTGCGATGCAGAGGCTCTGGGAGGCGTGGTTTGCACTACTGAGGAGCTACCCCCACGTTAAATACAAAACAAACAAACATTGTTCTCGTCGCCCACCGCACAAACGAGAACACAACCAGGCGCATTTGACCATTGCGCCATACGGCCGATGTGATGGTGAGGAGAGATAGACGTTCTACTGACTTACTGCTTATGGGTATGGATTTGGGACAGGGTTGACTGACTAATTATATATACACTCGCTCGTCGTCACCCACACATAGAGGGGCTGCCTTTCATTCTTGTTTTTCGTCTAGCGGTCTAGATAGTTTCATAGAATAGTTCATATATTTGATTTGGTCTTCCATTATATCTATAAGTTTTAACTTGGTGACCAGTATATATATATGTATTCTTATCTTAAAACCCTAAAACTTACTTTATTAGCTACGTTGAAGTAATTAGCTGCTATATCTCTACAACCTTAAACAAATTATCACGATTTATAAAGGTTTCAATTTAACCGAATACTACCTCGGGTCTTGTTAATTCGGCTGTATTTTTAATTTTTATCTTTTCTCATAAGTTATGTTCTCAATTTGGCCAAGCTGGTAGCTACCTCTCAAAGCCAACTTATAACTTCATTGATCGTCTAGTAGTTATTCGATCGCTTCGGTTTTATTCTATAAGTAACTCAAAATCCATGCGGCCGCTGGCGATGTAGTGTCCCATTGTTGGTGGAGGCAAGCAGGTCTTAACAGCAGCCTGCGGGGAAGAGTCGGGGTATAATAATTATTCATGTGCTAAGACCATCCATCTAGACCTGGGTCTCCAAAGAAATTTCCACCAATGATTCATCGCAATGAGGTGCACATGTCGACATCTAAGATGGGCCTGGGCCTGGTCGGTATACGCAGCTGAGTAACCTCCGCGGGTTGCATAGCGCCAATTCGCAATCCAAACAAGTATTATTATGCTCAGGTTATATGAGAAGCCCTTACAATGAAGCATCTTGCTGGAGGTATCGTACTCGTTGCAGTGTCGGCCAGCTTCGGCCTGGCGACCTCTCAACCCCGGGGACCACCCAATCAAAGGAGGTTCAAGTGGGAGGAGACGAAGCACATGTGAGAAAGCTGAGGTTTCGAGACCGGGACAGAAGCTAACCAGTACCCCTCTAGTATTGCGTTCGGCGACTACTACACGTTTGTCCAAGGCACTGCCGGCTACCCGGGCTTCAGCTTTATCGGCGATTACCGGCCGGGGCACCTCTCATTCACACCTGAGGAGTTGCTCACGGATAAGATCGTCCAGGGGTTCGGAGGCACTTCAGCGGATGGCCCCAACTGTATCGAATATCTAAGCGGCTGCGCCGTCGAAGACGGAGAATGGCTTCCCTCTGAATGCAAGATGCAACTCTGGAATTTCGCATTCGCCGGTGCCGACGTGTCGGAGCAATCCACGCCTCTCCATGCGGAATATGTGGTACCCTTGGTCAACCAGACACAGCAGTATTTGACCTGGGCTGAGCCCGTCATTGGGGGGCACATGAAGAAGGAGAGGGCTCTGGTGGCTATCTGGATTGGGATCAACGATATTAGTGACACGAGCAAGTACAATGCGTCGCTGCTTCATCTCTACAGCGATATCATGGACTCCATGTTTCGCAACAGCATCGAGCCGCTCTATCGCAGTGGATATCACAATTTCCTGTTCTTGAACCTGCCGCCGGTGGACCGGACGCCTGCCAACCTCCTTAGGTCCAGCCCGTCGCCGAACAAGATGATGATTGAATGGTGGAATGAGAAGCTCGCTGGCCACGTCCAAGACTTCAGCAACTCCCACAATGATGCCACGGCCTTGCTATACGACACTAATACCTTTCTGAACGGAGTGCTGGACGAGCCATCGATGTATGGTGTTCATAACATCACAGACTTCTGTCCCGGATACAACAATTCGACGGTTTTGACGGATCCGGGGGCGTTTGGTTGTGCTCCACTCGATGGATACTACTGGTTCAATCAGGGACACATGTAAGTGTGTCTTCAGTCGCGTGGAGGGAGGGAGAGATGTGCCATACTGACATGGTGACAGTACAAGTCATATCCACGAGCTTATCGCAGATGACCTGAGGGGTTTCCTCGAGTCACACTGACGTGAGACGCCCGGGTTCAGGCGAAATGGTACCCGCATCTCAGAAAGCACGCAGCTTGTGTCAAGTGTATTTGGGACTTTCGAGACTAGAAGGCCGCAGTGTCATGGCGAACATCGGACATGTCCAAGGTACTCAAAGCGATTTGGTATTAACACAAGAAAATCTATGATCATGTGAAGTCTATGGTATAATGCGCCTAGTAAATCCTACACATCCGAGACAGTAATCCCTCAAGTCATCCAGCAAGGAGAGCCTCCGACCCGCTCTATCCAACACGGCCGAAGCGACTTTGCGGTGACCAGCCTTGGAGCTGCTCTATCCCCATCACTCGGCAGCGTCAACAGCGCCCGCTATCCCTGCATCTTCAACGGCAGGTGCACTACTAGTAGCACCAAGAGCCTAATCCAAGAGTCAGCTGTGTTCGAGACCGAGTAAGAGAGAATCAGGACGAGAAGTACATACCCTCTGGATATGCCCATAGATCCCGAACTGCACGGCCGTCATCCCGCCCACCATGACCAGCCTCGGGCCAATGCTAGTGTAGCTCCCCCGGAAGCCGAGCTGAGCGACGATGGCGACGATGCGCTTCGCTATCCCCTCGCCCGGGCGGCCCTTCTCCTTGTTGATCTTGCTCAACACGGTGTCGGCGGGCTGCGAGACGATGGCGGCGGCCATGCCGGCGACGAGACCGCAGCCGAGGTTCACGCCGGACAGCACCGCGTTCGACGCCGTGGCCTTGTTGATCCATGTGTATGCCACCTCGCTGGCTTTTTCGTACACGACGAATGTGGCCATTGTGTATGGGACCCTGGGCGGCAGGTTAGCTATCACTGGACTGGGCTTCGCGGCCATGCGAGTGAGTGTCTGCTTACTGCTTGAGCACTATGGGCATGAAACCGGAGTACAGTCCAGCAAAACCCTCTTGCCTGGTCATCTTGCCGAGCGTCGAAAGCATGCTCGGCGCGAAAGTAGGTTGCGAGACTAGTCTGATGCGGGCGGCCTCGAAGGGGCAGAGCAGGATATCGCCGAGGAATTCCGCAGAGGCGGACGAGGCGAGGTAGACGGCGTTGCGGTTCGCCGCTGCCGCCTCTGGTCCTAGCCAGTCGTTGGCCTGGCGCTTGAAGTACTCGTACCCCCCGAACTTGAAGGCGCCTTGCAGGAAGTAGCCCGTTACCGTTGGCCCGAGGCCGGTCAGGAGGGCTGCGGCGCCGTCGCCGGCGATGATTTGGCGCATGCCGCCTGCGAGGCCGCGGTTGTACTTGGCTGGCTCGAGTTGAACTCGCGTTTTGACGCTGATGATGCATGAGTCGGTCGGTATTTCGATGATGAGGTGTGAGGTTGAGGTGGCGGGTAAGGATGAGATGGGGGAGTGGCTTACACGTCGACCGGGGTCAGAATGGCATGAGTGAAGGAGCAGCAGATAGCACCGGAGAAGGCATATCGGGCTACCTCGGAGACGCCCATTCTCGGCTTGGGAAGAGCAAGAGGAACCTTCATCACAGGCTTCACCGGGTCGGAGGCCACAGGGAGGTCCTCCTCAAAGCTGTCTACGGCATTACTTGTGGTGAAGGCACTTGCGACAGCATTGGGTTGACCAGACCAAAACAGCCTGCAGTTGGTATAAGCATCGACCTCGTGTGCTAGGGTATCATGATTACATGCTTGTAGAGAATCACCTTCTCACGCTGTTCGAGGTCAAACCCAAGCGGCCCAGGATGGAGTCGGTCATGCCCTTCCGTGACTCCGGGTCGACCTCCTTGGCGACCTCCTTCACTGCCGCCAGAACCCGGATGTGCTCCTTCTTCAGCTCTTCGAAAGACTCGTCCAACTGCATGTGCCATGGATAAAGGACGAAGACCTGGAACCCGAGGGCCGACGATGCGACCGCAAAGTTTGTGACGGAGATGAGCCGTGTGATTATCATCGTGCTGGCTCAGGGGTCGTCTCCGAATGAAGCTTTCCTGTGAGCAGGGTATGAATATTGGACTATTGAGGGATAGACCTGGGAACCTACGATGTAGAAATCAAGGAGCGAAGTGATATGGTGTATTACGTGTTCAACGCGTCGAACGTGTCGCTGAGTAGATAGGATAAAGGACGTTGCTTGGCACTCGCAGGGCAAATTTGTCTTGAAATCACAGTAGAGAATCGAAGAGATGGTACATAAGAGAGATGAACAGAGGAGGCGAACAGAGAAAAAACATAGAAACGATGAACTATGAAAAAGCCAGAATGAGAACGGGATTGACCTTTAATTATGTCTTTGTCGTTCGAACCCGTCAGCCCTGAACATTATCGTGGAGGTTTCTCCCGATATCTGAAACCTACCGCGGTCAGCCTTCACGAGCATAGATGCGACACCATTCTGTGGGACGCAGTCTTGGTTGGGCAGCTGGACGGACGCATTTGGAAACGTGATATCCGAGAGTGGGAATTCTTCCTTTAGGCTGGCAAAGTGGCATGACAGCCAGGGGAGAGTCACGCCACCTTCGCGACCTCCCCCGATTATAAATAGCTTGTTCCGAATTCCAATACTAAATACTAGAAACAGGTGGGCCTGGCCGTCGGGTAGGGTCGCCAGACGTGACACGTCGCTATAAGATTGATCGCGTCTTTCTGCCTGAACGCCCTCGACCTGCCAAGATAACCAAGCCTCCGTAGATATGCACTCGTTGCTCTGGACCATAAGAGCGCTGTCAATCAAGCATCGACCCATGTTCCAGGCCACGCTGCCGTAGCACCGGCTTCCACACCGGCAGCCGTCTCCATCACGGCTACTCTGAAGCTTCGGTCACCACAGGATCTTGCCGGCTCCACCCACAACCGCCAAAATTGAAGACAGCTCTGACTGACAGTTTCGTTCTTTAGTGACCGAGTTCATCCTTCTAGAACCGAGACACTGTGGCGCATTTACTGAGGTGGGAAAGTTGAAGAATCAACTGTCTATGGATCATTCGCGGAGACCAAAGTAGTATCAAATGTCTGCTTGTCCGCATGGTCGCATTTGTTGGAGTAGGTTACATGACGTTTTGCGTCAGGGGCCGAGGCGGGCTGATGATACGAACGAATCTCGGGCGACATGCCAGCCTGTCAGCATGAGCATCGCCACCGCAGAGTCACAATGACCGACTACGGTAGAGGGCTCATATCATATCGCCGCAAGACGCACAAAATCTACATTAGCGACCGCCACGTGCAGGCCTCTCTTACAACGCTTGACCAGTTGCTCGAAGCTTTCCAGTCGAGTTTCGGCTTGGCGTTCCTGCTGGCAGTCTTCATTTTTCTATGTTTTGGGGTTCGGCGCCTCGCCCTGCAATCGAAGAGTCGCCTCTGGCTCCGCGATCTCTCCGTCAGACCACTGCTTCGTGAACGTCAATGAAATCCAACCGAGGCAGGTCCTAGATGCATCATTTCAGCGAGGGCATCTGGCTCTCACAGCTCCATTGTCTCGTGCTAAGTTAGCTGCGCAGGGGCCAAACCCTCCCGCCGCAGCATAGTCCGCCGCATAATCGTCTGCATCACGGCTCCCGAGGAGGCGTCCGCAGCATAGCGCTATTGGCATGCTCTTTGCCAGAACTATCCGTGAACTCGAAGTTCTCCACCGTCTCGAAGCCATGCTTCTCATAGAGCCGTTTGCCGGCCGGGCTCGCGATGATGAACTGCGGCAGCCCGTCCTTGTCGGCCAGCTCCATGCCGCTCTCCATGAGACGCCCTCCGAGGCCCTTGCCCTGGTAGTCGGCCCTCACGGCCAGCAGCAGCAGGGTCCAGTGTGGCCTGCCCTTCATGATCTCCTCGTGCTTCTCCTCCTCCCTTTCGCGAGACTCGAGATAGGCCGCCAGGCCGGGGTTGGTGCTGCCACTGGCCTTGCCGGCGTCAATGAAGCCTTCGTAGTCGGCACCTGTTGCGGCATTGGAGGACTGCTGCTGCGCTTTGGTGGATGCCGCATCGTCCTTGTGCTTGGGAGCGATCCATATGCTCAAGGCGACAACCTTCTCGTCTTTGGACGAGTCCGTCATGACGGATACTTGGCTCCCGGAGTCGTACATGTATTGTGTTGTCGCCTGTTCGAGAAAATGCTCGCGTATCGCCTTCCGGGTCTCGTCGTCCATCTTGCTCTTGAGGCCGTAAGCATCGAAGTAGACTTCGCAGATGGCGGGGACGTCAGATTCCTTGGCTGGGCGTATGTTGTACGACATCTTGGCGGGTTTGAAGAAAGCGAGATGACCTGAGCTTTTGAATGCTTCGTAGGAGGGAATGTCGTTGTTGTTGCTGGTGCTAAACAATTAAGAGGGTGGAATCGTGTATGATGAGAGAGCATGAGTCTCTTATGCTCTCCCAGTTCCCACTCTCAGGCAGCAGCGCCTAGCTGAGCTTACGTCCTGCCGGACTCCTGCCTAATCGGAGATAGTCAGTCAGTCCCCATAGACTCATACCATGACGGCGTGCGCGGCTTAACGCGTGGGTAACGCGTGGCATTGAGCTGTCTTGGGATTAGCACAGCTTCGTTCCATGGCTTTGATGGAGGTTCGAGATGGCCGCGTGCTTCTCTGTGCTTCTCGGAGCCCGGCATCAAAAGTGCCGGTGTTGATCAGACGGATCTTTGTCGCGGGTTGCATTGGTTGTGGATCTGCGATCGGCTTCCTACCCGGTGCTCTCGCACAACACTTAAAGTCAATAGCGTACACCACCCTCGCGTCCTCCCCCTATAACCCCTGACCGTGATAGCCTCACCAAACGTCCCTGACGTCTGCTTATCACGCATCGTTCGCGCACTGGTCCCGTGGGCGGTCTTGGCGACGGAGACGAGGGCGACCTGTCCGATTGAGCCGCATTCCATGATCAGCTTTTTTCAGGCCGTCACTTGACTGCCTCTCACTGCGGAGATACAGGTGTAAGCCTATCTTTGGTAATGCAATCAACAACAGAAACTATCCCGTTGACGGCCTCCTGTCGTCGCTCATCCACATGGCTGTTCTCCGGGACTCGATAACCTGGGTAGTCATTGAGTACATGACATAACGAGAGGGGGAAAAGGACGTGAGTACTAAATGGGAACTGCAAGATGTAAACAATACAGTTCTCAGCTGATTAGATCCAAAACCCAGTCTCAAATCAACATGGCATGATGCGTCAATATCAAAGGTGTACCCATTAGGCCTAAATGGATGTATAAACTATGAAGTGACTAAGGAGCGACGAAGAATGATAATTTGCGATCCAACCCTGCGAATGTCCATTGATACTGGATCATCCCACCTCTCCCCCTTTCGGAGCATCCCCTTCAACCTCCGCGACCGAGCGTTCTCACACGAGACCTATGCGTTATAAAACGTATCAGTAAATATGACCAAGCATATCTCGGGCTGGGGCAAACTTCACATACCGTGCTTTGGCCACAGCCATTCTTGCTATTCCGTACCACGATCTAGCTGCATGCGGCGCCGCCGTAAAGGCCGCCGGAGCACGAGGCCGCGCCGCAGTCTTGGATCTCCCGCCAGAATCCGCCGGTGCACTGGACCTGTTTCGCGGAGAAGGCACGTTAGCGAAGGCGAACCATCCGGTGATGCACCTGGGCCAGGGGCGTTGTGCATGGTTGGCATGTTTTGCTTACCACATCGGTCCCGTCACAGCCGCAAAAGAGGCTGGCCCCGTTCGAAGCCTCGCAAGGGCTGTTCGTACGGCGCTGGTCGCCGCCGTAGCCGGTACCGCAGACGTCGCGGGCATCCAGCCCGGGGACAGCTGCGGCGGTCACGGTGGCGGCGGCCGCAAGGGTGAGGAGGAAAGCTGCGATCTGCATCTTGGCGGCTGGGAATAAAGGATGTTGAAGGTGGAAAGTCTGGTGAAGGTTGATTGATTGTGTACAAGGTCTGGTGTCTGGCAGGTTTGGTGTCTTGGAGAATGATGGAGAAAGGTTTTATTTCTTAGGGAGGGAAATTCTGACATACTTATAGTTCTTGAGACAGCAGCTGAACTGGCAGATTTCCCGCTATTGTTTCCTAAGGGAAAGCTTTTTTTACCCTTGACGCCTCATTCGCATGCCTTACGAGCAAATGAAGCTGAAAAAGCGCGTTCCATGGTTGGGGTTCCCAGGTTCTTACTCCTCACCGAGGCTGATCTGCGGACTGGTACCCCAGCTGATCTAGCTGCATGTAAGCAGGTCTTTGGTTCCGTCCTGGGGCTCGCGAGCCAGGTGGGCGGTATCTAGGACGTCTACTTCGACCGAAAGAGGTTGTACAAATGACTTATCATCGTCGTAGTCAGCCGCAGATCGTTTAACCATTGGCCAGTGTTACGTACGAGCAAATTGAGTATCAATGTCGACTCGACCGGGCAGCTTATTCGAACCGACTTCTACAAGATCGGCAATAAGACACAGTGGATGAGCGAAAGACCTACGAGCCCAGCGGTTGAGTGACACGACAGACTGTTGAGAAGCATATCTCGTTTCCTGTGTTGCCACTTGGCGCTGTATCTGAGTGCCGCAAGGACATCCTGCAGTGCCATAATAACTCATACACCTATAACATCTGTCTTCACCATGCCCATGGTGAGAAACAAGGCCGTTGCCTGCTCCGAGAAAGCAATTTCTTATAGACACCTAGGAGTCCTAATGTGTCTGGTACGATGCTACGTACCGTAGGATGGGTCCGTAGTCTCCGTTAGGTCTACCTCGTCTTGGACGGCCGAGCAAGTAAGCGCAACTCGTCGAAGACCCATGATGAGGAACGTTGTCATATGCTACCAGCCTCATCGTCCTATTCTGAATCCCATTATTTGTCGAACTCATGCACATCATTTCGGCCTGGAGGCCATTTCTTCCTCGCCTGGACTGTAGGAACGCTGAATCCGGTACTATTCCTTGTGTGTGGCCAATGACTATTTATAGTACGGTATTATCCCCTATGTATGGCTAACATTTACGACTGACTACCAAAATGGACAAACGAAGACACGGGAGCCTGAACAAAAACAAGCGCTGACAGGATTCGAACCTGTTCCCGTACATATGTCCATATGTGTCGGCGTATGTCCTATCTCTACCTATAATACGCCGCTATTCCCTGTGTATGGCTGTTTTTACGACTGACTATCTATAATGTCAGCCTCGCTAGCTGACCTGGTACACGGCCTGGAAACTAGTTAGAAGAGTGAGACCGTGACATTTCCCATACACCGCTCATCGCCTCATCCAATCGAACCGAGCGGCCGTATGGCGCAATGGTCAAATGCGCCTGGTTGTGTTCTCGTTTGTGCGAGTCGACAACCAGCACACGACAGTGGAGAGGCCCCTTATTGCAGAGCCTGATAGCCAAACAGCTTGTTTCCATAACACCCACTCCTGCGAGGTTTTTCCCCTTGTGGTTTTCCTCGTTAGCAGATAACAAACACCTACTTCACCCACCAATGCGACATATATCGAACGGCTACTGGAACGATGTGTACACCAGAGGACTGAGGTTCACTGGGTCGCTTAGTCACTGGACAGGAGGTTTTTCTGACAGAATCGTGTTTGGGTATTGACTAAAACCATCTGGTCACTCCAGGTTGGTACCGCTACAGCGAGGATAGGCTCGTACGCGGATCTGAATGTATTTAGACTGACACCTCTATAACCTTGCGATGCAATGGCTCTGGGAGGCGTGGTTTGCCCTATGGAGGGACTACACCCACGATAAATACAATCAATCAATCAATCAATCGAACCGAGCCTTCTAGATGTCGTAGCATGCAAGACTTGGTACACCTAAGTATTCGAACTACCACTCAATTACATCTCGTAATACCGCTCTGGGATATGACCAAGCCTTAGTTCCTTTCAGCAGTAGTCTATTAGCAACAACTTGCAGGAAGAGGCTCATTGTGGCTTACTCGATCATTAGCCGCCGGACCCGAGCCGGAAAGCCCTCGGTTTATCGAGTCGGGGATTATGTGCAATCATTTATCAAGCCGCCTGGCGGCGAATGTTGTTGGTTCTTGACGGAGTACCTTTGGATAGGTAGGTAAGCGAGGAGAAGTTGGCTAGGGTCGGGGCACGCATCCGGGTCCCCCGGTAAGCGCCACTTTACCCCGGGTTTTTGGCTGTGTATGCATGAGCTTACAGTGCATTCACTAACCTTCCTGCTGACGGCATGAGTAACCAAGATGGCAACGAATGTTGAACAGGATTCCACGGTGTGACAAGCTGACGTGAGCAGCTAATGACGGAAATAGGTATTGACAATCGAGTTGTGTTATGACAACATCATGGGTCTGACCCAGACGTATCCCCCGCGAGTCGTGAACCCCAGAGCACTGTGCCGCCGGCAACGCCAACATCCCTGAACTCAGCTGTGACCTTCAGGGAGAGGATGCAGGATGCGTGGGATGAATATCACGAGTGGCTCACCCAGCTTCGGGTTACGACCCGGATTCCTGACCGAATCTTTTGGTTGGACAGCGCGGGGCTTGTGGACGGTGTTTCGCTAATGCTGCATACACACCAACCGGGCTGGCTGTCTTGGATACGGTGCGTATTCGTGCACTCACATTTCAAGTCAGGTTCATCTCCTGGCTTCCAGGGCGGACGGGTCAGCTCCGATTGCAAACAGGGCAGTAAATAATGGTTGTCACAACCCGAGAGGGCACCCAGCTCAGTAAGGAACGAAAGTTGATGTATATACTATATACGCTTGAATGCGAGATCGAGCCTGCCTCACAGAGACAGGCGACAGACCTGATGCAAAGACAATAGGGAAATATCTACAAGAATGTGGTCCAGTGTTTTTCATCCACCAACTTATACTCAATCTACCATCATCCATCTATCCCTCCGTCCAGGCATGCATGGCAGCCCACGCCTACCCGAACACAGGCAGCTCACACAGGCGGACTTGATAGAGGTGATCAACATCAGACGAAGCCACCTAAGCAGTGAAGGTAGAGTTGATGGGCCCGAACTTGATGTTCGAGTAGATGACGCTCGCGCCGGCGTTGTTGGCCTCGACGTCAGCCGGGACACCGGAGGTGGTGGCGCAGGTGCCGCGGGCGGCACCGACCTTGGTGCTGTCGGTGGGGTAGGTAGAGTCGAGCCACAACATGCTGGCCGCGTGGTCGTCCCACAGGCTCATGACGAGGACCATGTCGTCAGCGAGGGCGTCGCCCATCTGCGCCAGACCGCCGCGCTGGTCGAACACGTTGGTGTCGCCGAAAGCCGTCTTCTGTGCGTCGCAGTAGGCCTCGGTGATGCTGTTGCCCGTGACGCCCGAGATGGTGCTCTGCGAGTTGGGGATCACGGTGCCGCCCTGGACGTAGAAGCGCTTGATCTCGCTGAGGCTGCCGTCAGTGCCCGTCAGGAACTGGGTCACAACCGTAACGACTTTTGAGGTGTCGATCGTGTCGCCCTTGCCGTAGAACGTGGTGTCGCCCTGGCGGTAGCTGTTGAAGTCGCATCCATCGGGGTCGCAGTCGCCGGCGTAGCGGTCCGAGGAGTAGGTGCCACCGCAGGCGTCGCCCTCGCACGAGTGGTAGTCCGAGTTCGTGCACGGGTGAGGCGTGAAGGCGGCCGAGATCGAGTTGGCTTCCCAGATGTCCATCTCGGCGCAGCAGGCACCCATTGTGCCAATACCGGCGTTTGCGTCGTTGCTAGATGGGTCCCAGCCATCGCTGTTGGCCTGTTGTTGCCGTTAGGAAAGGAACTGGGAGGTTGAGGCTGGAAGGAGGGGAGCACGTACTTTACCGTCAATGAACTTGACGTCACGCGGGCACTGCGAGTCGCAGTAACCGGTGCCGTACTTGGCGCCAGCCTTGTTGGTGGGGAACTCGCTCAAGCCGCCGTCAGCGTCCATGGAGACGAAGTACAGAGCTCCATTCAGGCCGCAACTATTGAGACGGTTAGCTTGGGGACCTAGGTGGCTACTGGCAGTGTTGAGACTCACGGCAGGTTGGAGACATCGACATCGAAGGTGAACTCGTTGCCGAGCAGCTTGAACGTCTCGTAGGTGGTCTCATCCTTCATCAGGAAGAATCGGCTACCAATGTTGGTGCTGTATGAGCCCTCGGTGACGAACTTCAGGGACAGAGCGTTGCCGGAGGTGCTAGCACCGTATGTAGAGCCGTAGTCAGCACCATCGAGACAGCAGTTAGTGGCGCAAGTCGCTCCATCAGGGCACAATGTTGCGTCCCACGTGTTGCCGTCGTAACAGTTTGTGCTGTTTTGGACAGCGTGAGTCCATCGCCAGTTGGCGTCGATAGTGACGGAACCGGCAACGCTTGTGCAGGTGCCTCCAGCGGCACAGTTCGACCATGTCATGGCAGGGTGAGTCTCGGTCGTGAGCGTGCAAGCCTGCTGTGCGCGGGCTGCCGCCACAAGGGCGGCGATGGTGGCGAGCTTCTGATGCATGGTGAGCCGACTGTTGTGTGGATACAAGGGATTGTCTTGAAGGAGTGGTGTGATGAATCGAAAAGAATCCTCAACGAAGGCGTGACACGACAGTCTTATATATCAACCCCTTCGTCGCGAGGGAACACCCTCAAACTGAAAGAAGACGCCATTGTCCGCTCTCAGCACCACGGTCCACAAGGTACTATGCTCCCCTCGAGCTGGCACGAGGGTGGCAAGATGGTAGGCGAGCTTTCCATAGGTCACCATGAGGGATCGTGTCCCGGCTTGCGGCCCGTGAAATCTCTTCCTAATCGAGGTACTCATGGAACCTCCAGGGGGCGAGGTGGGCACGCGTCAAGGAGGCCAAGTTCCTTAGAAGGCGGGTCGGCGCCGATCATGGCGGATACATCGTGAGGTAGTGGGAGATGAACGACGCTGGGTTGTCTTCCTCCGGTCTACGTCAGGTTGGCACAGTCCAATCTGTCAGCGACGGCTCCGGCGATGTCACTGCGGACAGCCGCAGCAGCTGGAAAATTGGGTGGCCGACTTTGGGTGGAATAGATGAAGGTCTCCAGAGCGGAATCCTTCGAGCTGCCCATTGGAGGCATATCCCCAAATGCAACGGAGGCGGGAGGCCGAATGCGACTGCGGCCGCAAGTAGATGAGCTGCAGGAATGGGGGAGGCGGCTGAGGCTGCATATCGAGGGCAGTCCAGGGTTGCAGCAACCGGCCTGCTGTCCGTGCAATTCCCGTGAACCTGCTCACCTGCCCAGCGGTCATGCGGGACGTCCCTGGATCGCACTCACTTGGCACCGCAACTCGACGTCGAGAGCTGGAACAATTGGAGATGTCTCCCCCAGATTTGCAGGGTTACTCCGCAAGGGGGTCATCATCCGTGTAAGGACCCCGCACGACGTGGTCGACGATCCCGTCCCTCTGGGGTGCTGTATATGCAGTACCTGCGTGGGCGCAATATCGCCACGGTACACGAGGCTATTCGGTAACCGCTTTGGTAGGGCCGCCCAGCGTACCATTGTCGTCGTATATGAGTTGTTAATTTATACCGACCTGGATGGATCGTGGGAATACCCTCCAATTCGCTGTGGTAGCCCTGCGTAGATGCGGTACTAAGTGCGGTTCTCGAATGGGAGAGATTAGCGGGCGATGCCAAGGTCATGCTCTAACTACCTGTTGATAGATGAGATCTGGAATTTGAGCAAAGGCTGCAAGCTTCCGTCACCGATACCCACGCGCTCACTAGCCCTTAGGCCATCCGGAAGGACGGTCCTTCGCGCCAGGCGTGGTTCCATACTCTAGAAGAGGCGCGCTTGCGAAACAGCGCATATCAACATCAAGTGGATGTTGAACTCACTCTTCGAGTGGACCATAATGTCATGTTGAGATGAAGGGTATTGTCGAACGGCTTGATTCGGCCTAGCAGTTACACTTACGATCAACCATCGTGACTGACACAGGTCTAGACAAAATATGGAATATCAGTGGTTTCGGTGTTTAGCTGACGAGCTCCATCGTAGGAAATTTCCGTAAATTTCCGTCTAGACATGAGCAGTCAGCTTTACGCCAGCTGACAAGACAGCTGGTGGGATAGTATAAGTTTGCCACCTTTGTGACTCGATTCATTAATCTGCTCCAATTTCTTCAATGGGACTGGAGATCGTAGATCTTGATGAAAGGCGTAGCATCCAGACGCTGAAGATATTAAGAGGCAATGGCAGCCGGTGGTAGCGTACCGATTCGTCTGAAAGCCAGTTACTCTGCATGACGAAGGGGTCATCAGTAAGGATCAATTCCAGATACCCAGCGGAAGGAGGCGCTGGCGGCCTGGTGGTCCGGGAGTGTTTGCGTAGCGAGCCAATACCAGACGTCTGAAATATTATAAGGGCGCCGATGACCCCAGTTGAGCATAGTAATCTAAGAATTCGTCATATCATGCGTTGATAGGCATACACGTGAGATCATATGGGAGGAGGCTGAAATTCGAGGGCATCAGCGTGTGTCTGGAATATATTAGCAAGACCAGGGAAGCTCTTCCGCTGAAAAGAAACGGCCCGGAGGCTTGCCACTTCACGTGAGGTTAGCATTGTGTTCCAAAGGGAAGGGGGAACAGCCCGTCTGAGTCGACGGCACCACGATCCACGCGGCATAGTCGACATGGGCACGTGTAATGCAGTAGCGAGCTGCAGCTCTCTAAGCTGAAACTGGCAAGTTCCAGCTCACTCCGAGAACCGAGTTTGGGTCTTGGCGATATTGCTCTGCCGGCCTTGACGGCTCGACTCCATGCGAGGGTGGCATGTGAAATTGGTGGATGAGATGAAGAAAACTCAAGGTGATGATCTGAAACAATCAAGGTCCAGGACAGGCTATGACTGACGTGGAGAAAGCGTTGTGGAATCTCCACCTGCTCGTCAGCTGGCAGCGGGCTGACTACAAAGTCCATCAACAGGTCCAGCTGCGAGGGACATGATGATGTGCAAGTAAGCAATCTTGTCACGGTGCAGATAACAAAACTCTTGAGAAAACCCCGTGCCAACTGTTGGCCAGGTGTCAGCAGTAGCAGTAGCAGTACCAGCAGCAGCAGCAGCAGTTCACAGTGAATTTCGGGCAGTTGGGGTGTTGGCAAGAGTATATACCCATATCGCTACGAGCTACTATATACTATAGAAAGACAGACAGAGGCTTGGTTTCAAGTGAGGTTCACAGGCGCAGCGAGATGCCCGCACAATATCGTCCAGGTGAAAGAAAAGCCTACTGAGCGACTTGATCGGGCACACCATGTGTACGGTCCTGCTTGTCGATAAGAGCAGCTTTCTTCGCAGATGCAGGCTTCTTCTTGCGCTTGCTGCTGCCCATACCGGAGCCCGATGGTGCCTCTCGGATCCATCTCGCGACAGCTTCGGCGCGCTCAGTGAGGATAGGATATTCCCTTCCATCATCCACAGCCCACCGCTTTGGTGCAGCATTCGGACTGGACGCGCTCCCGTTTGCAGAATTGGCTTGATCCGCCTCGGCTCTACGCTGGCGTGCCAAGATAGCTGCCTTGAAGCTGGCCTCGTCGTTAACGCGTTCATCCTCCAAAGCTTCAATGATGGCCTGATGTCGCATGCGCTCTTTGCGTTGCTCTTCTGTTTCGGTAGGACTCGTACCGCCAGTTATAGCCAATGCATTCATGCTAGCGGCTGCCGCTGAAAGTCCATTCGACGAAAGTGGCATCGGCAATGGAGCCGGAGCACAAAGAGTCTCCCAACTAGACGAAAGCTCAATCCAATTTTCAGCGCGTCGCAGGACCTCGATCCAATCCGCACGAGCGGGAGACCTACTAGCTTGGAAGACCGGATAACCATCAGCCAGGCGAGCAAGACGAGCCACCATATGCGCATGGCGCTGGAGCTCCTTTGCTGATGTTTGGATCAGAGTATGGCATAGCAGGAGAGAATGCAATGAGTCTGTTAGTAACGGATGGTAAGTTACGACTTCGATGGACGTCTCAAATGAGTCAACATTCACAGAACTTGCCGATACAAGATCGGTCGACGGGTATGGCGGAAGATCGGACGGAGGAGTAGCAGAGAACAGCGCTGCCAGTGCATGAACAGTATGCCCTGCCGAGCTGCCAACCGGACTGCCAGGATCCTGGGAGGAATACCGGTTATGATTGTAGTACCTCTTGTTACGGTGCGTCGCTTGGTTGACCTGGCGGCTGAAGTCATCCGACACCTCAATCGGTAGATCCGGCGAATAGTGAAAGTGCTTCATATACTCCATATAGTCTCGCAAAGCGCGCTTTGCATACAGACGTACAGTCTTCCGGCTCTCGAGCTGCTTCTTGGTGGGACCCTTCTCTTCGGGCTCTGGCTTTGGGCTCTGAGGCATAGCTTCACTTTCGGCAGCGCCGTTGGCATTTCCATTACTAGAAGAGACCGGTCCCTTACGCGCCTGTCCATTGTGTGTAGCAGCTGGCTTTGGGAGAGCAGCTTCGACATTGTCGCAAGCCAAAGTCAGATAACATCCAGCCCGTTGGAATAGAAGCTGGACCTCGGTGCTGCTGGGGTGATCCCTCTCTTCGAGCGGGGGGTTGTCCCGCCGCCTTCCAGTTCGACGTTCCAGCTGCATGTCTGTCGTAGGCCTGTGTAACGGTCGCTGGAGACGATAGACACCAAGAGCGGTCGTCAGGTCCTGTGCAGCACCTTCGAAGTCCTCCTTGAACATCCGGACAATCGCGCGCGTCCTCAGAGGTTCGCAGTCGGAGGGCCGCTGGCTGATGATCAGGTCCAATGCGCGGAAGTCAGTGCACTCAGCGAGTTGCCTCGACGGAATCTTCTCGTGGAAGAAATGCACGTAATTGGCATCGGGGTCCGTAGGCGCCCGCTGCAGAACGAGTCCGGCCACGTTCTCCAAAGTCGATGTAGACTGCATTGTAGCCACACTGGAGGCAATCTCGTCCAGATGATAAGCGCGCGACAGCTTTTGGGTAGCCTGTTCTCTCATGCGGAACCTGCGTTCCGGACTGAGCTTTGCGCCTGTATTATTGCCAAACCCAAGCCCCAAAGCCTGCATGTGATGCGCAGCACCGCCATTCAACGAATTGGACATGGCCGAGGATGCCACACCATTAGCAGCACGTACAGCCAAGTCCGTAGCACCATCGACGAGTTGCCTAATCTTGAGCAGGTCATAGAAGACGGCAGGTTCGACGGGACGCGGCAGAGGCATATAGTAGTTCGCATTCGCAAGTGTCTCGAGCACTTCGACGGGAAGTTGGAGCCATGGCCCATGGAACGAGGATATGTAGCGCCAATGCCTGGAAACAGTCGGTATCAGCATATGGGACTATTGCCAACATCAAGGACATTGTTCGCGTAGAGATAGCGGGACTGGGAACACACTTCAACTTACTTGTTTCTGCAGATTACCAGAGCAGAGGGGGAGGGCTGAGGTGCTGGTGAGGCTGGAGAAGCTGCTTTGCTCTTCTTGGTGGTTGAGGTCGAGGTCGAGGATGGCGCCGGGGACTGCGTCGAGGTCTGAGGCTCCAGCGCAGGGGAGTCACCCGAGGCGGGCTTCTTGTTCTTCTTGCCCATTGCGCATTGATCACCGCGTGAAAGTGTAGTAGCGATGCAAGTGCAAGAATCCCGACTCCGGCGAGGTCAAGGGTTGCAAGGCGCAGGTGCTGCAAAGGGTGATTTGCAAGCAATTCGGGGCGAAAAGCTCGTGGACGTCGCCCGGGTGTTTACAAATTCCTGCATTGAAGCATCAAACGCCTGCCCGCTGCCAGCACCGCCTTATCGTGGTGGCATTGGATAAAACCCCTTATCGCCACGTGATGGGTACCTCATAAAAGATAATACGAGTAAAGCACTATTATTAATGCACAATGGGCTTGGACGGGTTCGTCACAGCCAGCAATCATCACTTTCACTATTTCCGCGATTCTTCGTTATCATATTCCCGAGACTCATCAGTTGCCAAGGTACCACCAGTTCATCGTTGATGGTAGCCTCAGTCTGACAAGGGTAAGCAAATGCTCTGTGCTTTCCATTCGGTCTCATAATACACTTTTCATCCGTCTAGGCTACCGGACTGCTTCAAGATTCGTGCCGTTTACGATGGCGGAGCGTCAGCTCTCCCCTATCTCTCTCCCACTCCTCTTTGATCTCTGCAAGGAGGTTATCATCACCCAAGACGTCAACTGCTACACTCGCCAGCGCCTTTCCAACTCTCAAGCAGTTTGCGAATGCGACCTTCGTCCCGGCTGCCTTCGCGAAGCCCGGGTTATGCGGTCCACTACCTCCAGGTCCAGGCGGGATGGAAAACCCGGGGCTTAGACTCGGCATGGAATAGCTGATGTCTCCTTGGTCTGTGCTAGCCATGGTGCGGCCTTCGATCTCGTCGACATCTTGATTCTCGGGAATCGTCTCGGATGGGCAGAGCTCGTTGAAATACCGCCGATAGACGTCTCCCATTACCCGGTTGGGCACATGATCGGCATACGACTGCACCTGGGTCATCTTCAGGGTCGCCTCAGTCGCCGTTGCTGCTGCCTCGAAGCAGGCGTCAACCTTCTTTTTCAGTTCTTCCAGCCTCCCCTGTGTATTGGCGCGGACGACAAAGTTGCCAGCCGTGTAAGCGTGTATGACATTGGGACGAACACCGCCATTTGAGATGTTCCCCTGAATCACGTCTCCTGGCATCGTCTGCTGTCGAAGAACGGACAGCGCGTTGTAGGCTGTGATCAAGGCGTCCAGTGCGTTGATACCCAGCCACGGACTAGCTGCTGCGTGAGCCTCGCGTCCGAAATACTCGACTTTGAATGCGGTGTAGGCGGCCGTCCGGACCAGCGCGCTATTCTTCACAATACCAGGGTGAGATATCAAGTTGATGTCGACATTGTGGTCACTGTATGCGCCTGCTTCCAAAAGCTTGATCTTGCCTCCTCCACCTAATGATCATTAGACGACCGTCCGTTGTTGGGCTTTATTTGAGCCTAATCGGGCATGAGACTTGCCTTCTTCTGCGGGAGTTCCGAATATTACCACCTTGCCCCCAAGGTCATGCCGCTTCATCAACTCAGCTGTTGCAAGCCCACCAGCGAGGGATGCGGTTGCAATCAGGTTATGACCACAAGCATGTCCTATCCCGTCCAGCGCATCTGTTTTGTCAATCAGCATGGGAACGTCTCATCTAACCCGCATCGACGCACCCATTTCCACGTTGAAAGACACCACAGGTCCCTCGCTTCCGCTGTCAAACACAGCAACCCACGCAGTCGCCAGACCATAGGCCGAAGGGGTGACTTTCCATCCTGGCTGGGTCCTCATGAACTGCGTCAACGTGGCGTGCGCGATGAACTCCTCGTATCCCAGCTCCGGATTGTCATGAATCTTCTTGTTGACAGGCCATAGCTCATCAGCGATGCTGTTGATGAAGTCACCAATCTCGGTGAGATATCCGGTGTCGGACGTCCTCGTCTGCCCCGCGTCCTCGTGTGTAACGAAGACAAAGTCTTCGACGTGCATCATGACACTCTATCTTTGAGTCACGATAGACAATTGATGAAGTATGTGGCAGGAATCTTCACTATTTTGCATTGCTTGGCAGAACGCGTATATCTCCAAGTGACGATTAAGACGAGCGTTGCCGCATTCCCCACGTTGACTCCTGGCCTCATCTTGTGATTAGCCGGGGTCGTCGACCAATCAACTTATCTCACCGGCGGACAACACCCGTCCGGACTTCTCCGGTTATCAATGTAACCACGAAAGCCGGTGAGGTTCGTTGACTGGCCCGACCGATCAGACAAGGGGTAAGATACTGGCGAAGGTTCGGAGACTGGCCCGACAGATCAGATAAGGGGACAAGATACTAGTTAAGATGAGGAGACATCCCGAGCGCGATGGATGCATCAAATGGGGTTGAGATTTATTGACTCGAGGGCGACCCTAGCTTTCACTTGCGACATAGTGTGAACAGTAGGCCGAGCACGAATTGACTTGCACGACCAGGTACACAGCATGATGGCTACCGAGAAGATGGCTGGTGGCGATGGCATAACCACCACAGCGGCCGAGAGCAACGTCGACATGAAGAAGCTAGACATCAAAGACGAAGCCGGTGAGCTTGCCGCCAGGGCCCTAATGAGCGGCGCCGTCGACGAGGAATTATCAGCCAAGGTCCGCCGGAAGCTCGACTGGCGGATCCTGCCCTTCCTCTGCATCACGTATGCTCTGCAGTTCATCGACAAGACATCGCTGGGCTATTCGTCAGTCTACGGTATCATTCCCGACAACAACCTGCAAGGTCAGGACTACGCCTGGACCAGCAGTATTTTCTACTTCGGCTACCTTTTGGCGGAGTACCCAGGAGTCACGATCATACAACGATTTCCCGTGGCCAAGTTCCTCGGTGTAAACATTGTCCTTTGGGGCGGGGTCTTGATGACCACGGCTGCTTGCTCGTCGTTTGCCGGACTTGCTACTGTGCGGTTCATCTTGGGCATGACGGAAGCGACTATTTCACCTGGCTTCGTGGCCGTTACGGGAATATGGTGGTCAAGACAGGAGCAAGCTGGTCGATCGGCTCTTTGGATCTCTTTTCTGGGTGTCGGTAGTTTCGTCGGCACGCTCATCTCTTATGGCATTGGCCATATAACGGGCGGTCTGTCTACTTGGTGGGTGAATCCACACTTCCAGACGCTGAATATCCCTTGCAAAGCCCACTTCCGAGGTTAAGATGGAGGTGATCGATGCTGGAGACCAGGACTGACAACTTGGTAGGAAGTACATCTACCTCATCCTAGGCTCAATAACCATGGCATGGGGCGTCTTATTCGCACTGTTCGTGCCCGACAGCCCCTCTCGCGTCAAGTGGCTGGACGAGGACGAGAAGGTCGTCGCCATCCAGCGCGTGGTCGAGAACAAGACAGGCACCAAGTCACGCCGCTTCGTCAAGAGCCAGGTCGTCGAGGCAGTAACGGATCCGAAGGTCATCGTCCTCGGCCTAATCTCGTTCGTCAACGCCCTCGCCTCTGGCGGCCTATCTTTTGGTTCGCTGGTCATTGCGGGATTCGGGTTCTCGCCGCTTCAGACCACGTTGATGAACCTGCCGCTCTCGGCTGTGCAGGTTGTTGCACAACTGGGCTCGGGTCCCCTGTTGGCGAAGGTCCCCAGCTCGCGTCTTCATGTTGGTTCGTTGGCGATGATCCCGCCGGTAAGTGCTCTGGATATCACTTCTGAAAAGGGGAATGTTGACCGTGGGGATCAGATTGTTGGGACTGTGTTGATCAACCAACTTCCGGCAACTACCAAATGGGGACGTTTAGTCGGAGTATGGCTATTGGTAGGTCCTCCCGTGCCAAAGGCCTACCACGTGGTGTCCTGTGTGGGATGGATTGCAAACAAGCGAGTCGTGACTTATCTAATATCAACTGTCTAGGGATCCTACCCGGTCGGCTTCCTGGTAATCCTCGGTCTCCTATCAACGAACCTCGCCGGGAGCACCAAGCGCTCCGTCGCATCAGGTTGGGTATTCGTCTGCTACTGTGTGGGCCAGATTGCCGGGCCGCAGTTCTTCAAGAGCACCCAGGCACCGGCCTACCACTCCGGTATCGTGGCGATGCTGTGCGGGTTCATACTGAACTTTATCCTTAACCAAGTGCTGCGATTTCTATATGTCCTCGAGAACAAGAAACGAGATAGGGCATATGATGGCAAGTCTGAAGACGAACTGGTGGACATCAAGAGGGAGAGTGAGCTGCAGGGCTTCGAGGATGTGACGGATAAGGACAATGTGAGTGTTGTGCCTAACTTCTTCAAAGGTGTAATAGACTGACACTACGCAGGTCATGTTTCGCTATGTCTTATAGCCTTATCATGCTACTGCCAGTAAGATGTGTGGCTGGAGATGGCCGCAGACATGGGTATGGATTGTCAGGCGCGTCTTTGTCGGACAACTTCGCAGTTGTCTAAGACTAAACAGCCCGAGTCGGAATCAATTCCCTTATATGCTTATTATGCTGTATTTCATGCCAATAAACACTGGTCTCTTAACCTATAGCACGAGCCTCTGATGGGTCTGGTCTCGATAGTGTTTCTAACAAAGCGTGAGGTCCATAGTGGCCTGCGTATGGCACATCGCATGTCCAAAGCCTGGTTAACTAACGTCAATCGTCGAGCCGCAGTGCTCGCGGAAACTCGGGAGGCGTGCTCATGTGATGGCGCTGTACCATGGCCAGTCCCAGACTGCGCCTGATCGTACGGAGTGTGTTCCTTTAGGACAATTTCAACTTGTCCGATGCTGCGGAGCATCAACATCCTTCGGCCTACTTCCGGAGAAGATACCACGCGGTACCCCGACGACGGGAACGATTGTAACCAAGATGAAACACACAGCTCTCTCTACCCCCAGCTTGCAATAGGCTAGCATAATGGCAGGGAACTCCCCGGCGTGAAGCTGGGTAGGCCAGGGGACGTCCGGCGCCGGCAAATCAAGCAAGGGGCACAACTGTTCCCACCCAAGGCCATCTTCCCACATGTGCTTGCCACTTGCGTCTCTGTGTGAGAAAATTCTAAAATTAGCTATTATGGTGCATACAGCTAGATGAAGTGTGCTTCCGAATGACAAGTTACAAGCCCAGGACAATACGCATAAATTAAGCCTCGTGCCCGAACCCTCAGACGAGTCGATGCCCACTCCCCGTTTCACCGTCAATAGGATCAATATCAACAACATCAACACCAACTCTGCGAACCCCTGACACCCCAGTCATCTCGCCATACCGGTACCTCAGTCCTGCGTAGTTCATACGCGCATCCCTCTCGCTCTTCTTAGCCATGCTCAATTTGTCCACGCCCTGCAAGAGCCAAGAGTCGCACACATAATAAGCCGCGCCCGCGACCGTGCGCGGGTCCACCGGCAGGCGTGGCCATCTGACGAAGAAAGACACCACCAGCACGACGATCATGAGGGAGATGATCCCAACTGCCAGCCAGGTGCACCCGAGATGCACATCCCAGGTCTGCGTGACCTGGAAGGGGATGTTGGCGAGCAGAAGGGGGAGAAACTCGGAGAGTATTGCCGTAAATGCGACCACCCCCAGGAAGAGGTGTCTCCGTCTGAAGGCCGACCAGATGCCTGAGAACGCGTTTGTGGGCGGGGCAACGAGTATCACGCGTTGAGCTGTCTGGGGCGAGTGAGCCATGAGCTGGTAGGGGCTCAGGATGGCGACGGCTGTTGGTCAAGGTCAGTAGCCGTGTTCTCTTGGAGGTGGTCTGTATACTTACCGCTGAACATGGCACCCCAGTAAAAGGTGACGATAACCCCTATGGCGGTGAAGAGAAAGCGCACTCCGAAAGACTCGCTGTCCATGAAGGCCTCAAAGGGGGCATCTGCTCGCGGGCTGTTGTAGTAGGCAATCAACGTGAGGAGGCCACACAGAAATAGGAGGAACAATCCATGGCCGGCATAACTCAGCATGAAGAACGGTTGCCATTGCTCGGCGGGTTTCTCCTGGTCTTTCCTCCAAGGCTTCGGTATCAGGGCCTGAAGCAGGGGCTGTCTTGTAGCCTTTGACGCCTTTTCTTGGTCTCCTAGAATTACTATACCGTACCTGTTTTCGCCCTCATGATTGAAGCAATCGACCTTGTAGATATAAGGCTTGAAGGCGCCGGCTATCTCCGAATCCGGGATCCGGTTGGCCGCAATGGGCAACGAGGTGAGAACGCTGCGCACGTCGGGGCTGGAGAGCAGAGACGCGATACCCGCGATGCTCCAAGGATTACTGTTCACCCCTGACCGCCATCGTCTCAGCACCAGCAGCGTAAGCGCAGCTAGCACGGTCATGAAAGCCAGGAACCCCTCCGTGAGACGAGCGCCTAGCCGCGAGACCCCCAGCGTCCAAGCGCAATTCTCGACTTTTCCGCTTCCGTGGAAGCAGCTCCCGTGCAGAACCACAGCAATGGCTTGCGAAGAAAGGGTCGTCACGATCGCGGAGCAGAGAACCAGCAGGCTGGTGAGGCAGGCCAGCCATTGGCCCTTGAAGACGCCGAGGATGCCGGTCAGGATGCTGTAGATGCTGCCTATCTCTAGGCAGAGAGACCGGTCGGCTGGCGTTCCCCGCGGATGTGTGAGCTGGTGGAACGGCTCGAAGAGCTGCACGTTGAGGTCAATCATGCGGATGGGGATTGAGATGAACGTGGCGACTAGGGTCGATGCGAACAGGCCGGCAAAGTATTGGCCCCCTGAGATGTAGAAACTCTCGGTGAATGGTTCTTCACCACTGGGAATGTCGGTTGGAGAACCTGTTATTGCGGCAGTGGGTGATCCGTGGACGTCGGTAAGGATCGTAATGACGGTAACGAAGGGCGTGTCGTTGAGGGTCATGGTGGATGCTGGAACCCCGTTCGAGTCTGTGAGTACTGTCACCAGCGGTGTATCTGTGAGTGTCATGGTCGCAGTTGGAACCCCATTGGAGTCTGTGAGCACTGTCACCAGTGGTGTATCTGTGAGCGTCATCGTCGCAGTTGGAACCCCATTGGAGTCTGTGAGTACTGTTACCAGTGGTGTGTCTGTGAGTGTCATCGTCGCAGTTGGAGACCCATTGGGGTCTGTGAGCACTGTCACTAGTGGTGTGTCTGTGAGAGTCATGGTCGCAGTTGGAGACCCATTGGGGTCTGTGAGCACTGTCACTAGTGGTGTATATGCGAAAGTCACAGTCGCGGTTGGTATGCCATTCGAGTCTGCGAGTACAGTCACTGGAGGTGTCGAAGGCCCGAGGCTTAACGTAGCAGTGGGCGATCCGTCCGAGTTGGTCAAAGTGGTGAGTTGGAGCGTATCGATAGCACCAAGAGTCACTGTCGTGGTGGGTATACCGTTCGAGTCTGTCAGAGTAGCAAGGAGGGTCGTTGGCAAGGCCTCGAACGTTGTGGTCGCCGTCGGATTACCGGACTCGTCGAGGAGAGTGGCGACAATCTGAGTATGTCCGGATTCGAGAGTGATTGTTGCAGTTGGAGTTCCATCTGAGCCTATCAGAACAGCGACGACGGACGCCGTACCGGTAGTAATGGCCGTATTAGGATGGGAGTTTACTGAACCGGATCCTATGCCAAGTGACTCGGTGAGTATAGCCCTTCCAGGGCTGTCAGGGACGGACTGGGTCTGCTTAGCCGTCGGGTCACCTTGAGAATCCGTGAGGATCACTGTCACCACGACCAAGCTAGTTGTTGGCCGCGCAGATGAAGTGATGACGCTTCCGGCCGTTTCAGAATGCGGACCTTTGCTCGATAACGACCGAGTGATAGGGTCATGAATGATGGTAAATGTCGCGGTGGACTGGCTCGGCTGGCTGTCGATTAGTGTACTCTTTGGCGATGGGGTGAAATGCCCTGAAGAATCGCCTTTGGGCGATGTAGTAGGAGTCGCTGGTACTGCAGATGACACTCTACTGATCGTTGAAGTGACAGTGATGGGAATGAAGCTAGGCGAGGCTGGCCTTGAGCTTGCTGGCCAGAAAGAAGTAACACTATTGTTGCCCGTGTTGCCGAAATCCGATGATGATAGAACCCGTTTCGCATTATGCCATACTCTCCGGGCGAACAAATCTTGTGGGGCGTGGTCCATTGTGGTTATTCTGCCAGGACGTATAGGTGCCAACGGGGTGCTCGTAGGGCCTGCCGAAACCAGTGAAATTGGTGGATAGGGGACTGATCGTACGGTACCAGAAAAACCGTAAATGTCTTGAGTGGTCCCATGGGTCTCATCGCTACCATTGTGGGTGGCAACATGAACAAGGGATTCATTCGCTATTGTCGACTTCGTGCTTGTGGATGATGCAGCAGATGTTGCTACTACCAGGTTAATCTGCTTTACTCCTTGATGAAGGATAGCCGCTCGATCGAAAGCTGGAGGAGGTAGTAGAGTGGAAAAAGAAGGCGAGATAGCTAGGTGTTCGAGCTTGACAGGCTCCACCTGTTCGGGGTAGCCCCTTGAAATGAGTTGGACGCCCTCATCGTTAAGCGGCAATGTGCGAAGAGCCAACTCTACCAGACCAGTCAAGATCGCAAGCAGTATGGTCAGTACGAGAAGAAACCACCATCTCAAGACGGTCGGCTTGTAATTTGGCGTTTCACTCCTGAAGCTATCGTAGGGTTGGCTAGACCGATGCTTGGCTTGCGGTAACGAGCCGGTGTTATACCCAGTGTCGAGTCTGCCACCAGGTATCAGTCGTGCTTGCTCACCAACTACCGTCCTAGACGTGAAGCCATTGCGATAAAGTCTGCTGGCGAGGTCCATGGGCCAGGCTTGGGGACTCCTTCGTTTGCATTACAATGAGCTCAGAGACCTAGAAGGGAGCCGTGTATGGTATTTTACGAAAGAAGGGAACTGGCTATTGGTGCCTATAAGGCTGCGGGACACTTAAGTACCATATCTGAGCCCCCAACCCCCAACCCCCAACCCCTGACTGCCGCATCTTACACCTCCTTGGGCCCGAAGCATGAGATCTCGTATCCAGCTGTATCAGATTGCTCACGCCGTGGGGGTGATAGGGTAACATTAACGCACCCTTTGTTCAGCCGGAATATGACGGGTGTAACGCAACAACGCCTTAGCCCAGCCCTACGCCGTCAGTCCAAGCTGATTTGGTCGTATAAGCGCGTGGCGCAAAGTCCTGCATCAACCCGAGAGGGCCAGACATGGATGCTTTTCAGCTTCTGCGTTATAGACGCCTCCCTACTGGTGGATCTTGGGGTACGTAATTCGCGCTGACTGGTACACAGCCATGACCGGAGATCAATCACCATGATATACATAATCAGCAAGCCTCGCAAGAATCTCTCCTATGGTAAAGTATGCGGTGTACGTTTCCGCCCCCGAAACTTCAACGCCGGATTGTGAACGGTGTTGCATTGGGTAATACTCGTATTTCTCAGGCAGCCAACGATAAATCACAGCACCAATGTCATCTCTTATTACCCTCCTTGCTCACACGTATGGAGGATGTATATTGTTCTGTGGAGTTATCCTCTTTGTTGGTACGAGGAACCTTCTGGCCCCTTCATATTCCCAGTACCATCAACGGGTCCTATAACTAAGTGTTAGAGCTAGATCTTGTCCCAAGTAAGTACGTAAGTTAATTCAAGCCTGAACCTTTAAGAGACAAGAAGTATCTAGTTAGCCGGATGGATTTTTGTGTCAGTGTCCAGATTAGAAGCCGCGCCGCAGTAGTCATACCTGATCACAGTGAAGTATAGGAAGACGAATTGGGGTATGTGCTCCCAGGACGACAAGACAACAATGCGAGACTGCGCACGAAATCCTCGCAGCTAGCAACGTTAATTCAACGTAAGTTCTGCTACTGTTGCTCGTTTCACTCTAGGAATTCAAAGTCAAAGTCCATAAAAACAGCTCTCACTCTCCGCATCAGGCTGCAGATTTTTGACCTTGAGTTCCTATTCGATAGACGGACACAGACCCTCATTCTAAGTCATGGGTTCCTCTTTTCAGGCATATTCTCTGGCTGGTCCGCCTGGTCACCAGCCCCATACCCAACTAACTAATGTGATGTGCCCCAACCCAAAGCTGTGGCAGGGCAACGTTCTTTGCCGTTCTTAAGTCAACTTACTACGGGGCTTATACCCATCGATACTTCCATGCAATAACCCTTTCATCCTATAGCGCGGTCGTCGGTCAATCATAACCTGCGGGATGAGCCAGTAAGTACCTGCTTCTAGCCAGCGAACGTAAAGCCGAGTTGAGTATCAGTTGTGAGTCCCTCGCAGACTTTCCCGCATCACCTACAGCGTTGTTTCCTGTTTACATACAAGACGACCATGGACCTAGCAAGTGACAAAACTTTGGTATTGAACTAAGTTACTCGTTTCAACCGTCAGAAAGCCTCCCACATGCGCCAAACAACCTGGTATCTTACCTAACCTAACCGCCTTCCCAGAACCGAGATGAAGACACTGATACCCTACAGATAATTCCCCCCACAAATAATACATGCCAACCCTCTCAGTAGCTACAAACGACCGCCCCATCCCTCTACGGGCCTTCCCATTTCATACCCAAACCCAGATTCGCATCCGCCATGCCGCCGCCATCCGAGAACCCGACCATACCCATGTTGAGATAGGCGTCGATGTCGATGACGCCCTCGTTCTCCAGCACGTCCATGAGCTCGACCTGCTGCGCCTGGCTGAGGCTGCCCTGGCGCTCGGGCGGAAGACTCCGGGCGAACTCCATCATGTTCCCCGTCTGCATTCCGTTGATGAACCCGTTTGAGCTGGAGCCGACGCCGCCCGTCGCGTCGCCCCAGTAGCCACCGCCAACGCCCCCGAAGGAGTATGGCGTGATGAACGGCGGTGGCGGGTTGAACCAGTCGCTGGATGCCGTTGGCTGCGGGAGGGGACGTTGGCCTTGTGGCCGGTGGTGATGGTTGGATGGTAGGGGAGGGACGGCGAAAGCGGCTCGAGGCACATGGGACTGTTGCTGCGGTTGATGCTGTCGCTGCTGATGTTGTCGCTGCTGGTGCTGCCGCTGCTGGTGTTGCTGCTGCTGGTGTTGTTGCTGGTGCTGGTGCTGCTGCTGCTGCTGCTGCTGCTGCGGCGGCGGCGAATAGGGTAGCCCATCAGAGAGCATCATATCATGAGCACCATGATGTATGCTTTGACTTGGTAACAGGGGAGTAGCAAGTAGCGGCGTGCCCAAGAGCGGAGTCGTCGCAGCACCGGGAGCTAAAGACTCTGGCGGTGTCGGCATATGTTGCGGTGGGGACAGGAACGGCGGAGACACGGTGGCATCGGTAGCGGGTGGACTCGGATCGTCTGGCGGCATGTCCCCGTTGTGATTGAAGTCTGGAGGGAAATAACTGAAGCGACGGCCCGTGTGGTCACTGGATCCCGGGTTGTGGAAGATGGAGTTGGATCGGAATGTCGGCTGTGGTGGGAAGGAACTGTCCATGTTGTAGTTGTTCATATCTTCAGGAGTCGAGCCGAAGACGTTACCGAATTTGGGAGGGTCGAATACCGAAGCTCCCGCCTTGGATATAGTCGTAGCGTTGGAAAATTCAGACACATCAGGTGAGTTGGTGTCCGGTCGTGATGGCGGCGTGTTGAGGCTTGCGCTGGCCAAATTAGGCGTGTCGTTCGAATCATAGCTTTGCAGGCAAGCTTTTGTCAAAGTCGAGTACAGCTGAGATGCCGCGGCAGTGCCTGGCCATCGATCGACGCACTGGTCAATGATGTCCAAAGAGACATTGACCAGCTCTTGAACTTCGTCTCGGCTGTGTAAAGCCCGGACCTCTGGATACGTCGTTACACTCCAGAGGAGAGTGTTCAGAGCCATGTACAGCGTCAGAAGAAACACCCACGTGATGTCGATAGTAGCCGCCATCATCTGTTTGCTAGAAATGTTGACGATAAATGCAGCCGAGACAAAACATTTCGTGGCTGAATGAACCGAGGGCCTAGGAACCTGAGGTGATGGCCGATGTAGTGTCACGATCATTGTATGATATCGTCCTGTGAACCTGCAAACAAACAGTCAGATGATTATCGCTTGCCGAAAAGACTTCATACTGGGCACGAACCAGGGTTTACACCATGGAGGGTTCTCTGGTGATGACTTCAACCACTGCTCCAATTTGGCCTCCATACCTGCGAACCAAGGATGACGATCATCCTTGGGCTCCGCAAGCTTTCTCTCATACAGTTTCCGGCGTATCGCGGCCTGGTGTACTCGCATCTTGCAGAAGTGGATGGCTACCAGCTTCTTCTCATCTGGTGGACCCGGGATAATCCCATTCTCGGAAATATTTGCATCGGGTGCCGTTTCGAAGAATTTGACGTCGACGATGTCGTCGGTCTTGGCGAAACCGTTGGGCCGACCCATGCTCTGTGCCAACCCGAATTCCATGCTGGTCACAGTCCAGCTTATCCGCCTGCGCAGGTCCAATGTCAGCGGGTCGTTGGCACCCAGCGCGATCGTCTTCTCGTCAGCGAGCCCGAGCTGCTGGCAGATGCGCGTCGCAAGGCCGACGACGTAGTAGACAGCGGTACGGGTGGGCGTCAGAAGCGAGTACTGTCCTATCAGAACAAGGCATTGAAGGGTCTTCAGGTCTTTCGGCCGAACAACATCTTCAAAGCACTCCATCGCGGCGAGGTAGTAGCTGTCGGCGAGACCGGCGTACGTCGCGTCCAACTTCTGCATGCTTATGGCTATGACCAGTCGCACCACAAAGTTCTGGTACGCGTTTTGGCTGCCGGCATACACATCTTCGACCGCTTGCGCCAGCGACTTCTCGTGGAGTAATGGCATGGATACCTGACCTATAGGGGCAAGTCAGGCCGAGGTTCCGTGCAACCAAGGGCAAGGGCAGCTTACCGCGCTGATAGAACACCTCCAGCAGCCTATCAGTAATGCCTTTACTCGGCAGATTCTGCGCTGCCACAGCACTGATCATGGGATAGCTCTTCTTCCTTGACGAAATGGGAGGTGGCATGCTGAAAGACTGCGACCTAAATCCAGCATGACTGGGGCCGGCGGTCATGGTCGTGGTCGTAGCCTGCCGCCTTACGCGTAATTCAGGTATGAGCTCGGATATGCGCTTCGAGTCGGTATATCGTTTGGCCTCCTCCATGAGTATTCGCGTCATGGCTATGCCGCTAGACGGGCCAAGGTATCGGGGAGTCTCGTCCGTTTCGTTGAGGTGTACCAGGCCTCCGGGTCGAACGAAGTCTTCGTGGTCCTTCGGGTAGTCGTCTTCGTCAGTGTACTGGCCGAGCTCCGCCTCCAGCGCGCGTACTTTTTCCTGAAGCTTGACAACATAGTAACGACTGATCTTCTTGCCCTTGGCCGTGTCGAAGTATTCACAGATGGAGCCGGATCGTTCGCAGGGAAGGCAACGGGGCAGTGCCGGGTCGCATCGTGTTTTCCTCTAGGACAGCGGGATTAGACTCGCTGCTTGATAGCTCCGCAGGAGAAGTATTATGCAGTGCATACTTCGACCCGGTGGCATAAAAGTGTCAATGCTTACCTGGCGACACCGGCAGCAGGCCGTCAAAGTATGCGCAGTGCGATGTGAGACTTCGCTCTCCCCCTGGTCCTCGACCTTTACATTTACAGCCTTCCTCGGTTGGAAACCCTGCGGCGGTCTTGGGTGGTAGGTCCCGAAGCCTTCGACTTGGCGGAAGACATTTGAAGCGTCCATGGGCGAGCTTGCTGTGTGTCTAAGTCTCCTGCTGCTTTGACTTTCTCGAGAGGTGGGACCGGAGCCTTCGAGATATCGCCCGCACGAACGCCGGGGGTCGTTTGCTGCGTCGCACGTAAACCGCAGGGGCCTCGAGGCTCTGACGGCGGGGAACAATAGTCTTGTAATCTCGTAATACAAGCCAAGGGTATATCGGTATGTCGGTATGTCGGTATATCGCTGAGCGCTTATGGTATCATTGTCTCCAAGAACGAACAGACAACGGCAAAAAGGCGAAAACAATAACGGTATGCTCAGAAAGTGTTGCATAGAAGCTAGAAAAGGAGAGCCAGATAATCATTTGCCGTCAGGCTCGCGATGACGGATGCGCTTGAGACGGCGGGTATGGTGCGAAAGACGGCGGCTGTCACGGTCGGAGACTATCAGGGGCACCGCACCGATTGGACCGCGGCCATGCTTTTGAGGAGGGTACAAATACAATTCAACACTTTTGCCTCTTGGAAAGCCGTCGTCTACGATGATCTAACTGACTACCACAGTTTATTACACGCAAGGCAGATGAAGTAATACCAACCGGCTTCGTTCTGTCTGTTGCCAGCTCACCACGGCGATCAGCATGTTGTGGCTTATTAGTGTGGGTAGCTTCACCTCTAAAGGATTCCGGCCACCATTATCGCCGTCACGTATCGATGGATGGATGGATGTCTGTATGCACAGCCTCATCAGCCGCCTCCGTAGTTTCATGGGGGCATTCCTATCCATCCTGAACACGGTCCGTACTGCGTGGCACATGCGTCTAATGTTTCATAGGGCTCAAACAGGGCGAGCGTTCCGTCAACTTGCAGGTGGTTTCGCGTGGGCAATTGGCCAGGTGCCTGGCGTTTGCCTAAACGAAGTTAACGAACCGCTAATATCCAAGTGGATTCAGAACCTTGCTCGGGACGGCTGGACAGCTGGACTCGTGTGCTGGATTGCAGATTGCCGATGCTGCTATTCTTGGAAGTTCGAAAATTCCACACAGTAATTCCCAGATCCCCGTTCGGCCTGATCCTCACGGGATCCTGGCGCAGAGATGGCCAAGATACCGAGATGGGAGCAGCAACGGTTGACCAGAAGTCGAAACCATACGGGCTCCGAAGGCGTATGGACGCATATGACCAACGGATGGATAAAGGGGTCGCCTATGCGGGTACCTCTTCGATGTCCACGAGCTCTTGCCACCGCTAGCAAAATAGCAATAGCAAAATCCAACTCGGTATTACTAATTAGCCGACTCGGCCGTTTCGGGAGTTAAGCGCTATTCATGTAGTTTCGAAGGTCCGTAACAGCACGGCAGTCATGGTGCGCAACACAGGGCATGCAAGACGACCCTGAAGATGACAGAAGCTCGATACACCCAACTGATAGCGGAAGGCTTCCGGCGCATTTGGACGCGCAGAGGTGATCAGAGTAAGCAGCCTCACCGCATTCCTGACGCAACCAGGACGTCCGTCAGGTGAGAGGGATTATTTTTGCATCGAAAGTGTCGATGTTATTGGACGACAGGTCTTGTAACGTGATGGCTTGCTTAACCCGGACTGCCAGGACTGTTCCAGCTGCATCGCGTGTCAAAAGGGGGGACCACCAGATCCAGGTCATCCAGATCAGGTAGAAAGAAGTTTCGTGCGGGAAGTAAACAATTGGAGACTGTTCTCTTCCCATGCAAAGTCGTTGGTTCCATCCGCTGCCTGATACAAGTGTCCCTTGTTTTCATATTGTTTATCTGTCTTGGGCTCAGCCAGCAGGATCATATGGAGTGGTGTGGTAGCCCCGACTCGACATGCATGCTGACAGTGCCGTACCGTGACAGTGCCGGCTGGTGTACAGGTGTGCCGATGGTCAGCAACGGCCGCCTTATGTACGTCGCTGCCCTTGTATTGATGAGATTCCACATCTTCATCAAGGACTGAAGCACCTGAAGCAGCACACCCCCACCCGCCGTGCCACCGTCTCAATCATCATACAAAGTGTAGGTAGTCTAGGGCAGGCCTAGCAGAATGGTGCAGGAAATCCTTATTACCTTTTGATTTGATTGATGACAGAGACCCCACCGCGCCGACGCCGACTGCGACCGTCATTACCCGCCGCATTCACCTCACTCACCACAAGGCTCTGAAGACAGCCCTCACGTGCATGACCGCCTCTCATCACAGTATCCGTGTCTCACTGTCTTCACTCGACCCTGAGACTCTGCACAGGCAACTCTCACACCCGTCTCTCGACCAAAGCCTCTCCCGCAGCAGGTGAATCGTACGTCTCAACCATAGCGCGAGGAGCCAGCAGCCAGCCGACAACCCAGGGGGTGTGAGATGTTTTTATAGCCCTCGAGGCTCTCCACCCACAAGTTGCGCTATAGTATCGGATCACCTGCGCCCTCGTCGACAGACTCAAGCTTATGCAGAGCCTCGCGGTGTGCAGCCGTCAATCTCAGGCAAATGCCGCGATCCAGCTTCTCCGATAACCCGCTGCTGCGGGTGTCGCGTCCCGTCTCGGCCTGCTCTAGATGTAAGCACTGTCTCCCTCCCGAACGGGAGTCCTGAGAGCCGCAGCTGACAGGTCGTCTACAGGTCGAAGTGCTAAGGTCAAGGTTGGTTATGTCATCCATCAGTCTCTAAGGTCTTGATGCTGATGTCAGCAGTGTGATGGCAAGCTGCCTGCGTGTACAGCCTGTGAGAAGGCTGGAAGAGACACTGAGTGCTCTGCGGCAAACGACCAGTTTGCCAGGGGCAAGGAGCGAAGGTACGATACCAAATGGCCCGTAATTATTGCCCACGGTATGCTCATCTGTCTCCAGTTATGTCGCCGCGCTGGAATTGCGTGTCGAGAAGCTAGAAAGACGACTGGCATATGCGCGCTCCAGAAAGGCATCAGTTGCTCAACATGAGACTGATAATGCCCTACCCCCTATACCCGAATCAGATCGCAAAGACTCGCTCGCGACCATCCGAGCTGCGATACATCGCAAAGCAGCGCGGAAGCGGGAGAATTCAGATGTCAACTCGCTGATGTCCGACTTTGGTTTCCTGTGAGCGATTCCCTGCCCGTTGCGTTTCGTGGGGAGATACTCATTGAGGACAGGTCCATCAATGCTACGACACGGGACTTTGAACCCTCACTGAGCAATATGACGTTCGCGCGGCTTGTTCTGGCCGCTGCTTCTAATGACGCCATTCCCGATACGCCGGACTGGAGTATGCCGTCGCGACAAGAAGCCATTGCCCTTATACAGCATTACATGACAAACATCTACTCACTATTCCCAGCCTTCTCCGAGACAGCTCTATATAACGTTCTTGATCAGGTTTACTCGATGCAAGACCGACATATCAAGGACTATGACTACTGGCTTCTGTACATGGTACTGGCCATTGGGTCTACAGCGCAGAGTCAGGTCAAGAATGACCAATACTACATGATGGGCCTCGACCTCGTTTCGCGGGCCCTGAAACATGCCGATCAGGCTCTCATGCCCGGTTATACCACCCAGATACAGTCACTTATCCTGCTCACGCAGTATTCAATGTTAGACCCTGCCCATTTCGATAGTTGGCACCTGATAGGCTTCACTTGCAGGGCAGTGATAGACTTGGGTTACCATCAGGATCCGCCAAGTGAGCAACTCTCAGATAAAGGGGTGCTGGACATGAGGCGCAAGACGTTTTACTGCGTATACTCACTCGACCGGTGAGTTTGATCACTGTGCAACGTGGTGATAGCATTGTACTCATCCTGTGGCAGGTCTATCAGCATGGTTCACGCACGGGCGTTCGCCTTTACGGACGCCGCGACCAACGTCGCGTGGCCGAGGCCTTCATCATTCAGTCGCAAGGCATCCATAACCGGCCAAATTCTGTCCGGATCCGAGCCCGCCTTTCTACTGTTCCAACTTCGTCGAGCGCAGTCACACTGGTATCAAGCATTGTTCCAATCAGATCCCACGCCATTGCAAGACTCTTCGTCCTTCATCTGGCAAATGTGCCAGGACATGAGGGAGTGGGCCGAGGCGCTTCCCAACCACCTGCCAATCGGGATGAGGGAGTTGTTCGACCTCGAAGTGCGATACAGCTTCGTCTACTGCATCTCGCCATCGGCGAGGGCTCCCCAGCTCACCGATTACGGCCGCATGCTCATTTTCGAGCACACCATCGCCTACCTGGACCGCATATACCACGTCGCGCACAGCGGCATGAACACGGCCTTCTACTCGTACCACGACGCACTGCGCGTCTTCTTCATGGCGAGCCAGTTCATTGCGGTGCTGCGCGACGCGGAGGACATGCTCCTCGCCGGCGTGACGGTCGCGCCGCCCTGCGTCGAGCTCGGCCAGGCGCAGCCTCCGCCGCTGCCCCCGCGGCCGGGCGGTCCCGCCGTCGACAACCTTGAGCGGAGTCTCGGCTGTCTGGAGCGCACCTCGCGGACGCTGGCGAAGTATGGTGATCGGTGGGCGGACTCGGTGTCGCTGAAGCGCAGCTTTGATATCATCTCCGGCGAGCTGGTGGAGCGTCTGCGCTTGCGGCAGCAGCTGAGACAGAGGGCGTCGCCGCCGCAGCAGAATATGCACAGGGAGATGCGCTGGGTTGACGTCGATGTCGAGGCCATGATGAGGGCGGGTGCTGGCGGTTCTCGAGCCATCAAGTACGAGCATTGATTTTTCTGGTTTGGGGTGGTTTGGACGGGGCATCATGGTCCAGCGGCTTGGAAGATCTGCGACTTGGCTGATCCACTATCTGAGATGAGGGACTGGGGGGCTGGGGGACGGAAATTTTGATGATTCGATGAGTAGCGGTCAGGTTTATCGGGGGTTAATGAGGAGGATGTTGAATTGGCAGAGACCAGTTGGGGTATATCATCGTGTTGAAGTTCTTTGCGTCAGATAGTCTCTGTTCTCACCTCACACAGGGTCAAGCGTGGTGTTGGGATCTGACTTTGTACATGGGGTAGGAGGCTATCGTGGTCCGCGAGATTTGACGAGGTTTAGATCTTGTAGATAACTTACGTACTTATGAACTCTTTCATTAGGTTTCTCATTCCATCATGTTCTCTATTTGACGTTGTGGGGATACGGTCACCTTTCTGATTCCCAATCTGCGCACCTCGAGAATATCTTGGGAATTTCATCGCCGTGTGTGGGACAGGAAACTTGAATCAAAATATCCTGGTGGATTTGATAAAGCCACTGTCTGATCGCAGGGGGTACGGATATCCTTGAGGACTCAGGATCGGTCACCATGCATGTTGGCCGGGCAAGACACGTAGTTAACGCCCGGCGCGAGTCGCAGTCTACTCCTAGCAGGCGCCGTCGTTGGCTTCGCGATGTGCTAGTCAAGGCTAGCAAACTCAATGGACACCGCTTCACTGAGCACATCTACATGCGACTGTATTGCCTACTCCAAACAATCCGAGCTGCACATCAGGAACTCTGCATCATTCGACACCACCCACTGCTCGTCAAAGCCAGCCTGCTCAGACCAAGGATCTTCCCCTCAATCACCGACTTTCGGCACTGAGTCATTATCACCACCAAAACATGAAGCTCATCAACAGATCCATCGCCATCACCCTCCTGGCTGTCATCGTTCCAGCTCTCGGAAACACCCGCGAACCAGATCCCGGCACCGAGAAAGACATCCTCTGCACCGTCGAAGTGGCCAAGCTAGTCCCAGACTCGAGCATCGTCAACAACACGCTTCTCCTCTGGCCAAAAGGATCATGCTGCACGACGACGGACTGCGAAATACAGAAGTTCGGTTGTCCTGCTGGGAACGGTGACATTTGCTGCTACAAGGCCAGTGGCAATGGGGTTGCTGCCGGGATGTGCGATTGTGGGATCGACCAGCAGCCGCAAGGGACTTGCTTCTAATCGTGGTGGAAAGTTCTGGTGAGCAGGTTGCAGAGCGGAGCTCGATTGGAAGATACTGTCAGCGGTGGTTGGGAGGAGCAAGCAGATCAAGGAGAGGGAGATATTGCTGTGGTGGTTGAACTTTCGCGATGCTATCGATGAGAACCTTGTACTCTATGCATTAGATCCCTTCAAGCAAACTCCATTCATGCCATATCGTCGGTCCAAGCAAAAGCGCCATTGAAACAATCCATGCGCCTCCCCCGCTCTATGTACACTCAAAAAGACACAATGGTGTATCTCGGCACCTAAGCCGGGGTTGGCGCCGGAGTAATCTGCATGCTGCAAGCCGAGGACAGGACGGTAGCCGGGTATTTTGTAAGGACAGCCGGGGTGGAGGCGATGGTTACGGATGGGGTGGCGAGGTATGAAGTGCAGAAAGGCTGCAGAGTGGCGTACGAGATGTCAACGGAAGCCTGGTGGGCGGCGGCGTTGACGCTGGGGACGCCTGCGTTGGCCAAGTTGCTGTAGGCGTAGCTGTACTCGAACAGGAAGTAGTCGTTTCCACGGTATTGCCCAGCGTTGGTGGCGTATTTGGAAGACCAGGTCTCGGAGTATACGGCGCAGTACTGGCCCTGGAGGTTCTTGGTAGTGTTGATGTAGAGGACGCAGGTGTTGAAGAACTGCCCTTGCAAACGCTCAATGCAGTAAAGAAACAGCAAGTAGAAGTACAAGAAGGTCAGTATCTCCACGACTCCGACTATCAACTTGCCAGCGCAAGCAGAACCCGTCAAAGGGATATTGATGAGTCTTCACGCATACTTGACGAGGGAGCTTATGGATGGTGCTTGTGGGCACGAGACTCATCCAGGCCGCGTCACCACTGATTACAGCTTGAGGCCGCTGAAGTTTCTAACCAGCAAAGAGATCGGGGATTACAGTAGTAAGATGGTATTTCAGGCGGGCCTCGTCGAAATGGCCACGAGGCTCGAGCAAGGCGGATCCCGCGCTGGCTGGCCAGCTGGCGTGGCAGAACCTGGTACAGCTGTCTGCTCAGCTGGACACTATTGCGTGGAACCGCATACCCGGTGAATCTGGGGATTGGTGGAATCTGGGGGTGGGTATTACTCCGCAGTCGACCCCAGGTTTCTCGGGTTTGTTGGACTATTCCCCATGGTTCGACCATCCCCATCGTCGGGGCCAATGTCAGATTATGACTAGACCGCCCGAATGAATAGTTCCGCTGAGCGAGCTGGGCACAGATACAGAGAGGCATGAGGGAGGGGGCTGACGAGCCTGATATGTGATTTGAGGTTCCTTCCCCTGTCGTTGTGATGGCTAACCCCGGATGGTGGACACTCCCTCGGGCCATTGTAACGTCGACCGTGTGCCGAGAAACATTTGATTGGAATACTGGGGCCGGATGCCTTACGCGACGAATTACACCGGTGGTGAGGAGGAGGCCCTTGCTAGATAGGTAGGTAGGTAAGTAGGGTTATCAGCTCACGACTGCAGGGCTCCATCCGATGCTACGCTGAGATAAAGATGATTATGAACGGTTCTCCCTCCCCGTTCTTCTTCTTGGACTTTCGACGCCTTCTCAACTCTGGTTGTGGTCGAGATTTATATTAAATCTTTGCTGAGTCCGTTGGTGATAATCCGATCTCGAGTAGACCCACGAAGTAGTTAACCGTCAAGATGGCGATGTCGACGAGAGTGTACAACTGGTAAGTCGACTCACCCTGCTCGTCACATTTAATTCCGTGAAACTGAGAAGCTGCCACACAGGTACATCGCCCTCGTGGCGGCGATGTGTATGGTCCTGTACGGCTACGATGCGTCAGTCTTCAACGCCGCACAGGGCTCCGCCAACTGGCTATTATGGTTCGACCTCGACCTCGTAAGTTGTTCAACGACCCGGCGGGCCTGTCCGACTCACAGCCAGCGCTGACGCCACTGGATACAAAGAAAAAAGATGCCAACCTGATCGGACTCGTGAATACGGCCTACACCATCGGAGCTATTGTTGCTGGTTGGTTCTTCGGCGGCCCGATCGTAAGTCTCTCTCCCTTCTCTTCGAGGAGGTCCACCGTCACTGATGAATGACACAGGCCGACTACTTTGGAAGACGGGTGGGCATGGCTCTAGGCTGCTTCGTCACGATCATCGCCACCTTCCTGCAAGCCTTTGCGCCCTGGCACAACCTAGGCTGCTTCATCGGCGGCCGCGTCCTCATCGGCATCGGGCAGGGCATGGCCCTCACCGCCGGGCCCATCTACATCGGCGAGGTGTCACCGCCCGAGATCCGCGGCAAGATCATGACGTTCTGGCAGATGTTCTACAGCGTGGGCTCCTTCATCGCGTACTGGATCGCCTACGCTACCAACCAGTACAAGGAAAGGCTGGGCCACTGGGACTGGCGCATGGTCGTCATCTTCCAGCTGCTGGTGCCGACGCTGATCCTCATCCTGCTGCCCTTCCAGCCCGAGTCGCCGCGCTGGTGGATCAAGCGCCACAACAACGTCGAGGCGGCGCGGAAAGCCCTGCGCACGATCCGCGCCACGGAGCAGGAGGTCGAGGACGAGCTGCTCGCCATCCGCGAGGCCATCGAGTTCGAGAACGAGGCCGTCAGCGGCTCGTACTACGCGCTGTTCAAGGACCCGTCGGTGCGCAAGCGCATGTACCTCGCCTTCGTCCTCAATGTCGGACAGCAGCTCTCGGGACAGGGCACGCTGAACTCGTACTCGTCGGCCATCTACAAGACCATCTGGGCCGACGACTCGACTATTAACCTCATTAATGCGCTAAATGCCACGTGTGGCATTCTGTGTCAGTACATTTCAGAGTCTTTCAGTACCCCTTATGGCGATGTCGTGGGAGCGAATTTCCTCCTCTAGCCTGTCTCAGGACCGAGGGGGAGGGAGCCCTCGCTCCCGAGACACGCATCTCGCCTCCTTGCTTCTCGTTATAATATCTGAAAGGAGTAATTGCTGACTCTAGTTTGCTAATAGTCACACTGAACGCCATGTGGACTGCTGATCGGTTTGGGCGTCGGTGGCTGTTGATCGTGGGCGCGATCGGGATGGCGATCTGCATGATGATCGTGCCCATCGTCGGGGCCACGACGCCCAATGTCGTCGGCGCAGATGGGAAGCTGACGAAGACGCAGCCCGTGGGCATCTCAATTGTCTTTTTGCTGTTTCTATTCATCTTCTTCTACAAGCCGAGTTGGGGCGCGTAAGTGTCTCCCATCAATAACCCCCTTGCAAGCAAGCAAGCATATCCTTCAATACTAATGTGAAATTGACAGAACCGTATGGATCTGGACCGCCGAGGTCTTCAGCATGAACGTGCGCGCGCAAGCCGTGGGCATGTGCTCACAGATGCAGAACGTGGCCAACACCATATTCCAGCAGTTCTTCCCGATCTTCCTCGCCAACGAGGGGCTCAAGTGCCTGTTCTTCTTCATGACCTCGAACATCCTATTAGCGGCGTTTACGTTCTTCTTCATCCCAGAGACCAAGCAGGTCCCGTTGGAAGAGATCGATACCCTGTTCGGCGGCCAGAACCACGTTGAGAAGGGTGGCCAGATGCTAGGGGTGCCGGATGCGCATCATGCCGAAGTGGGAGAGGAGGCTGCTGAGGCCCAGCAGAAGGAGACTAGTAAGGAGATCACGGAAGTTTGAGGGGAGTGATCCGGAGGAGGTTTTGTGCCTTGTGGTAGCGGTATCCAGAATAAGGACCAGGGTCACGATAGGTGGCTATTGGTCTGTATTCTGGAAGTTGCTTGATTGAAAGAAGGGATGGGTGGTGTCCCCATCCCAGAAGTAGCTATCATCCCAGTAGGGTACAAAACAGGTACAAACGGGTACCCGTTGGGCTCCAAGGTACCTTGTATCCTGGTCCGTGACCCATCCGTCATTGTGGCTGGAAAATGGGTTGAGGAGCCACAGTTTGACCTGCACTTCGATTATCACACTATCGAGATCTAGACCTGTCAGGGGCTCGTGCTACCATCCCCCCCCATAGAAGTCGGACACCCCCACTAGTCGGACAGCCAAACCCCACCATCACCACCAAAACTCCCATATGTTCACTTATACGGATTCAGCCCGATACTGAAGCTATTCATAATGTATTTAGTGCTCTAGATAGCCCTGGTCTTAAGGTTTTCTTTAATACTGGATTTATTCCTCCTGGCTTACGTGATTAGGGAGCTATTATCCCGCCTTTGCTACCCCGAATAGAGATTTTCGGCCCCGCAAGGCTCTCCTGAAGTCTTGTTCTGTGTGTAACGCAGCACCGTATAGTCGCCCAAAATGCCTCCTTATTTGTATGCAGAGGATCAGATGGCGAATGCCATCTTAGATATCACAGATAAGGGACTATCTTTGAAAAAAAAGTGCTCAAAAACACGGTATTCTGCCTAAACGCTGTCTGATCGACTCAATAGTAAGCCTACCAGAGCCGAAGCCCACACACAACAACAGAGACTCTCTCCTGCCCAGGAAAAGACTATAGTCAAGTGGATTTTACTCCAGAAAAAGCTCGGCCTAGCCCTTTCGCACCCCCTGGTTTGTGAGATCGTTAAGAAGCTGTTAAAAAAGAAGGGAGATGAGGGTCCCCTAAAAGACACCTTCATGGCAGCCTTCAAGCGGCGCAACCCTAAGATCAAGACAAAAGTCGGCAAAAGAATGAAAGCAGCACGCTTCAAGGGGTTCATGCCCAAGTCCGTTAACTGGTTCTTCAAAATTCTTAAAGACTATAGCTGGATAAAGCCAAAGAACACCTATAATATTGATAAGGGCGGCATCATAACGGGTTTTAGTAGCTATATCTATCCTTTTTAATTCCCCAAAAAAAATCTAATTAGATTCAGGCATTGATTCCCTAGTTCTAGGTAGTTCTGCTACCAAGAAAGCCTTCTTGAAAAGCCCTCATGGCCGTAGCTAGACTTTCTTCATTGAGACCATCTCAGCCACTAAAAAAATCTTCAAACCAGGTATTATCTTCAAAGAGAAGGACCTTCAAGTGCAATGGTTCATCGAGGAATTCTAAAAGACCGCAAATTGGCACTATATATGCTCAGAGGACGGCTGGACTTTGAATTCTATAGCCTGCCAGTGTGACGGCCTGCACAGACCGTCCCACCATGACAAGCGGATACTTCCTAATAGGGGAAGGATCTGACCAGAGGATCCCCTTAAAGGGGGCAACCTCCCACTGTACCTATCTCTCTCTCTCTCTTCCTTTCCTCTCTAGTCTTGATATTCTTGTCAATAAAATAATAGCTGCTTGCTGCCGGCCATGTCCCAGCTCCTCAGTACGCTCGCCGTGACATAATATTAAGACTCCTCCATACCAGATTAGAAGCCTTGTCTTCAGATCACCACTGTAAGGAGTTTTGCCTCTAGCAGTGACAGGTACAGTGTCTTTGAACACCCACCTATCCCAAGACTTTATTATCCCTTTATTATCCCACCTATCATTACTATTGATTCCGTCCAACATACTGTGACGATGAGTACTATTATTATTCCAGAACATCAGGATAGTTCTGAAGGGACTGAAAGACCAGCCCAACCTATCCAAACATCCCCTAATACTAATAACCTTCCCCCAAAGAAAGAACCAAAAAAATAGAGAACCAAGGCACGAGGGGGCCAGAGCAAGCCAAACACGCGATTAAGGACCGCTTTGACCCACAACAAATCTCCCTTAAATGCTTTATCGTCTCCATCTTCCTCCAGGATCACATCCCAGGACTCACAGACCCAGCCTATGGCACCAACCATGAGCGGTGCTCTGGGCCAATCAAACGACCCCTTGCTCTTCAACCTGGATGCGCTTACGCCAGAGCAGCTAGCCAGATTGCAAACCAAACTACACACCCGGATCCCGAGGTCAGAGCCACCAAGGCCCACAACAGAACGACAGTCTGTGCATTTCAGCACACCACAAGAAGAACGAGCCTTTCCTTCCTTAGAAACAGGTTCTCCACACACAACGACCCCTAGGTGGGACTCCCCAGCTTCTATGGCATCAACCTCAAATGCCATGCGACATTCCATCAAGCTGGCAGACCCTGCAAAGCTGAGTGATGATCAAAACCCAACCTTTGAACAGTGAAAGAACAGCATTTAATGCAAGCTACAAACCAACTGGTGGCTCTTTATTACAAAAGAATCAAAATTTGACTGGCTTTGTACGTTAATAGAAGGTGATATAGCTATAATATTGGAACCATTCATCGCTGAAGAGAACACTGAGTTACTTACTATCATTAAAGAGGTGTATGACCTTTTCCGGTCCTCTTATAGCAATCCTGACGCAGCTGCTCAAGCCAGAGATCAGCTCTATGATCTGTAGATAGAACCGGCGCAAGACTTTTATTCCTTTTGTTCCACATGGGTTCTCTTAGCCAGTAAGGCAGGCCTGTCCTGAACAAAATGGAAGTATGAACTGAACCAAAAGCTGACACTACCCCTGAGAATACAAGTGATGGCTTCTTACCTTGACTCTAACGTTTCTTTTAACCAATTTTAAAATATCTGTTCTAGCAATGCTCAACAGCTTGTAGAGATTGAACAAATCAAAAAACAGCGTCAAAGTTTCTTCAAAGCTTCCTCTGGCCATATCATCACTGTGGCACCTGGACCCCAGCAGTTCACCAGAAGCCTACCTACCCAAGCTTTGTCCAACCAAGCGATTGACACTACCTTCCAACCAGTAAGAGCATTACCTGATCAGAAGACTCCCCATCTCTCTCTGCAGCCCCTGAAAAGAAGCACATTGACCGATCACGCACACCCCACAAGGCAGAAAGCATTATATGCTACTTGTGTGGCAAAGAGGGCCATATCACTCCCAAATGTCTAGACAAAAGAACTCCTTATGTATATTTTTTGGAAGAAGATAATGAGGCCTCTTCTGGTCTGACCCAGGATGTTACTTCTGACAACGAGTCAGAAAACTCAAAGGCCTAAGGAAAGTCTCTCACCTAGGCCTCCAATGTACTATTAATCAACTGGTTCACCACTCCCTTGAAATTCCATCACTTCGATCAGACCTCTTTAGCTTGATTGGCGGCAGTACCTTTGTGATGACTGCAACCATCCAATGGAATGGAATTACAGTGCGTGTAAAAGTTTTGATTGATACCGGAGCAGAGGTTTATCTTTTAGGCAGCCATTTAATCATGAGCCCCTTGGCTCAATAATGAGAACTCCCTCAAAGACATTTTGATGAACCTGCCACCCTGAATGACTTTGGCAAGGGATACCCATAAGCTGTCAACACAACAGTTACAATAAATTTCCAGATTCAGGAAAGAACCTTCCGGGAAGCCCCTATCCTAAAAGCGGAGTTTAGGCCCAGCAAGAACTTTGACCTTATTGTTGATAAGTGGTTCTTGGCTGTTCACAACCTCCTACCAGACTGCTGGTGGAACTGCCTATATTTCCCACCGGAACTACCTTTCCTTACTAACTGGAAGACCAACATCACCAACCCAGCTCGCTAGTGGTTAAAGCAACGGGCTATCAATCCTCAGGCTCAGCAGGACATGCTCTATAAGGATTCACAGTGGGAAGACCAAGAGAAACGCCCGTAGAAGATACTACGTCGCCCCCAAGTGCTGGTTACATGGGCAAGAGACCATCATCAGTCCTTACAGGCTATGAAAGACCAGCTAGCCAGACGGGACCGCCCGGCATCCTTGCAAAAGACTTCCTCATGCCAGGCTGTTCATCCCAAGGTTAGCAAAGACGCAATAGTGAACACTCTGGGCACGGATATCCACCTAATCTCAGGAAGTACCTTCTTTAGGTGGGCTAGTCACCATCAGAAGGGGCAATATCAATAACACAGCTACAGAAATGTGTTCTCTTTTTTGATATGAGCTTGATCAAGTCATTGATTACTCTATTGATAAAGAGGACTCAGAGACTCAGCACCTGCTACGCAGCAGGCTTCCCCCAAAGGCATAAGATTTTATAATTGTGTTTTTTAAGACAGAAAGCAATGAGTTACCCCCTTTTTACAAGGATATTGACCACAAGATCCAGCTCAAGCCAGGGACCAAAACTCTTTGCCTGCACCCCTTATACAGCATGAAGGCTGACCATCTTATTGCCCTTAAGCAATATCTGACAAAACATTTACACAAGGAATGGATTGTTCTTAGTAAAACAGAGTATAGGTCACCTGTTCTCTTTACCAAAAAGCCGAATAGAGGCTTGCGTTTCTGTGTCGACTACCGCGAGCTCAATGCTCAGTCAAAAAAGGACCGCTACCCGCTGCTACTAATCAGTAAAACTTTGGAACGTCTATCTATCGCTAAGCTATTCACCAAGCTGGATATCAGGGCGGCTTTCCACCGAATCCGTATGGATCCAGCCTCTGAGGATCTCACGACCTTCCGCACGCGCTTTGGCCAGTACAAGTACAAGGTGCTCCCCTTTGGACTTTGCAACGGCCCAAGTACCTTCCAGCGGTATATCAACAAGGCCTTGTTCCTATATCTGGACGAGTTCTGCACAGCCTATGTGGATGATATCTTGATCTTTTCTGCAGACCTATTGGAGCACTGGGATCACGTCTGCAAGGTCCTCTAAAAGCTCTGTGAAGCTGGCCTCCAGGCTGACATCAAAAAGAGCGAATTTGCTGTCATATTAATAAAATTCCT